AGAAAAAATTAAAATCAATTCTAAAAAATCTAAAGAAAGCTATTGGAATTTTATGCAATTGAAAACACAGAACTTCATTTCAGTCAAGGAACATTTTAAAACTGAGAATATTATGACTGTTTATGGAATGTATGTCTATAAAACAGTTAAAAGACAAATTTAATGAATTACAACTTATTGGAGACTATCACAATTACTTTACTAGAAATCGAGGCTCATGCATACTCTGCAACTTTAAGACACCTAAATATGCCGGTTCCAAATTTTATAATAAACTTCCTAAAGAAATCAAATTAGAAAAAACGTCCAAAAATAAATTTAAACCAAAATTGAAAAGGTTTTTTATCTATGTAATATTATGTATGTATGTAAGCTATGTACTCCTTTGAAGATTTTTAGTTCTATAAGTTATTAATTGTTTTATTTCATTAAAATTGAAGCTTTTGGTTTAAAATAATTTTATCTATTATTTTAATTTTGATATTTTCATGTATAAACTTTCATATTGCACTGCTTGTTTTACTTTATTGAAGCTGAAAAGCTATTAATATTGATAGTATGTTGTTACGCCATGCATGATAATGATGAGTATTTTAGTTAAGTTAGTTTTATTAAATTACTCTTGACGCCATTCCTGTATTTATGTATTGTACCTACTTAAATTATTAAAGTTATATGAAATGAAAATGCCTATAGAACCTTTATTTTTTATTATTTCTATATACATATAGAGAAAAGCCCTATAGTCCGATTTGTACAATTTCAGATTTATACTTTCCCATAATTGGTTACTATGACTGTGCTAAATTTCATGACGATCACTTCAGTTGTTCAGGAGGAGTATGGGGAAAACAAAAGCAGGAAAGTAGTATATTTAAGAGCTTCGCTTGCTCTGTTCAACAAGTCCAAAAAATAAAAATTTTCAAACTCAGTAAAATAGATCCATTGACCATTGGTGGATACTATCATTCCATGACCATTGATCAATAGTCAAAGATAGGAAGAGGAATAGAACAGAATACAATAGAATGGAAAGCACTTTAGAATATGAAAGAGCTAACTCTAGTATCCACTTACCAGGAGAAGCGAAGAACTATGACTGAAGGAAGATGCTCGATGCTCTTATCCGGAGGATCCGGCTCATACAGTTCTTATTCTTCTTATTCAGTTCTTATCTGGCTGCCGATGCGAGCTGACATTTGCCCTCTGACCTCCGCTAGATAGTAGTCCATCATCCGTATACCCCCTCCGTCAAGTTAGTTAAAGCGTATATTTCTGACTTTCGAGGTTTCATTCATATTTTGGTGTTGAATTCGGCTTTGGTTCTTTTTTCTTATTACAAAAATGTCGACATGTGGAAGATGTGCTTTGGTGGCAGCTGGTAAAAAAGAACTTTTTTTTTGATTGCCGAAAGTGTCACAAGGTGTTTCCATGTGGTGTGCATGAGTGTAGAAACAATCAAAAACGGTAAACTGCTCACCAGCCAGCAGAAATCATAATAAATAATTGTGTGACGCGTGTGTAGGGAAACTAATTATGTCAACGTGGACATTTGGACTATGAGTATGAGACTATTAATCACATCAATCCGGAGCGTAGAGAAGAACCTCAGCAGTCAGCGGCCAGATCGGACACGTCAACTTGAACATTGAGGATGTGAAAGGGCAGTTAGCATGTTAAAAGCACAACCACATCAATGCAAAACGACTCTAAATACTCCGGTGTCTGAAAATGAAGCCATGAAATGGAATATTAATAAAATAATATTCTGGAAGAAAATACTAATTTTAAATACTCCTGCCGCAGCAAACCTGCAGACTAAGCGAATTTTTAACTTGTCTGATTACATTTTTACTAAAATATTTCCGTAAAAAAGACATACCCATTCCCAATTTAAATAACACTAGTGGAACCCCGTCAAAATCGACGGTTAATCTTGAGGTTTTATGTAAATTCAGCTAACTACGATGGATAGAGTGAAGTCATTAAAATCTTAGTTAAACGAAGGGAGGATAAGCATTAATAAGTATGACGATTGTGTTCCCTAAAAAACGTGATTGATGAATTCGTTTAACACAATATTTCCTACCTTTTTATCGGCTTTAGGTTGCCCTAAGGGTTTTTTACGAGTCTTATAATTGTTTGTTCATGAGTTTGTTTCATACCAAAGCCACTTTTACTATATGGGAGAATGAGTTCATATAATTAGTCTATTATGTTACGGAAAGAGTCAATTTTATTACTAACCACTAATTCCATCTGCTTTAGGAAAATCATTCAGATTGTATCCTGATTTATAAGTAATCTTCATCTTTGGTCATACAAATACAGAATTCTATCAGCATATTAAATCAGTTTTTTGTTTGATAAAAATATCTGGTTCTCTAGAAAGCAGTAAGATTCTTACTTCGATCTCAGCAATTTTAATTCCTTCTCTTGCCACATCGACCCATGTATTTAATCATCCTGTTCTTACTTGATAATTCATTAACTTGTGGGGTAGTTTTGCCTTGGCCATATAAATCACATAAAGCTGTGCATGTATTTCGTGGATTGGAATTAACCATAATTGTAGGAAATTTTATCACAAATCTTGAACATTTGCGGAACCAAATCCTAAATCCATAACCTAGTCCAGCCTTGGTAACAAATTATGCAAATGCGATGAGATGTGATGACACTGTTGTGTTTCCGAATGTTTTCTATGTAGTGAGGTTTAGATGCGTTGTTCGACCTAGCTACATGTGTACATCAAAGTAAAAACTGTGTACAAATTTTTTTAATACCTGAATTGACATTAGTTCACCTACTTACCAAAACCATAGATGAAACATACTCCGTAGTTAGTCTATTCCAAAACTTGAACACAGCTCTCATCCTCAACGTACTCGTCTATGACACAATTTTCAACCCGATTACCAAAAACTTTTATACCAATAAATGAATCTCAGGTGTTCTTTCTTGAATTTAAAAATAAATGATGATTGAAAGTAGGAAAAAAAGGCAAGTGCCAACCTTGTATATAAGCTAACCCGATAAGGAATAGTTATATGTTCCTTTGAAATTGATATGTCACACTTATTTCATAATTTAAAATTTTCTAAGAACAATAAAGCATAGATTTTTGAACAAAACATTTCAAACGTATCATAAATTCATCATTTTGTTGAAACTATAAAAAAACTTGCCATGCAGTGGAGACTCCATTTAAAATCATAAATAATAATGTAAACATTTAATTTTGACAGTTTCATTTGAATACAATTTTAATATTAACAGCTGGTTCATTAAAAGTAGTGTAAAATTATCCATATGGTTGAAATGTAAACAACATTGCAGAGTGAACTTTAAAGGCCTCTGGGGCAGAGCCCCAAGGAAATTTACCTCGTTTATCTTTTGAGGGCTCACCTACTGACCAATACCTTTCTTTAGACACCCCTACCATGTTTCTACGCCCAGCCGTTCTCTCAAATTAGCTGTGACAAAACCCTCGTTTTCCTCCATAAGAATAACATGGGATGGGAATTTAAAGGCCACTGGGGCAGAGCCCCGAGGGAATTCTCCATGTTTCTCTTTTGATGGCTCATCTACAGACCGGGACCTTTCTTTAGACACCTCTACCTAGTTTCTACGCCCAGCCGTTCTCTCAAAATAGCTGTCACAAAGAAAAACAGTTTCAAATTAATATATAGATTAGATTTAAAGAGTGCTTGGAATTGCTCCTACAGTGAAGGTAAAACGTGTTTTTGACCATACGTCAATAGTATAGGATGAAATAAATAAATTTCCCAAATTTTATTAATATATATCCATAAACAAGTAAACTACAACAGTTTTCATTTTCTCTATAAGAATAACATGGGAATTTCAAATTACAATTTTTTGGAACCATAGCTGTATGAGGAGCTAAATTTATGATTGATTTTACTTTTTTAGTAATACATATCGTTTCTTTACCATTTAAAAATACTATTCATAAGGCACAACCATATTTCTAAAGCTTATAATAACAGCTCATGTTAGTGTTGCTAATGATTTATTGCGAGTGAAAATGGAAGGATTTGTGATTCAATTTTTAAAAGATTGACCTAAAAATGTTTCATTTAAGTTTAATACATAGCGGTTTTGAACATTTATAGATTGAAATATAAAATGTAAAAAATAAAAAAGATATTTAAATAAGGGGGATGAAGGTATATCATGTAAAATGTTATTCGGAAATTTGGTAAGTTTTTCTTATATCAGCCTACACAAGATTTAAACTTAATCAAAACCATATTGACAGGTTTTACTGCTTGGCAGATTTAAAAGCTACAAACGTTTCTATAAAGTCCAATTGTTGAATTTTGATTCCGAAAGCGATGGCGGACGTGTAACGATTTCATACAACAGATGTGAAGATCAAAATGGTTCTATTTCGCGTCCTCTTCCCGTCGCAAAGCACAGGTACAACTATAAAATATAAACTATAAAATATGAGATGAACTATTATAACATCAATTATTAGCATTGGATCAGCTTTAAAAAACGACAATACTATATTTGTAGCGGTGCCAAACTATATTTCACTAGAAAAATGTACAAAAACCTAGGTAAATTGAAATATAAACAACAAACAATAATCATAACATGTGTTAACAAGTTAAATACAATTAATAAACCAGCTGTAACTACCAACACCTTTTTCTACATTTATTCATTTATTTTCTCTGTTCACATGTTATTTCCCAAGTTGTCTGACATTATATAATACTAGGAAACCCGTGCGGCTCAATGAGCCTCATAGTAAGAACAACAACGTTGAGTAATTCATCCAAGCATCTTGTCTCTATCATCATGTCACATCCACAATCAATGATTCGACAATCGCCCTTCACTCGTACTTTCATTAGTTTGACAGGCTCTGAGCTTGAAAATGAGCAGCACAAAAGGTCACATGGGGCTTGACACGCCCAAGGACTGATTCAAATCAGTCGGTAATAAAACTCAGCACATAAAGTTTTAGAAAACAGTTTAATATAAATTCGTTCAATTTACAAATAGAAGGTAGGCTTTTTACAAGGGCTCAGCGAGAGTAGGACCGACAGAGGGTGAAGAGAAGAAGAAATGCTTAGCCGCCACCCAGCTCGTCCTCATACTGTTTGCGGAAGCAGTCTCCGACCGGGAAGAAGTCCCAGCAACGTTGTTGATACATGTTCCATACATAAGTCTCTTGACCAGTGTATTCAGTGTCTGGCTTATTGATCAAGTGCATAAGGAAGAACCTGTCACAAACAAAACATTATTGTTATTCTATGTAATGATGCATTGTAAAACATTTGTAATAATTCTTTGATCAGATATGTATTCAACAGTTTGATCAGTAACTGTATCAAGTTTACAATGGTTTTTTAAACAGTACAACTCCAATTAATTCAAACGCCAATCTTGATCAGCAATTACTCGGAACACCTCAAAGAGAAAAAAATATATAAAATTGACCGGAAAAAATTAAGTTTATTGCAGTGTTTTGTAATCTGTTACACATTTTAATGTGTGCCAATTGCATCTATCATGCAGAGAGTCTGTAGTGTGGTATCTATCGATAGGTTTTGAGTCAACTGACTAATCACTGTCTTGCCTGTCAGTGATTGCCCTTAAAAGATATTAGTTTGTTTTTACTGCTGTGTTCAATGTGCTTGCATGGTCTGTATACAATGAAATTTGATTATAAACTAATTTTTAAAATATTTAAAGACCTTTGTCTTAAAACCCCTATTATCCAGTTGGGGTCTGAATGGTCTGATCCTGATAGTTGGGTTACTACTGCACAGGTTTTGGTTCAACTTATTTACTTGAATGCCCACAACAAAGCGGTCGTGGGGATTAAGCAAATCCAAAATAAACCATGTTGAATGTTGGGAACCTGCAAACCTGGTCTGTGAAAAACATACATCAGCGTTTGTGCAAACTAAAAATACAAACAGCTAGATGTTCACTTTTGCCCACACCACATTGTGGGTATCTCTGACGAACTTTGGGACTTTAGCATTTATTCTGGGCAATTCACTTTGACCAATGTCCAAATAAAATGCCCACTACGGTATGTGAGTATTTCACTCCGTCAATATCGCGAAGTGGGTAAAAATTTCAAACACTGTCCTAATTTGGAGTTTGAGTGTAACATATAAACCAACTCACATGTAGTTAGCCAGATTGTGCTCCTGTTGCACGTGAGTGTCAAACCCGTGAGGAACTTTGTCAAAGTAGTCCTTCCCGATGCCACAGATGAAACAGTTGGACTCCATGTCTTCCTTGACACTCTCAAGCTGGTCTCTCAACTCTCCAAAGGCGTCAATGATCAAACCTGAAACAGAACCAATCACAGGGTTAGTGCTATGGGAAACAAATATAAAACCTGTCATTTAGCGTTGTTTAATAACTGACTGTAAAGGGTGAGGGGGGTAGGAGGGAGGAGGATTAGTCCGGGGTGTGGCATGCACAAGCATCTAGCCTGCAAAATTTTAGGATTCGTAGGGTAACTCTAAACCCTATGATGTGTGTTGATTGACAATTTTAACTAATCGTTGATGAACAGTTTAATATCCAACTGCAATTTTAATTATATTCAATTGGGTGAATGAATTCATGATCTGAGAATAGGCACTTTGATGTTTTATGGGTTAAACGCTTAATTTTCATAATGTAATATTCAAACCATTGGACTGTCAGAATTGTACATAGGTTATTGTACAAAGTCTTCAGGTCAAAATGTCAACTATTTACAAATCCGTCATGGTGGAAAATTTTGAAGTAAGAGTTTTGAAATAGCTTACATTCATAACTTAGGATTCGCCCAATTTGCTGCAGCATGAAACGGATTACACATTACATAGATAAAGTGTATAACAAAAAATTGTTCCGACCGTTAATTTAGGAAACAGAAACCTTTAATTGTTAAAAGTTTGATGAAAATATGATAAATTAACCAATATACATATTGGTGGCAGTAACTAACTTCTTAGCTATTGAGCTATTTTTTACATAAATATCAACATACCCTGAATGATAGCTAGCAGAATGACAATGACAAAGAAGAAGAAGGTGATGTCGAACATGATGCGGTAAACTTCATAGTCGTCTCCGTCTGGAGGTTCGATCTCGTCACCAATACCACCTCCAGCTCTCACACCCTTGTACAAGTGGAACACAAAACACTGAAACAGAAACAATTCCAGATAATCCTAAATTCATAACACAACATTATAGTAAAACCCCGTTCATCTGATGTACAACAGTCCGAGTCACATTCAATAGTTGACGGGCGCATTTGGCAAGTTATCAGGCAATAAGCTCTAATCGGGTGAGTTGAGCAAGCTCGTAAAAATTTTCTTTTGAATATCAAAGTAGAATTTCACCTTTCCCATTAGAAGAGGAAATTTTAACAAAGTACTCAGTGCTTTGGCATTTTTGGTAATCAAGCAAAACTGATATCTACTGTGAGATACAGTAAACACTTTAATCCAAACTGATTGGGTTGTAAATTGACTGATTGATGAAAGTCCTGGTGGTATGACGAAAGACTGGTCATTTGGTGGTTGTTCCATTATCTTGTATATATTAAAACACATAAAAAAACATAGGAATACATAATTTAAAAATAAAACAATAATCGTCAAGCCCTAAAACAATTGGTGTTTTAGATTTTAAATGTCTGTTTTGCATTTAAACTTTATTTAGTAGTTGAATAATATATTAATTTAATATTAATATTATAGCCAGTGCCATTACACTCACACAACTTTTACACAATTGGCTACATTGGCGGAACTGGTGTCAAATGGCTGTCCAGATCAAGCAAAGTCTGTGTTATGGGGGTGACTAAGTGTCAATGAATCATCAAACATATTTTATACTACTGTATGCATAAACAGAAAACATAAGAACAAAATTACACAGGCTTCAACACGGAGGCATACGTTTGCAATAGAATTTACCAGGCCAGCAGGTACCAAGTAACAAGTAAGGGATCTTTAAACTCACCGTTAACATATCATGACATTTTTTATCCACTGATTCGTCTTCTTCTTGGATGTAGAATTTGCGGAAGAAGTTGAAGGCAATGACGGTGTATATGTATACAATGATGGTAAGTAGCATTACTGTCAACACCAACTAAAACAAACAGCTCAGTAAGGAATCACTCAGTTTTTAGCACAGATAAAAATAATTCTTTTTGATACTCAATTTTATCGGTATTTCTGCTATAATTGAAATAAATTAATGGAAATATAGCAAAACTCTTATTGACAGGACTTGGAAATTGAGGATTTGTGGTAATTTGGCAAAGTTAAAGTCCAGATCACGGAAAGTCTTCAGTATATTTTTTATGACACAAATGAACAAAACTAAACATTGACAGTGAACAAAATGCTGTTCTAACAGTAGATTTTAAATAATTATCTTGTAGAAATTGCCAAGATAAGTAATTTAGTTATATTCTGTTTCAACCTTTTTTTCATCAAATTTAAATAAAAATGTTTGTATAAAAATGAGACTTAAAACGTTAAAATAGTAATGGTTTTAAAAAAAAAAAATCTTTCGCTAAAACATACTGCGCAACTACAAAAGTCAAATCTATTGATCGTAAATAAAGTTTGCAGAATGCTTTGTAATATTTCTTTGTATATTGCTTTGTGTGACGCTTGCGTCACAGCGGCGACGCATCAGACGGTAAAGATCAGCTGACTGCTGGAGAACGGGGGAGGGGGTAGGAAGCGCAGAGACAGAGGACAGTCGTGTTCCGTAGTCAAGAGGGTGTAGGCGCCATGGTCAAGGCTGAACTCCATCGCCGAATGGATAAGTCTTCCTTAGTTTATTAAGCAATTTTATAATATGTTCTAATTTTTCAGGAAGGGGGGATTAAGGGGTTAGGGAACTATTAATTATTTCAGCTTAGTATGTAAATTATACTTTAGAGCACACTCGTACCCTTTAGGTAGGAGTGGAAGTTTTCAGTGTTCTTTTCCTTATTAATTAATAATTAGATGCATTAGAAATATTAGATCATCAAAATGGCTGTGATATGGATGTGGTTTGGCTCAGTAATTAATTTAAGATCTTTATTATTCAACTCAGAATATCGCTTGCAACACTGGATTGATTATATTGAGCCTTAACGATCCAATGAGTCCAGTACCGTTACTATAAACTATAGTAACACACTTCATTTGTATAATCTTCTTTTGGTTTTCTCACCTGTTTTCCGTTGTGAGTTACAGACTGCAAGATCGTACGCAGAGTTTTGAAACCAACGGCAACATCAAGCAAATGGGCAGCAAAGAAGAAGTTATTGAAGTTCCCGAAGACAGAGAACACAAAATACCACAAGCTGTAGAGGAAGGCCTGAAAATATTCAATAAGATAATTTAGAATCTGAGGCACAAACTCACGTATACACCAGAGTGCTGAGAGGGAATGTTACTGTGTTGTAAAGCTACAGTATGTGTAGCTGACTGCGAAACTGGGAATAATTATACTTAAATTTTGATTACTGGGAAAAGTCAGTGAATCGTAGAATTGTACACTCAAAGGTCAAGAATGATCAGGGCTGGATTTAGAATTTTAGTGTCCCTAGGCCCAATAATCTTTTCGCCCCTGAAGTTAGTTATGTTAAAGTTACTTTCCTAAAAGTTGTTAATATAAAAAAAACTATATCAGGATCAGGCATAATTTCTTGAACACCACTCCGCGACGCAATTTTATCATTGTGCAAGTTTTTCAAAGAGTTTAATTGCTTCTGGCCTTACTTTACCACACAAGTGCGGTAAAGTAAGTAAACAATGCGGTTAAGAGAATTTTTCAATTCTAAGAATTAAATTTAAATGGCTAGTTTAAAAAACGGTCGTAGGTAAAACCTTTCTCATACACAGTTGGTTTTCTTTGGTATAAAATAACAGCAAGCCAAATTATTTACTTACATTATCTGTGATGGTAACTCCTGCTTTCCATACTTGGTATCTCCAGTCTATGTTGAGGATACTGAAACAAGAGGAAATCATTATCGTTTAAGTGTGTCAACTTATAAAACAACATTTATGGGCTAGCATACTTGTCTTTACAAAAGCATGATTTGTAAAAATCTTCAATACTTCAGATAAATATTAACTCTCATACAAACTCCTGAAATACAAATTAACTGATGTAAACATAAAGGATGAGTGTACAATGATGTCAAGTTTATTTAAGTTTGTTACGTACTTAGAACAGCTGTTTCTTAAGCCGCAATCATTATTAATAGCAATAGCCCAATGATAAATTCCAGTCTCAAAACATTGAAAAGTTATTGATTGACTTTAATCGAACCTGCAACTATCTGATTACCAGGCGAGCACTGTAAACAGTCTGTCAAGACACCACAACTTTACACTTTACACACAAATTATAAGATAACCCAGTCACTAGCAGGGAGGTTTGAGTTGGAAAGAGAGAGTCTTCAGGAACAATAGTGTTCAGGAAGTCCAACTGAAATCGACAAACATTTCTTTTCAATTCAAACCTTACAGAAAAATATTTTAACTTTTGTCTATAGTGTATTGTGATTGTGTGTATTGTGTATTTGTCTAGAGTGTAATGTCATGTGTTTATTGTGCCGGAATTCTCTTTCCTCCATCCTTGTTGGCCTCATTAGCCTTTAACCCAAAGGCCTTAAACCTTAAAGCATTATTATCAATCTTTGCAAGTGAATGGCCATTTTTAACCACTTTTACCTCATAAGCCACGAGTTACTCACAAGCTAATAAGGCCAGTGCTCTCTTCAGTTTCCATGCTGAATGATGTCTTCTCCATTCCAAGCAAGTTACTGATTGAGTCAAAGTCATAAGATTCACTGTACTTTTGCCGCACCTTCTTCTTAACAAATTTGTCCCAGTAGTTGACCGGAAATGATCTGCATTAAGAAAAAATGTACAGTTTATTATGAATCAATCAGGTACAATAATAGTTTTAGCCTATAGTATGAATGCGAGGCAAGGTAAGATTTGTAAAATAATTTGTAACTTGAACACATTTTTTCTCAGAAAAACCAATTAGGTTATCAAAAATTCTTAAAAGGAAAGGACTAAATTCTTAATTCTACCCTTGGCTTTTTTACATTAGTGTAGACTTCCCATTGCAAATAACTGCTGCAAAATCGTAAATTTTAAATTGCAGATTTTTGGCAAAACTTTCTACGATGGTGAAAATAACAGTCGACCGTGAATGGATCACACAGGCCAACTGTTGGCCCGAATCAAACCAAAAATATCAGGGACTTGCAGAACCGTACTTTTGACTCATCATAAAAAAAAGAAAATATCAGCACAGTAAAAAATCAACTAAAATACAATAACATAAAGTTAGAGTGGTACATGTCCACAAAACCACAGGTTTACAGAGGTTTCTGGTCACAATAAGACTTGGAGTAACAAAAAGGTATGAAAAGTTAAAAAATTGTGGTATTTTAAATCTATAGTAGGATGCAAAATAGGTACATAAACATACATGGTACCTAAATGAAATAAGGCTTCAAAAGCTCAACGCAAATCTTCCGATCACTGTACAACTATGGTGGCCGAAGGGATTGTCTTGTTACGGTGTACTTTGTACAGTCACATCACATGGAAACAGTACACAATATCATGGTACTTGATCGTCCACATAAGTCGAATGATTGGATGATTGAGGGTCAGATTTAGACTATTGTACTTAGAAAATATTGAACTTACTTGGCAGATATGACCAGTTTGTCCCAATGAGCCTTGATATCATCATCTTCTGGTTGTTCCACGACGTACAAGCCATCAAATTCCAGCCGTCTTGCAATCTCCTTCTCACGTTTGAAAATAGCCAGCGGAACCTGACAGGAACAGCGACACAAGTTGTAGAGAGAAAATATAAATACAACAACCTTCTAGAACAAATTGGTACTCAAAATAAACTATCTTCACTTCTGTCTCATTGTCTGGCAAATGTTAAGTGAATGGTTTTTGTCTGTTTATTTACATTTTAGTCTTTATTTGTGACGACTGTTCACTAACACCATAGACGAGGAGGATTTTTAAACATGGTATCCTGCTTGAAAATGAACTTTTGGATAGGAAACCGTGGTCGCTTAACTCAAAACAGTATCTTGACATTACTACAGGTATTTTCAAACTTTTACTTGTTAAAACATGATGTGGAAGGCTCAGAACGTTTGGAATTATTTTGTCTCTTCTGATTCACAAATTAAAAAGCCGTCTTCTGTTGCAAAATTTTATGAGTGAAAACTGCCAATGTGATTTATAGTGAAAAGAGACATTAAAATGATCACCTTGAGATGGTAGTAAGCAATCAACATGGCCAGAGACACCAAAGAGTGAAGGCATGCCATCAACCTCATCACATGTGCCATGTAGTAGAAGTCTTCATCTACATGCACAAGTTCTATGGGGTCTTCTTCATCACCTCCTGGAAACCACAAACAAGTCAAGACTGATGAAAAGTCAGAGAGCATGTTTAAGAGCCCAACGTAAATATTTTATAATAGCTTTTATTTGGTAACAGCTTATACCCTATATGGGAAATTCGCTAAAATCAGCTATTTCAAAACATATTTTACAGGATTCAGCAGTTTTTCCATAAATTGGGCAAAAAAGAGTCTGTTGGAGTAAAAGAAATTAACAGTACATTTTTCCCTTTAGAAATTGATTTTGTTTGGCAAAACAGTTTTTCTGATATAAAAGTTATTCAAATTTCTTAGTGATTATCATTGTGTTACATTGTACCTTCTTCACCACTGCCTAAGCCATCCCCGCCGTCGTCCTCAGCACCAGCTCCACTGCCACTACCTTGGATCAGCTCTTCCATCAACTCCTCTACAGACCCTGGCTCTGCGGCTCCGTCATCATCCTCTCCCAACGTCGTTACCTACACAAGCACAACACCACCCAGGATTTGAGAGGAGATCTTAGTAAAAATCCAATACAGCACACCATGACATTGATATTTAATAAGTAATTGCTTTTTACTAAGTATTGCTTTAAATGCTCAGTGATCACAGACTTTTGTCACGGTTTTTAATAGTTTATGACAGGGGAGCGAGCTGGTCTAGTGGTAGAACAGGGGACTTCGGCCCCTGAGGTCCCACGTTCAAATCCCGCCAATCGATTTTATCTTAAGTGATAATGCCACAATCCCTAGGTATAGCTTGAAGTAATGTGAAAAAAAATCTGACAAATTTAAGTTTATGATAAGAATAAAAAGAACAGGTTAAATCTACCAATTGCAATTGTTAAGGTGAAAAAAACTCTATCTTATTCTAATTTGAATTTGCTAAATATGAAGTTGCTATGAATTCCTAAAAACTAAACTGTGTTGTAAAGCCTGGAACCAACTGGATAAAAAATATTCAGTTTATGAGCACCTCTGGCTTTTCTAGTACCTATACAAATTGAAAATTTCCTTACAATTCTACAAGAAAATGTAGTTAAATTTTCAATTTTCTAACTTGAAAATGTGTGACATTGGCTTGCTGTACTTTTGTTTGATGTGTGCTAATTTGGTTATTGTGATTTTATTTGCTGTGGAGTTAGCATGTAAATATTCTGTAATAATGACAATTCCCATTGTATGCATATTCTTAAAGGCCGAAAAGGAGTTAGAATTTAAATTACACACATTCTCTACATTTACAATTTTTACCTTGTAGAAGAGCAAGATGAAGTTGATACAGAAGGCCAAAACCAAGGCGACATACTTGAGATTGTAGAAGTTCCTAGCAAGGTAACTCACAATACGCTGAGTGTAGCTGTTGAAATCAATCTGGAAAATACATCCAAACTATAGTACCATGTTTGTGAAACTACCACTTATTATAAGCTTTAATATCTTTTGATACACATAAAATATCAAAGTGTCTAAAATAAGAGTGAAAAAGAGTGTTATTTTACAACAGCACATCTAGTGAGTGGCAGGCTGATTCATCTACATACTAGGGATGGACGGGATTGAATTTTCAGTTCGGGACGGGACGGGACGGGATTTTTATTTCCTTCCCGATTTTCGGGACGGGACGGGACGGGATTTTTTTTCTGTGCATAAAAAGAAAGTACTGTATTGCAGTTACCAAAAAAGACATACGAAATCAATTTTTACCATTTGTGGCACTGATCTATAAAATCAAAAAATGGGTAACAATTTACAGGTACCTATAGAAACTTGTGACTCCCGGTCACGGGGTGATCGCCTGTATGACTCACGGTCACGGCGCAATCGTCGTCATGACTCGCGGTCACAGCGCGATCGTCGGTATGACTCGCAGTCACGGCGCGATCGTCGGAATGACTCCGCGGTCACGGGGTTATCGTCGGTATGACTCGCGGTCACGGCGCGATCGTCGGTATGACTCGCGGTCACGGCGCGATCGCCGGTATGACTCCGCGGTCACGGGGTTATCGTCGGTATGACTCGCGATCACGGCATGATCGTCGGTATGACTCGCGATCACGGCTCGATCGTCAGCATGACTCCGCGGTCACGGCGCGATCGTCGGTAGGACTCTACGGTCACGTCGTGATCGTCGGTAGGACTCCACGGTCACGTCGTGATCGTCGGTATGATTCGCCATCACGGCATGATTGTCAGTATGACTCCGCGGTAACGGCGCGATCGTCGGTAGGACTCCGCGGTCACGGCGCGATCGTCGGTATGACTCGCGGTCACGGCGCGATCGTCGGTATGACTCGCGGTCACGGCGCGATCGTCGGTATGACTCGCGGTCACGGCGCGATCGTCGGTATGACTCGCGGTCACGGCGCGATCGTCGGTATGACTCGCGGTCATGGCGTGATCGTTGGTATGACTCGTGGTCACAGCGCGATCGTCGGTAGGACTTCGCGGTCACGGCGCGATCGTCGGTTGGACTCCACGCAAGACTCCACGGTCACGGCGCGATCGTCGGTAGGACTCCGCGGTCACGGCGCGATCGTCGGTATGACTCGCGGTCATGGCGTGATCGTCGGTATGACTCGTGGTCACAGCGCGATCGTCGGTAGGACTTCGCGGTCACGGCGCGATCGTCGTTATGACTCCGCGGTCACGGCGTGACTGTCGGTATGACTCCGCGGTCACAGCCCGATCGTCGTTATGACTCGCGGTCACGGTGCGATCGTCGGTCCAATAATCGCGGCCACGGCACGATCGTCGTTATGACTCCGCGGTCACGGCGTAATCGTCGAAATGACTTCGTCTCCTGCGTTCGCGGACCTATCGCTCGCAATAACGGCGTTATCGGCACTCGCGAAGCGGAAAAATCGCCGACGATCGGACCAAATCCCGTCCCGAAAAATTCCCGAGTCAATTGTAATCCCGTCCCGATAATCGGGAATATTTTTTTCCCGAAAAATTCCCGAAATTTCGGGACCCGTCCATCCCTACTACATACGTACACTTTAAAATCTGCTACAGCTGGTTCTAGTGGGTCTATTTTAAGTATATAAAATTGAATGATAGTGTTAAAAGAGTGTGTTTATATAATTTCAAGCTCGTGGGAGTTCTGGTACCTGAGATATGGCTGAAGGCTCGGTGGACACTTCTTGCTTGGTCTCGGCCTCCACTGCAGCCATGACAGCTTGTTGTTGTGCAGCGACCTCGGCCACAGCTGCGGCTTCTCTACGCGCAGCTTCTCCTCTGCACAAAGTACAACCACATACAGGCAATGGTCAGGACACCAGATAAGCTTCCTACCACCAGGGATGAATGGGATTGTTGACGAGGAACAAATCTCTATACTGTATGATTTTAATCTAAGTGGAAAATTGTTTACAGCTCCTAATAGATGGGATGTCTACAACAGACAAGTCAATAACTAATACTTTGTTAGATCTCAATAGAAAGTTATAATATAAGTTATTGTTATAAACTCAAAGCAACTCACCCAAGCAGGTCAGCCAGTGTGATGTGCGGAGTTCCTTCGCCACCTTCTCCTTCAGCCTTGTGCTCTTCCCCTCCTTCACCTTCAGGCAGTGGTTCTCCTCCCTCTCCTTCACCACCAGGTGATGGTGGGGAGCCTTCGTGAGCTCTAGTCCTGTTTAACATGAAAAACTAATCAAAAAGATACAATACAACAGTATGACACCCTGTTGGACTGCTCAAATAAAATGTAAGATTTACTTTGGAATCAATTTATTTACTATCTTCAGAGTAACAATTGAACTAAATGTAATGAATGTTTTATTGATTTTCTTCAAGATGCCTCATGACTTTTGGCCAAAGTTAACCATTGACCAATTTACCTAATTCCTAGTCTTGCGTCAATGACACTTGCAAACAATAGTTGCTCATTTTTGTAAAAAAAGTTGTATGGATTTTATTTGACATGGCGCTTGAATGAAATTGAAACTACTTGGTCAGATGATCTTATAATATTCAAACAAATTATATTTGTGTACGATGAATTTTCTAAATAACTCTAATACGTGACCTTGGAGCATACTTCTAGCCTAAGTTATAGTCAAGTGTTCCTTAAAAGTGAATTGCAGAATTTACTGGCAAAAAAATCAAATGAGTTAATTATTATTCTTAGAATAAATCAATAAATTAATTGATGTTTCAGAGTCTCAAATCTTAAAACCACAAGAACTTTGGAAAAGTTTCAGTTTTGAGATTCCATTGGCGAGTTCAAACTTAAAAGCGTGATTTAAATCTAAGTATTGATTCAATGATGTATTGATCTCATATTCCGTTTTATGTAGGTCTGAATATTTTTTTTTTATAACGTTTTTGGTTTAAATTGTACAGCCATGTCATTATTTATAACTATATATTTTTATTAACTTACGTACAGTTAGTCAAGTTTAGTTCATGGTTAAATGACAAGTAATTTTTCTAGTGTCTTATCTATTTTCTTTGACTCATTTAGTTAAACATACAAAACAATACTTAATGTTACTCACTGTCCTGTGTCGTCCTTGCCTCCATCGCCTTGAGCGTTGCCTTCGTCCGAGGGAGGTAACGCTGGTAACACTCGCAAAGGTCCGATCCTCCCCTCTTCTACCACCTCCACTACGGGCTCCTCAACCACTGGTCCTCTCATCAGAGACATGATCAGACCACCGATGTATCTGTCAAATCGCAAAATAATGTGATTCTTTTGTTAGTTATACTTAATAAAAACTACTGACTTAAATAACTACTGACTATGAATAATAGCATTTACGTAAAATTAGTAAAATTTAGTGAGAATTGGCAAGTTAGATTAGTTAAATAATTTAAAATAAACATGTTCTATCCATGATTACCTACATACGACTAAGTGTTGTGCAAAATATTGTCTTCTGAGGAGGAGCCCAGTTGGGAAACACTTAAATACCTCAAACTAACCTAGCCTGCACTTTTAAAGGGGTGGTCTTCATACAGCAGTAAAGTAGTGTTATACATAGGAAATTATTATGATTACAAAACTTTAAAAAAATACTTACTTGAGTACAACAGAAACACTGTAACCAGCGTAGTAGAACATGTAGAAAAAGATTTTGAAAAACCCGAGCAAGAGTTCTACTGGTGTCATTTGCTGCATTTCCCCGATCTTGGCCTTTATGTTGGAGGGAGAGAACATACCCAGCAAAAAGTATAGTCCGTCCTTCACAGCTGTCAAACTCCTTCTGATTGGGTCCTTAGCGTTCCTGAAACCAAAATATTTGCATGAAAAAATTTCAGATAAATATTAGAGGACCACTAAAACGGTAAGTTTTTCCCTGTATGTGTCGGATTACTGAGAGTTTGATGTATACATATGATTTTAAACCCTGATAGATAAAAAGTTCTGAAAATAACACTTTATTATTTGAAGGAATATATTTGAAAATATAGTTGTAGATTTTAAGGTTACATTAAAAATAATGTAAAAAAAAACTGTAGATTTCTATGAACCAAGATAGATAGGTTTTACTGTATGCTGGTGTATGAGTGGCCTACTCACTTCTCATCTTCATCTTCAGCCATGTAGGCATACGCTGCCTTCCTCGCCTTGCCACCACCACCGCCTCCGTCATCCACTGCCATCAGTCCACTGGCGTGCTGCATCTCAAAGATGGCGTCCTCGCAGAAGTTAACGAACGCCTCCAGCTTCTCCTTGTCTCCACCCTCTGTTACGATAGAGTAAAAGAACGCCCTCTTTGACTCCTGGGAACAGAGACACGAGGTGAAAGGACTACAGCTCGGTGGGGAATATCTTATACTATAAATAGCACAAATACTAAGTAAAATTGATGTAAAAACCGTCAACATCGATGGTATTTTTAAAGTCTTATTGTCATCAAACAGCATCAAGATTACATCAATTTGATTTCAACCTGTAATGAAAAAATTCATTCAATATTTGAGAAACATTTGAAAAATAACAACACATGTCATAAATCAATAATTTTACGTGGTGTAAAACAAACAATATGTTGAGTAAAATAAATAATAATGTTAACTTTAAGTAAAATGTACATGAAATTGATATGACAAATGAAAGAAAATGCACAAAAGTATGAATGTTTTAATTTTTACCAACATTACTGATAACCCGTTACTTGGTTCTCAAACTTAACACCCTTCCAGCTCACTTCCTCAGAGTTTGTGGGACTCTACTTTACTCTGTACGATCATGTGTGAATTTATATCCACTCTACCTTAATTTGAGGCTTCTCCCATTGTTCAATGTTGGATTCCTTAATCTCAAAGTAGACTCGTTCAATGCGCTTACTGCCACCCATGATCTCAATCCTGCCCAGGAATGGTTCAAAGTAGTTCAAAACACTTCCTGCTGTCTCCAAAAACCTTGCCAGCCTGCACAAGAGATTCACATCATAATCTGTTACACTATAAGGAATATTCACATACAATTTTACAACTACATCTACTTTCACAACAATGATTTTGATTTTAAAATTTACAGAAAATAATGAAATAAATAAAAGTAAACACAATATTACAAGCCTTATCGTTGTTATGTTGCGGAATCGTGTGTAAAATTGCTAAATGCCCATTTTTATTTGAGCCTTCATATCAAAGAGGGTGGAGGGGGTGCAACTACCTCTCGGGCTCATATAGCACGTCGCATGCAAACCGCAAACCTGCTCAGATATATGAATTAAAGCTATTAAAGAGTATGTGTACAATGATAATTAATTACCTAGGTTCATTTGGCATGTGCTCGGAAAGATTTGTCAAGAGCACAGCCAAGTTGAAGCCAATTTCTTTTGAGGGCTCGTGGAATCGATCCGTGAATGTAACATAATCGATCTTGCCGTCGTGGTTTGTTTCACAACAAGATAACATGAACTCAATCTCTTCTCTGGAAAACAAAACTTATAAATAATAAGAATATAAAAAATATAAATCAGTTAAATGGTTCAATGATGACTAATTAGAAATCGTAATATATAACTAATAAATGAATGAATATTTATTGTTTTCTTTACATAATATTACAGAATAAGATGAATACAATAAAAAAGGGACCAATAATATATCCAAAAAGAACTTTTTCCACACATATTTTTAAAATATGTTAGAAACAACAAAGAATATTTTAGTAAACATTAAAATAGCCGTACTTACGGAGTATAGCTTTTTTGCTGTTCCATCTTTTCTTTGAAGTCCTTGGGGAAAACCCATCCTTCGTTGTTCACATCAATTTCCTGTAATTTAATTAGTATCGTAATAAGTCATAAACAAAAAGGATGTTAGAGCTGATCAAAAACAACATTCCGTCACAGTCTTTTATTGACATTATCTGTGAAACCTTTCCAACATATCTTTATTTAAAGAAATACATAACATGCTTTTTATAAAAATTTCCAATGCATGATGACTTTTTGACAGCTTTTCTCCAATCAATGGTTAGGTTCTACATAGCTTAGTGTCTTGTTTAACTTAAAACATAACTAGCATACATTATTTTTGTGAGTTGTTGTGTCTCTCTAAGTTCATAGGATTCAAGAATAAATAAGACGAATTACACTAGTTTGAGTTAAATAAATTTGTCCATAATATGAACAGTACAATAGACTAATATAGTGATTGTGCATTCGTTGGTTTGGTTATATCTATATCTCTAAGTAAGTTTATGTTGAAAAATAACTTACAAGGAAACTGGGTGAACTGGTCAGGTCTTTCAGCTTCAAGAACATGTCAAAATACTTCAGGATCAACTGCAAAAAAAACATTGATGATATTAGCTCTAGATTATTTATTAAATTTAAGTTTAAATGGCTCAATCTGTCAAGACCCAAGATGACAACGTAGATTTAGTCAAACAAAGCAATTGACACATCTATTAAAAATAAAACACTAAACTAGAATCTTACAAGCTGATTATAAGGCTAAAACCAAGAATAAATAATCTGAACAGTCACAAACAATCCAAGAAGTTCATTTTGCTTTGAAAAATGTACATTTATTTGGTTTATTGACTTAGTCAACTGACATAGTTCTGTAGAGAGACCTTCTAGCATCAAAATCTATTTTAAAAACTATTTTTTGTAATAATCACCTCAACATTAGACGCAGATTCTACGAGCGTGTCCACCATCTGTTTTCCAATAGTACCGTTCACGACATTACCTACACAACAAAACAAAAATGTTTAATAGCAATGAACAACAAACCAACAATGAACAATTATTAATTGTAAGGCTACAAAATGGCTGTCAAGTAAAAAATATAAGCAGTAGAGTAGCATTTTAGATTCAAATTAGTATTACCATTTGTTATATATGACTCATGCTGTACAGTCTAACCTTGATATAACGAACCTCAATACAACGAATTCCTTGATATAGCGAATTTTTTTAAATCCCCTAGAACTCTCCATAAGACACAATGTATATTTTACCTCTACATAACGAACAAACAATAACAACGACCTTGATTTAACGAATTTTTCGTGATTTCGGCTGAAATAAGACACCTCAATATAGCGAATTTATCATTGTCAGATCCTCTACATTGCGAATTTAACCTCTGCATAACAAATTGTCTACGTCTTTCCCTCGATATAACAAATCCCCCACCCCATTATTGTTTTTGAAAAATCTGTTTCTTTATCAAATGAAATGGAAAGGTGACGTCATCGCTTGCGCTAACATTCGTCTGCTCTGTTTTACGTGGTTTTACACATCTCTGTCTGCTTTCGCTGCGCGCGCTATGTTGCAACTGAGAACTGAACTGATTTCATTCACTGAGGACTGATGACGACGTAATGTTTAGTAAGCTGTGAAACTATGGTGAATTGTACAATTTTTGGATGAAGAGAAACCTAAGAAAGAATATAAAAACAAAACCAAAGAGAAAGAATAGCAACATCGTTATTTTAACATTCCTTTTTCGAGTGTTTTTATTATCTTTATGTTGGCTATGATTATACACTTTTATAATGTCTTATCTAATAATTTACTGTATTGTTTTCAATACGATTTGTTTCAACTAGCAACACCAATGCTATAGTTAATGATTATTATTGACATTCCTCTGTTGTGATAAATCAGTACTGTACATACTGTAAGTAGCCTACTGGCCTATCACGAGCCGTAGCTTACAAAACTTTCTACTACTGTTTTGTTTTGTTCTTTACATGGTTTATGACTACGCAATACAGTGTTTGGCTAGGTTTTAGGAGGGTTAAAACAAGCTGTGATTTTAAACTTACATCTTTTAACCCGTACAAAGGTCAATGCCATTGTCATGATTGCGCAATATTCAAGATCCCTCCCCTTTATTATGCCGGATAATTTAGGTTCTACTGTACAATGTCAACACTGTACTGCAAAGTATTGTAGCCTATGCTACTTTAATTGTGTTTTCCTGATGTCTAACCCTATATTGACCGACGCCGGTTCTGAACCTCGACTTAGCGAAATTCCTGCAAACATAACCTCTATATAACGAACCTCGTTTTAACGAAACCCTTGATATAACGAATATTCAGTTCGGTCCCTTCAGATTCGTTATACTGAGGTTGGACTGTATAATGTTTGTTATCTTTCTACAAGTCATTTGAGGTATTATATTAAAATAACTGATAATAGTGGTAATAAAATAACCTCTTTCATGTCAGCCACCAGCCACTAGCTAAACAATCACTATTACTTAAGTAGTTTTTTGGAATATAAAGGCAATGGTGACAATGCTTTTGGGTTGTATTTAGATTTTTAAAAATCAGAAAGATTTTGAAACTAGAGAAACCATAACAAAATACAAAATAATGAACTTATTTGCCATTGTGTTTTGAATGATTTGTAAGGTTAGAAACATCTTTACTCTTCATCGTTGTTACATGTAGAAACATGTTATGTATGAGAAAGCACTGTTACCTTCAAGCATGGACAGCATCATTGTGATCATGTCCTTCTGAAGGTTGAGGAGCTCCTTCAGCAGATCCACCTGGCTGGAATGTCTGGACAGTTTGTCCTGCATGTGAGAGAACAGGAAGAGAAAACCTCCAACAGCGTCCCACAACCTCAACAATACAACAAACAGTCAATTAGTCAACAGAAGCAGCACCTATACATGTGTATCACTAAAGCTTTAAGTGATTTAGCTCAAGCTAACCCTAACCACACCATTAAAATAAGGTTTTACCACTTTTTTCAACGTGAAATTTTAACAAAACTAAGCAGGGTGGGAAATTTTTTAAGTACAAACAGTAAAATTATTTAATTATCTTTTACCTACTAACTTTCGCACAGACAAAACTTCTTAAACCACCAAACAAAATGTTAGTCATCTTTTTCATGTCACATTTTTAGTTTTTCTCCATAAACACTATCAATGATATATTCTGTAAACCAAACAGAAAAACTTTTGTATCCTATTGCTATGAAGGATTTATCCCCAAGCAAAGTACCAAATTCAAAATTTTATCTCGATTGTAAGGGTGTCACAATGCAGTACATTTATAAAGTCTGAACTACTAATTTCTGCAGAGTCTGAGGAATTGCATCCAGCGTTTGTCGTACAAAGATGGTGATTTGGCCACAATATGTGTATTGATTGTTAGGATGGTATGTCTCTTCTAGTGTTATATTCTGTGTTCGCTGGTTAATCCCTACTGATTTAATCTTAAATCTATGTTTCAACCAGGGCCGCGTTAAGGGTCAATGGAGCCCTTGGCAAACTCAAAAGCAGCGCCCCCCTTTTTTTAGTGCGGGCGGTAGATGGACGTGCATTGCCTGCCAGGCACCTTCCAACCACCGGCGCCCCTGGGCATATGCCCAGTCTGCCTGTTTATAAAAGCGGGCCTGATTCCAACAGATTGCTACTAAAATAAATCAGGTTTTTCTGGGGAAGTTTTGAAATCATAATTCTCCGGTACAACACATTCACGCATGATTCCTGGTAATCCCGAAATTCCTATCCTGTGGTCACCCTGCAGGAATAACTCTTTAAATAACATTTGGTAAGTGTACCTGGAATGTGCCAGTGCTTGCTGGTTCTGTGTGCAAGGACCTTGAATGACTTCAGACAACGTGTTGAACACCTGACTGGCCACACCAATGGCCTTGAAGAAGTTGGCTTTACCAGCAGGATCTATCAACTCCTTGCTGGAGTAGTGCCAGTAGAAGTCCATTATAGACTCCTGCAACCAGAATAATCTGCTGTCAAAATGGAAGTATACTGTTTCGGTTAAGATGAGGGAAAATTCTTTAAATTGATACTGGTTTCTATTAACTCTGAGTTCTGAGATCTCCGCAAGAGTAACACAATCAAACTTACTTTGAGTAAATTGTCAATAGTTATTTTGTCTTCGACTAAATAGAGTTTATTTATACTGTATAAAAGCACAAAAATGTTATTCAGTTTTTTAAATTATTATGGTTGTCATGAACAATGAACAACTAAAGAATTTAATTTTTGTAATCAAATTGGATTTTTGTTTTATTGTAAAGAGGTTAAAAGTAGCATAGTAGTTTGGCTGCAGATTTGTCGGGACTTCCATGATGTTTGTGATAATGGACTGGAGAGATAAGGAGGACACAAACACTGACTGATGGAAGTGATAAGAGTTTGGACTTGATTTCCCTTTAGTTTAATGAGCTGCAGACAAGCCATGTCAGGCTTTTGCAGCATGGTGTATAATGATCTGTAAAAATGTGTGTTCAATTTGTTTCAAATAAATAAATACTTACTTACTATCCATGTAAGTGTAACTAGACAAAAACAGCTGAAAGCTATACATAAACTGCAACCTAGGAGTCTAGTTTAGAAATATTAGGCTTGGTCTATTAGCTCATCAGTGTTGTTTGGTAGACCAATAGGTCTGTCTATGGCCGAGCAGTCTAAGGCACCCTGTCATGGTCAGGTATAACCCCCAACAGGCAAGAGCATGTGTTAAAGAGTCTCAGAGGCGTAAGCAAACCTCCTAGAAGACACATATTTCTAAGTTAAAATCGATGTTCCATTCTCTACGCGCAACGTTTACCGTTCCAGCGTGTAACTTGAAATTGGAGTGTTTATCCATAGAATTTTTCATCAACCCACAATTTCTCTAATAACCTCCAACAAGACTCATGTATCCATGGTAAAATATAAGTTCCATTCTCTCCGTGTAACATCTGCAACCCTCCAGAAGTGTCATGCCCATGGTAGAATCAATGTTGTCTCTCTTTAACAAGCCATTGAAGAATTTCCGTATCATAGTACATTTTGGTAAGTATGTTGCATCCGAGTAAACTGTATTATTCAGGTCTGGTGTGCATGAGGGCTTGGGGCAAGTGGCCCACCTAAAATTAACTCTCGGGTCAGGGTTGAAACTTTTGGTTAAGGAAAATCGGGAAGGGTGGCCTCTCTCAGGATAAACACGGATAAAAGGGTCCAAACTCTGGACTGTCCCGACAAAATAAAGATGGGTGGAAACCCTGGTTCCAGTAGGAAGCAAAGGAATGGGTCAATTCTTTGAGTTGCATCTCAAATCAGACATTATACTGCTTCTTAAGAGTCCTTGGAGGCTAGCGGCCATCTTGGATTTGCCCCCCATAAGAGCAATGTTAATTTTGTTAATTTCAAACATCAGCCGCTGACAGTTATTTACCATCTCAAAATATTTGTTCATACTCCAGAGTGATTGTAATTGAAATATATAGTATACTGTGAGATTAGAAATTTTCTTTGTAGTTCTTTAATTGTTTTACGAGTAAGAATGTCTAGGCTCGAAGGACTCTTAATATCTAGATTTAAGTGTGTCAACCGAAGATTTGTTTTCAAATAATTTGGTTTCACATATTCTTAATGACAAAGGTAGATTTTGATAAAACTAGTCAACATAAAATAACTGGATAATCCATTAAGTTTAAAGGATTAAAGGTTTGATTTCCAACAGTTGAGTGAGTTTTAGTGGAGATACCACTACAATCAGCATTACTAATGTTGTCTAAGCATAGCCTTGGTAAAATGTTTGGTGAATGGAAAATTACGGTATAGTATGGAGTTTAATCTTCCAACTGGGGAGCAATTAATTTTTACCTCATTTGAAATAATTCATTAGTCTGGAAATAATACAGCCCTAGTAAAATATTGATTGTTATTTTGTAGGTTTTTTCCATATTGCAATTGGAAGAAAACTAACGTAATAGGTACTTATTGACATTAAAAGTAGTAATCACCAATCAGTAATGGTAAAAGGTAAACAAAATTTATATAACATATAGCCTACTAAACACGATTTTTACCTGTAGTCTCAGCAAATAATCTACTGTGCAGATGACCACATTTACAGTTGTCGTGTTACCAGCCTGGGTTCTTAAATAATTCTGCCACTCTGAAAAAATAAACTATGTTTACATCCCCAAAGCAGAAGTACGGGCGATATTGTTGCAGAAAGACGGCAAGGGCTGCAGAAAACCCAGCCTCCTCAAAAAAATAAAGCACTGTTGTGAAAAATTACTTATTTTTACTGGCAAAGTTAGGGCCACACAGTCCTTCCTTACACTTACACCGTAAGTTGAGTTTCTAAAGAATACTACATAATAAGTTAATAAAGTTATCTGAGATTAAAAGATAGGGCATTTGCCAGGAATTGTTAAGGAAATTGACGGGAAAGCCGGCTTACCTGTCAATTTCTTTGATAAAGTTAGTAAAATTGTTTTTTTTTCAGAAAATATTTCTGTAGAAAGTCTACAACTTTCTGCAGAAAAGTTCTCCGTTCTGCAAACAGTAACGCTACAATACGTCATGCATTACATGAACAAAAGCTGCGACATCAATATTCAGTGCATCGAGCGTGAGTAAGAACGCATAAAATAACCAAATTACCAAAGCGATTCAATGTAATAACAGTAGGCCTATTTGAACGGATAAGAGCCTTTGAAAAATTATTTATTTCCAAATATTCATTAAAACTATGACAAACACGGTTAATTGACTTACAACTTGGACCGTGTAAGCCCGCAGAAAATGTTTGGATATTTCCAAGTCCGTTGCAGAAAGTTTAAAAGCGTCTTTGGGTGTTTACATCAAACTAAAGTGACTCTTTTGGTTACTCAGTCAAGAACTTGCATGCGGTTGCAATGTTTACCTAGTTAGTTGTTGGAAATAGTGATAATCAGAAGGTTTTCTGTTTGATCCTAGAAAAAGCAATAAACTTCCTAATGGATCTAGCTGTTTTTAATGGGCATTTAAAATTTAACAAACTGAATAACTAGCTTTAGCTGATCTAAGTCAATAACAAAGCTATCATCTCATTCATTTAACACTCATCTTCGCCTTTAGACACACTCTAGTGTTGTCGGCGTCAAATAGACTCATATTATGTAGGCTACCACCTTTCTTTGACTTGGTCTATTGTCTGTCGTGGTTAATGAAAAACAAATTATGTTTTATTTAGTGTTGATGATGCCAGTGAAATGTTTAAAGATAGAATCATAAATGCTTTAAAGTGAAATGGTTCCAAACCACTCAAGTTTTTGATTGAATACGCCAGGAATCATACCATCCCTCTAACATTAAAGTCTGAGATGCTAACCACTAGGCTGGAAATACACCTAACTTAAGTAATACTTAATTTAGTTTAAGCATTAAATCAATTATTTATAAGTTGTTTGAGGAATTGAAGGATTTGATTGGTAAATAAAGTAATATTTGCTAAGCGCTCACCCAAGTTGTGGCCTTCACAAGTGAGTTGTATGAAGCGGAAGAGAGTGCAGGTAAACTCAGCATCGTGCATGTTCTTCTCTCCAGCCGCTCCCTCCGATCCTACACCCAGACCTTCAGCCTTGGTGTTGCGCTCAAACGCATCCAGATCCAACACACTACAGCAAAACAGTCAGATCAGACCAACATTGGTGTTGCGCTCAAACGCATCCAGATCCAACACACTACAGCAAAACAGTCTGATCAGACCAACATTGGTGTTGTGCTCAAACGCATCCAGATCCAACACACTACAGCAAAACAGTCAGATCAGACCAACATTGGTGTTGCGCTCAAACGCATCCAGATCCAACACACTACAGCAAAACAGTCTGATCAGACCAACATTGGTGTTGCGCTCAAACGCATCCAGATCCAACACACTACAGCAAAACAGTCAGATCAGACCAACATTGTTGTTGTGCTCAAACGCATCCAGATCCAACACACTACAGCAAAACAGTCAGATCAGACCAACATTGGTGTTGCGCTCAAACGCATCCAGATCCAACACACTACAGGCAAAACAGTCCGATCAGACCAACATTGATGTTGCGCTCAAATGCATCCAGATCCAACACACTACAGACACAACAGTCCGATCAGACCAACATTGTTGTTGTGCTCAAACGCATCCAGATCCAACACACTACGGGCAAAACAGTCAGATCAGACCAACATTGGTGTTGCGCTCAAATGCATCCAGATCCAACACACTACAGGCAAAACAGTCCGATCAGACCAACATTGGTGTTGCGCTCAAATGCATCCAGATCCAACACACTACAGACACAACAGTCCGATCAGACCAACATTGGTGTTGCGCTCAAACGCATCCAGATCCAACACACTACGGGCAAAACAGTCAGATCAGACCAACATTGGTGTTGCGCTCAAACGCATCCAGATCCAACACACTACGGGCAAAACAGTCAGATCAGACCAACATTGGTGTTGCGCTCAAACGCATCCAGATCCAACACACTACAGGCAAAACAGTCCGATCAGACCAAAATTGGTGTTGCGCTCAAACGCATCCAGATCCAACACACTACAGGCAAAACAGTCCAATCAGATCAACATTGGTGTTGCGCTCAAACGCATCCCGATCCAACACACTACAGGCAAAACAGTCCGATCAGACCAACATTGGTGTCGCGCTCAAACGCATCCAGATCCAACACACTACAGGCAAAACAGTCCGATCAGACCAACATTGATGTTGCGCTCAAACGCATCCAGATCCAACACACTACAGGCAAAACAGTCTGATCAGACCAACATTGGTATTGCGCTCAAACACATCCAGATCCAACACACTACGGGCAAAACAGTCCGATCAGTATTGCGCTCAAACACATCCAGACGATTGTAGTTGAAACACTGGTTGTAAACAAATCTCAATGTACTAACCATTATTATTTTAACAATATCAGTACATAAATTGACCAGGAACTAATTGTTTACAAAATCTGGCATTTCATTGAAGTACTACTTCAACAAAAAATATTTTTAAGTATCGTAGCAAACTAAATTTTCAAAAAGTGTATACAAGTATAACAGTTGATAAGCACCTGAAAACAAATCAAATTTATCTTACGAACCTGCATGAGTTCATGAGGCCAGCAATTGAGGTGAAGAAGCCAACGTCTTTCTTTTCTTTGAGATGATTCAACATACCCTGTAAAATGGGAATATAATGAGTTGAGTGAAACAGTTCTGTAAATGTGTCTCCTTTACATACAAAAGTACAGTGTTAGCAGAGATTAAATACTTATCTATTAAAACTATTGTAATTGTCAAAGTTAGAAGTATTTGGCATTATGATCTGGGAAGATAATACAGCCATTATTATAAGTTACCACTTACCATCTGAATGTCAATGTTGCCTCCGCGTAGGATTGATATTCCCAGCTGCAGAGTCTTCATAACCATCTCGCTGGGGACTCCCTTGCATGCGGAGATGTGCAATAGTACCATCTCCGCCACTCCACGGTTGGCTAGCCTGGCTTGGTGGAACAGCAACTTCTGCTTTTCCATCTCTTGCTCCTGTACATTGCAAATAGTCAATAGTCAATTTTTTTCACTTAAACATTTAATCAAATTAGTCTGGGTAGAGTTCAGAAAATTTAAGTTCACCGATTTTTTTTCTCATAGAAAGATGTGTTCAATGAGAGTGTGAGCCAGGTTGAGAGAAAAGAACTAAACTTTGTTAACGACTCTCTAAAATGAGTACCTCTCTTGTTCACAAAGCACAAAATGGTACAACCTCCCATTGCTGTAAAAATTACAGTTCAAAAGCAATTTTACTTTTTCAATTTTCTACATAAAATATCATAGTTAGCCTACTTCCACCGCTAACCCATCTTAAAGATTGTTGACAAGCTAATGGAAGAAACTATGTATCAGACATTCGCCAATTGGTTCTGATGATAATTGGAGTGTCCAATCAAAATCGATCACCACTTACCATTTTTTATGTATATTTACCGTCCTGTGAGAAACAGTAAAAGCGTAAATATATGTTTTAAATGTTATAAGACGTTTCTTTTATTTAAATAGGGGAAAAAATATTAATTTGTTATGGAAATATTAATATTTTAACAAATCCAATCAGAAAAATGGAAATTTTCTTAGTCTGCAGGTTTGCTATGGCAGGGGTATTTACAAATTTGATTACTCACCATCAATATTTCCATAGCCGTCCTCTTCCGTTTAAGTGAGACATGTTCACAAAATATACCATCAGGAATTTTAGTTGGAAAGTATATAAAAACATCAATCATCTTATAAGGTGCACATACATCGGTTTATCTTTATGTTTGTTTGGCAACAGTTGACAAATAATAATTTCCAATCAAAATGAAAACTTACGATGAACATTAACGATGTATTTCTACCCACGAACCAGTAAAAGTGAAAAAAAACTTTCACCTTAGATGTTATCAGGGGTGCCCAGAGGGGGGGACTGTGGCGCGTTTGCGCCACAGGAATTTTTGGGGGGGGACTTTTTTTGGGGGCTTTTGGGGGGGACATTTTTTTGCTAGCTATCATAATGAATGTATAATTTTGTATAAGCAGCCTGAAAAGTGTTTCTAAGTAGTTCACTATCAACACCAACAACAGTTTGCCATTCGTAATTAATATTGCTTCTAAGAATGGTGAAAACAAAAAAAAAACACACCTTGTCAGGTAATCCTTAATATTCTAGTGTCGAATTTTACTTGATACATATGTTTTGGTGGTTCTTAAACTCCATTATCGTCAGGCTTACATAAAGATCCACTTCTGGAGGTGTCGTAAGAATACGTTACAAACATTTAATACAAAACACGAAACGATTACAGATATGCCTATCAATTCACGCGTGTACATTGCCGTCGGCAGGACTGGAAGTAAACTGAATCAGATTCAGGTTATGACGGAGACGGACTGACGTGGTCTCTAGATTGTCGTCTGCGTTTTCAACAGCTGATATTGCACTATTGTAATGACTGAGAAGAGTGTTGAAAATATAATGGAATTCATAGTTAATCAAGTGTTTTCACTCAAAAATTGTGTGCTGTCCCTAGTTTTATGTATTTATAAATTTCAAACTCTTCAAAAGTATTTAATAAATTTCCTTTCGCGCAGTACTGTAGAATTTCGAGACCATCATTTATATCCAGCATATAAATTGAATAATTTATCAATAATTTTGAATGGAAAACTCAATTATGAATTCCATTATATTTTCAACACTCATCTCCTTCGTTACTACAATTAGTCCAATATCAGCTTTTGATAACGCAGACGACAATCCAGAGACCACGTCTTTCCGTCATAACCTGATTCAGTTTACTTCCAGTCCTGCCCGCGGCAATATACACGCGTGAATTGATAGGCCTATCTGTTATCGTTTCTTGTTTCGTGTTTACTGTTTGTAACATATTCTGACGACACCTCCAGAAGTGGATCCTTTTGTAAGCCTCCGATGGTGGAGTTAAAGAACCGCCAGAACATATGTAGCAAGTAAAATTCGACTCTACCTTACAGATATTATTAATGATTGTCTGACAAGTTGCGTTTCTACCATTATTAGTCGTAAGAGGCAATCCTGGGGCTATCAAAATGAATTTATTATAAGATTACTTCATCACAAAAACCTTTTATGCTGGTGGCAATTAAGGAATTCTGGGTATTTTGTCCGGCGATTTTTGTAGAAGGAAGCCTAAGAGTGGCGAGCAACAAAAGTCTGTCCTATTTCGTGACTCTGCCTATAATTTGAAATAAGATAGCCTACTTTTTGCCAAAGTATTATTAATGCACTTACAGCTGTTTGATTTCTTAAGCCCCGTAAAATTAACGCCACCTAATTTATTGTACAGTTACAGTACTGTGTTGGAGTAGAGTAATTCGCCGAGTATATTGTTGTACGTTTTGAAGACATTTTCTATTGCAATACTGAGTAACTGTTGGCTGATAATACAGATTCTGAATTTAAAATTGAAAAACTTCTAATTCGTCCATTAGTTAGATATAATGACATATTGATGACGTTTACTATTAAACATTTAATTTTGATTATCAGAAAGTTTGTTTTTCTTTACCTCAACTTTTACTAAATACTTTATATGCTCGTTTTATGAGGTAAAGGGGAAATTTACAGATAAATTGGCGGGGGGGAGGGTAGGTTTAAATATACGGCAGTATAAATGGGGGGGCTACTCCTTTGGCTTGGGGGGGGGGGATTGCGCCTCTGGGTTTGGGGGGGATGGGCACCTCTGGATGTTATTACTAACTAAACATTTAAGCTATATTACAAAACTACATTACCCTCTGCTGAGCTTGTACAGTGAACACTTATTAATCTGAACTCGATTATACGGACTTTACTTTATCGGGACAGCCAGTTAAAAGCAGTTAATAAAAATTCCTACAGCTAAGTCATGAGTGCATCACTGTATACTTGGCCGTTTTTTCATGTAGCATGCTGTTAAGTATCGGGCAGTTGTAGTGACAACTGTAGCTACATGGTAAACGCCAGACACTTTCATATATAACTTGTAGTGATGTGATAACATTGTCATGGCCGAATTCCTTGTATCACACCAAAGAGTTTTCGGTTCTGTAATATTTTGGTTGTTTTTTAGCTCTGAACAGTAATCAGTACATGGTTATTGTGACTGACTAGGCTATTTGGCTAGTGCTCTGGTCATCATGCAGGACTTACATCATCTGAAATTGATGTACGAAAATAGAAGTAGACCCAAATGGCAAGGGCAATGCAAAATTACTGAGTTCTATAATTTGCCTCCAGAGTTGCTTACAGGGTCGTATCGTAAATAACTACATCAAAGAGTTCTGTGAATTTACATATAAACTGTTTAGGAACTTATTAAGAAATCCGGACAAGTTTTTGGGTGCCGAGTTTGCAGAACCTTGTTGTACTCAGACCTGGTTGTATTTGAATCTGAATGAATTGAAACTAAAATTAGTCTGAATTAGTGGGGGTTTACTGCACCACAACAATCATGTATATGACACTTACATGGATGGAGGCTCCACCTTCCTCTCCTTCTCCACCCTCTTCTTCGTCTCCGCCTTCTTCTTCCTCTTCACCACAAGACCTTTGAATCAGAATTGTAAAGATGTTAGTAAAATTCAAAAAGATAGTGGTAAGAGAACATTACTTCAGGCTAGGCCTAGAGGTTCACTGGTATAATGGTGATAATACCATGATAATATCATGATGTTATTGTTTGTTTAAACTGATAAACAAAAACACTGTAAAATATCATAGTTTATAATAATTGCAGCAAAAAAACCATTTATAACAATTATGCGAGTTTGTAAATTCACATTTTTTAAAAATAAATATGTAAATTAATTAATTAATAAAGGCATTTGCGATTGGCAGTATTAGAACCTGGGATGTTGGATACTGAAGTACTGTGGTCTAGCACTAGTGCGGCTTTCTCCCAAAGTAAGGGAATAGAAAAAAAAATCCAACTTTTCATAAATGTAAACTATATAATTAAAAAAAAATTATAAATTTTCAGTGAAATTTAAATCAATCTTCAAATCATATCCAATCGATCAAGGGGAATTAAATGTTGAGATGACTGTGGTTGGGCATCCCCTTTGCTACTCTAATTGACACAATCCATAAATTATTATTTCATCTTACTTGGCCACGATGTGTGCGTAACTCATGTACAGAGGGTCCTCCTGTAGCGCTCCGCTGCGCTCTGTCATGGCTCCTCGGCAGAATGTTGTCACCAGCTGAGTCAGAGGATCAGGCTTGCCTTCGTCTTCCTCCTTGTCTCCCTTCTTCAGCTCCGAGTCTTCAAACGATTGCTGAAAAAAACACATCAATAAACATTTGTCTACTTTTTCCCAATAAACAAAATCACCAAAGAGGAATTGAAAGGAAGATTGATTATAATATAATTGTTTTTAAGGTTTCAAATAGGAATTTTCATACAAGCAACATGAAGATGACACTCTTGGCTTCCTTGTATGCAACTCATTCCTCCACTTTAGTTCCATTATTGACCTCAATTACGATTACAAAATAACACAATTTATTTGATTTAAACATTTAAACTTGAGTAAGTAACTGAGTATTTGCCCTTTCTTGAACACTAAGATGACTTGAGGTAACTTATGTGTTTGATGTAAAGCTACAAGTTTTAGTTAAAAACTTTTGATTTAGTTCAAGTTTACAAAGGAAATCTCATATAGACTATTTCATACAGCAATATTTTTTTTTATCAAACACAGATTTATAATAAAACGATTATGAAACTTAACTTGTTTGTCTGAATTTGAAATTATAAAAATATTTCGAGCTAAAGTAAACAATCTCCACCACTAAACTTCAATAAATAAATAATGTAAACTTAATGAAACTCACAGTTAAATCTTCTATCATTACTTCTTGTCCTATATTTTCCTCTTGCAGCCAAAGTTCAAAGTAGGTCTTCGCAAAGATGTTTATTGCACGATGCCTGGAATGATAAAAAGATCTTGTCAATTTTCTGACAACAAATCCTCCTAAGTCATATGTTCATAGCCAAACTCATACAATCTCTTAAAATAGGGTTTGAATGCAAAGGATCCGTCAATTAAATTTATGAAATTGAAAACAAAATAGTTTGATACAAAAGTTGAAGTGGTGTTCCCATCTCATACTAATGATATACTTTTTTAAACTTCATTTTTGGTGGAGTTTAAGTTTCGAGACGTTATTACAACTTTTTCATCTATCGGTAAAAAAAATAGTTTTCATAAATTTTTGGAACGTGGATTCAAATCCTGTCCTCAGGTGACAAAGTACCTAAAACATATCAAGATTAGTGCCCAAAACGCAACCAAATAACAATATTAACACCACATAGAGAGCTGTACACTACTCTTTGTGTGGGTTTCCAGGTTTAGATGAGTGTGTCTACTAATGTTATTGTTTTAGGCAGTTTCTCACTTAGGTACATGATCCGATCATAGATCATGAAACATTGAAACCTATGTTTCTTATTATTTTTTATGAAAAATATTCACAATAATCTTTTAACTAACATGAACTTACCATTACCAAAAATGAACCTTTTATATTTGGCCTATAAGACCTATGGTAGTAATAAATAAAAGTTATATGGTGATAAATTCTCAGATCTTTTCGAACAAATGTAGATTTTAGATTTGAAGAAACACATGAGGTGAGGTTAGACACATGACTACTGTAGTCGTAACATTCACCTGGGCAGAGTATAGAGAGGTTGGGTCCGTAAACACGCGACGGCAGCTCTCTTACGAGCGGCAGACAACACTTTCCTCCAGCCTGAGGGATGTGGTGGTGGCTTGTAGGCATGCTGTTAGCACACAACACACACTAGTGGTTAGTTAGTCACTCACTACAAGCCACTTCATTGTTAAAAGGTGTTAAAGCAACAACAGTAAACTATATCTCCAACTAAGAAATTTGAATACAATGTTTTGTCTAATATCATTATGTTAGCAGCAACTTTACACGTTTTGTTTCAACTATGGCACTTTCAGGTGGTAATACAATTTATATATCCAAAAAGAGGTGGTCGTCAGTTACTTTGAAAACACAACACAAAACATTGGACACACTGTGATAAATGTTGGAAACACAGTTTGACAGCTGATGATATACTCTGTGATATCTTTTCCCACTCCCACTAACCGGACTTAGATCTGTCTGTCAGTAACAGCAAAGTGCTCAGGACACAAATATTGATTTCTAATATAATTTTACATCTAAAGTTTTGAAGTAGAGTAGGACATTTTGGACTTTGGAAACTCAAGCATTTTTCCACAAATAAGTGTAAATTTTTACAGTTTAAAAACTGTTTCTGTTTTATTGTTCTGTATAACTCAACTGCTCTAGATCAGCTGGGTATCTTACACAAATCATCTTGTTAGGTAATGTAGGTAGGATTGTTTAGGTACGTTCTACAGGCAAAAGACACACAATAAACACAATACAAACTCTAAAACAATTTCAACCAAAGAGCAGCTATTGCAAAAGATAGCTTTGAGAACAACTACTGAGAAATATTTTATAAAAGAGAGGGTTAAAATTATAGCATAGGTTCATTTTGTCATCCATTACCTCTAATACTAGTTTTGTAGCATTATTCCTCCATTTTCAAACCTTATAAATGTGTAAAAAGTACATATCTTCATAAGAAACATGTAAATCAATAAATAAATAAATATAGGATGGAGAGGACACAGCTAACTCACCTGATGAAAGGTTGCAGATGAGTCAAAGAACACATAAAATCACACACATAATATACTTAATATTTCGCCTCTTTCAGAGGCTTCTTCAGAAGTAGGCCTAGATGGTAGTTACAAAACAACAGTTTAAATAGGATGACACAGTTTGAATTCAAAATGTCTGACAGGTTGTCCAACTGACACTGCACAAAGCACTAAGCTAGTGCTTTGTGCAGTGTCATTTTGAATTCAAACTGTGTCATCCTATTTAAACTGTTGTTTTGTAACTACCATCTAGGCCTACTTCTGAAGAAGCCTCTGAAAGAGGCGAAATATTAAGTATATTATGTGTGTGATTTTATGTGTTCTTTGACTCATCTGCAACCTTTCATCAGGTGAGTTAGCTGTGTCCTCTCCATCCTATATTTATTTATTTAATCCAAGCTTAATGCTTTTTCCTAAAAACATAACATGTAAATCAATAAGTAATTCAATACTAAATCCTTTAATTGCCCTTGCCTTAAAATACGCAGCTGGTGTCGCAAAATATTATTCTAATTTAATGTGACAATTGTTACGATATTATGATATTTGCAAATGGATAATACCCCAAAACTAGTCTTCTAGACAGTGGAGAGACAACAACAAATAAAAACACATAGGTAGCCTATATTATAGTTATTGTATCAACCCTGGAAAAATAAAACTTTAAAATAGCTAATGTAAACACAAATGGTAAGCAAACAAGAAAATAAACTATGTCCAGACCTGGGCAAAGCGTGAAGAGAAAGCTGTCTGAAACAAGCAATGACTGCACGTTTTCTCTGCGTAGAAACAACGGAGCGGTAACAGGTCTTGCTTTGGAGTTGGGGGTGGTCGATCTAATACAACAGTGCAACGTGCGACTAGAATAACTCATAAACTGAACCGTAAACAACTGATAGTAAAGGTATTGTATCTGTACAGCATGCTTGAGGGCTTCAGCCAAAAATTAAAATATAACCTGATGAGTTTTTATTGAATTGAAATGTTAAAGGGAAATTTTGATATACTTATAGTCAACAGAACTAAACAAAGTTAAAAAAATATAAATAAATTTGTGTAAAGCCGTCTCTTGTGTTTTGGTGTATTAGACTCTTACTCTTATTACAATATGTAGCCTATGTACATTAAACATAAAAAGTCAAATGTAACAAGTATAAAAATAAATTATATAAAACCTATTCCCATAACATTTATTGATGTTTACTTGTGAAAAATAATGCCAATTAAAACTTTCAATCTGTTGTACCGAATCATAAGATCTGTACATTTGAGATTATAAAGTACTAATTCTTTAACAAAGTGTAAACATAGATAAATATAATTTAAATATTTTAAACCAATAAAAAAAAATTAACCTACAAACAAAATAAAACTGATAAACTACTTTAATACATTCAACAGAGAATAGTAGGCCTACTACTATAGTAGTTGGAAAAATACAAACAAAAACTAAGGTTATAAAAGTTAAAAAGATTTTAAGTCTAGCTTGAAATGAATAAAATTACCCAAGCCATTTAGGTTTTAGAGAATAAATTACTTAAATTGGTTAAGAACCACTAGTGCACTTAGAAGTAAATTGTACAATAAATTTACTGAGTAAGAATCTTACCATGTGAAGCCCGAATAAGACTTTTGCCATAGCTACAATTCTATCCACCACCTGAAAAACATAAATATATTAGTTACTATTTTATAAAATTTATTTAAACTAAAACATATTAAAATATTTGACTCAAGAAAACCAATAATTTATCACATCTTTTGCATGAGAATGTGTGGGAAAATAAATGACACTCAATAATCCAAAACTTGTTAGTCCGAAACTCTCGATAATCCTAGACTGCGCTGAATGAAACACCGGGCAATGTAGGTAGAGTGCAGTTATTTGATTTGTGTTGTGATACGAGTCTTGAATCTTTCCGGTCACTGTTTACAGTCCAGTTTCAACCTTGCCAAACCAATTGCCTGTCCACATAGACCTCGGGCCTGTGTTTCGAGTTTATGTAAGGGGTGAACTAACTGGTGCAGTACAAGGATAAATTGGACTGATAAAATTTAGTGACAGGAATTAGGACAGAAATCCCTGACATTGCTGCCGACCCACACAAACCTACCTTTGTCCAATGGTTCTGCTAGAACAGGTACTTGACTATTTATCTGTTAACTAATGAGTTTGAATGTTGCAAGTATGTCATCCTCTGAAGTCTGTTTTGATATTTTGTTTACAAGTTGGTTACGTTTGAGTGCACAACAGGTTACACATGGTACATTAAAAAATCGTGCCATTTGCCGTATTTGGGTACACAAATAATGTTTTAGAATTACTTTGTTGACTATGACGGTCATAGCTTTTTGTGCACACAAAATGATACTAAATTTTATTGTTTGAGTAGCGGTAGTGTTGTACATTTTGGGAACATAGATAAATATAAGAAATAAGAGTTTACGTAAAAATGTAAAAACATTACCTTAGCTCCCACAAGATATAAAGATCACTCAAAACAGTTTCTTGTCATGATCCATGGGAATTGTGCCTTTGAGCTTGAAAATAAGAAGTTTTCATCACCAACGCATAGCTGATAAAATTTATATGACTAAAGTGAAGGTGATAAAATCAAAATGTCAATGTTTATGACAATAAGGTGTTAAAGTAACTATCCATTTGACACAAGGGACTCAAAACAGTGATGTCCTTTACATGAAGGTTTTCAAATTACTTTCAAATAGACAAACAAGTCAAAGATATAAGATCTAAAACAATACTTTCCAATACTATGGTATAGGGAGAGAAAGTAAGATGAATGTGAATAAAGACATAACCAATTTACTAACCTCGTCTAACTGCTGAGGCTTGGCACCGTTGACCACATTGTCCTTCTTGCTGCCCAACTTAGAGTACAGGTAATGCTGCCAGGACATCTCGTCCCCAGGATCTATCTTGTCTGGCAGAGTCAACTGAGTCTTGGCAAACTCCACAATGTCGTATTCTGGCATTTTCTGTAACATTAAAATGACAAGATGATATAACTTCACCAGGAGTGTCTCTTTTTGTTATGAGCTTAAGTTTAACTGCCTACTAGTACTGTCGACCCATGCAGTACACTACATATTTCTTCAGCACAAAATTCAAATTCTGTGTATTTACCTATATTAGCTAGCAATCAAAATTGCTTTAATATTGCTCTATTGTTGGACAGCTAATACTGAGTTGACTGAGGTTTCAACAGTTTCAACTACAGCAGAACTACAACTATTTGGATCAGTTGGGACTGGGAAACTGAATCGTTAAGATTTTAATTTAAAAGATTTTTAATACGGATAGTAGTGGCAATAGGCAGATGACGTATTGCTCCAGATTGATACAACATAGTAGACTCGCTGCATGATTGTCACAATTGGCCCATATTAAAGATTGACTTATTGCAAACTGCAATAAACCTTATTTTACTGGAAAATTTAATTTAATTGTTTTTCCTCGATGTATTCTGGATGGTTGGATCTGGACGGTTGGTGTTCTGCTGTATTTGGCTTGTTTTGACAGATTGCTATCCTGCAGATCTTGAAAGTCCCACCTTAAGGTATCTGTCCTTGCAATGCTGCACCAGCTCCTGTTCTCTGCCAGCGAACAGGTTCAGTCCAACGGGCAACAGCCTCTTCAGACAAGCCACCATCAGACTGGCCTGCAACTCTTTGTCCTTGTCTCTCTTCTTGTCTCTGTGCTTCTTCTTCTTCTGCAAACACAAACATGCAAATGGTAATTTGTACATGGATAATACTTCACTTCCAAGTTGTAGAGTTTAAACATAGATAAAACATACTCCCTTCGTAGATTTGTCATCCTTATGGAACAGCTGAAGCCAATTTTATTGTTAGTTCTGTAAGTCCAACTGTAGAGGTCATGTTTTGTTTACAATTTGTTTCTTGTTATTTAAGTAATTTAAAACCTCATTTAACCAAATAAAACTATATAATCATGAACAATAACTGGTCCCGTAGTTATATGACCAAATAGTTAAGCACAAATCATGAAAATAACACTAAAATAATAGAAACAAAATTTCGTCTACCCCAGCAATCAGTGTGGACGTACATGAACTAGACACGAAAAACAAGCTTTAAAACCATTGTTTGACTTATAAAACACAAAAAAAGTCCTGAAATACTTTAAAAATTTTGAAAGTGTAATTGTCGTTTTCAGACGGTTTAGTGTGGTAGGACCAGTAGTTAAATGAAATAGTTTAGTAAACAAACTAACCTTGCTGCCCCCACCGCCGGCCGGGGCTCCCTCACTGACAACAGCGCTACGCCGAGTGGCTGTGGGCATGATCAGAACCATGTTGTCTATTTCATTGGCCGATATGAAGTTCTGCTCTTCACGTAGGAAGTATTGTGATTTCGACCTGTAAAAGCCGAAATGAGGGACAGTGATACTGGTATGTATAATGATTCAATGATAGCTCTAGGAAAGATGTTTGTTGATCAAAAAGCATCCATGCTGCACTCAAACTTTATTTTGTTACCATAAAAATAAAATATTTACTGAATGGTTAAAATGTGGGGGATTATCAGTAATCCAACATGGTTGCTGCAGCTAGTTTTGATTTACATTCACTAAACCATCTTTAGGAGTCAACAGAATGAAATATATTGCACAATAAGTCATATTGTCAGTATTGTCACATGCAGACTTAAACATGAACACTTATTAGACATGACCAGAATTGAGGTTGAAACATCGAAAACACCAAGCAGACCTTTGGGTCTAAACTGAAGAAAGTTCCACGAATGTAAACTTAAACTAACCATATTGAACTATCAACATTACACAATTTAATCAACTTCATAGTTTACAGTAAATCTCAATTATCACTCAATTCCTTTTTTTGGAAAAAAATATTCAAGTTTCAAAAAAGAATTGTTCGCATTATGAAATTTTCGCGGCCACAAGTCTCATGCAAGCCAATCTTTAAACAGTTAGGATTATTGAGGCTTCCCTCTCTCTATATATATTCATGCTTACTGTTCATTCAGAAGAATTTTGATCTTCTTTGTGGACAGCAGCATTTACATGCATACAACACAAGGTGCAAAGACAATTTTCAATACCGAATACATAACTTAAAAATCTATGAAAAGGGCCCTAGTTACATGGGTATGAAGTTCTTTAATAATCCACCAACAAAAAATTAAAAGCCAAATCCGTTTAAAGAGTTTTAAGAATACTCTAAAAAGTTATCTTTTAAACCAAGTATTTTACTCTGTAAGTGACTTTTTACAAAATTAAGCAGCATTGTTATATGTAATTGTTGTTTTAGAGTCAGACAAAAATGTTCTGTAACTTAATTGTATTTTTAGGTTTATATTGAATTGACAATGTCACCAGTTTAATAGCTTTGCTATGTATAAATGTTTTTATGCGACAATAAAGTGAATTTGGAATTTGGAATTTTTTTAAAGTAAAATGTTTTTATGAGGTCTTTGCAAAGTGCGTCTTGAATGCAATAAGGTTTGTTTTTGTTGAACATTGGTTCACCCAGAATAGTAGTCTGTCTCGAAGATGGTTGATGCTATTCATCTGAAACATCGGCCACTATAATTTGTCAATTTAACAATGGGTTCAAATCCCGAGGAGCAAGATTTGACAGTCCAATTTCATCCATGGAAGCTTATTATCAAAAGTCTTTCTTGGCGCACTAGTTACACAAATATTTGTCAACAATAGTCGCTTTACCAGATGTTGAATATCTCCGCCACATGGTTGTACAGGTCCTCAGCCTCCGGGATGTTGTTCCTGAGCCAATGGTTTCTCTGGAGGTCCACATACTTTATCAGCAGAGGGTAGAAGGAGTAGATGTCTCGGACCAGCAGATGCCAGTCTTCTTGAATCTGAGACTCCACCTACCAAACATACACGGGGACGTAATTAAATGAATAGCAAAAAATGTAATGGGAATACTAAACGTCTCACTGACGATTCTGCTGTTTGTCGCTATTCCACAGCTTCAAGGCCGGGAGGTAAATGTTTAGAATACAATGGATTTCACCTTCCCGAGTGAGTCACATTATATGATCCTTTTTGCCTGACTCAGACGTGTCAGTCAGCTGCTTGCAACACCAAATATGTGCATATTTTAAACTGAATATGGATGTATAGGATAGAACAAGACAAACTCTGAAGCTTTGTTACTGACTAGGAACAGTTAGTTGTTTAGCTAGGATCTGTTATGCCATTGACCTGTGACGTGTCATCGGTAGAAGACTTTAGGAAGCCTCTCAGTGACTCCTCCTTGTGGAACAGAGTGTCTGTTCTCTTCTTCACTCTCTCAGCCAATGGCAGGAACGGATCTTTCAGCAGCTCTTCTGACGAGTTGATGATGATCTGTTGAGTGTAAGCTGAAAGAGTATGGAAATTTCAATGAGCAAGCAAAAAAGTGTTATTCAAAAAATTGCTCCTCCAACTTTTGGCACTTAAGGCCTGTAGATAATAACAATAATATGTTTTCTCAATGGTCTTTATCTGTATCTAGGTAAGACTTTTTTGTGAGGAAAATGAAGTGACTTAAATATAAATTTTGAGTCTAGAGATCATTTAAAACAAACTACGCTGATAATTAAAAAAAACATTCCCTACTCAACCAATTTTTCACCCAAATTAAACTCCCAGATTTAAAAATGTTTGTTTCACTTGTTTACCTTAACAGGTAGTAGGCCTATCAAGAGTTAAAAGAACATATTCTGCATGAAACCGGGGTACAAATAAGTTCTGAAGAGGAATTCTAAACAAAGAGGCAAAATTTGCAAAAAACCTTATAGCCTACTTTCATACTGTAAAAATGTATAATCTTATGCTGTAAAAATTAAGACAAAATCATTTAGGCCGATCAAAAATGCTTCAAATACAGCAGAAATCACTTACCAGCAATTCGAGTCATCCAAGGAGCGTTCTCATTGCCAATGTTCTTTTTAATCATCTTCAGGACATTTTTCAGAAGCTGGTTCATATGTTCACTGGTAACCATTGTGACATAGTTTCTGAAAATAAAAAATATACAAATCAAATAAAATTTTTACACATGAATGTTAGTTTTTTAAATAAAATTTCCTTGATTTAACTAAGCCTATTCATACAATTTGTTTTCATTTTATGAACATAAAAGTCTGATTTCCAGGTTTTGATAGACACACACAGTGGGGATGATTAAAAGTACGAAACTACCTAATCAGAGACTCAAAAATAATAAACTCAAACCATTCCATCCGCCGTTTATTTATGTGGGCCTCCTCAAACAGATAGATGAACTAGGTACTCTTATTTCTGACCAAGTTTCTACTGTTAATCTACATTGCTATCTCCTGGCTGGGAGATAATTCCTTAGACAATTTGGCCATTGATTAGACCTAGTATCCTGCTCCTCTAGTGAAGCAGTTCTAAGCTTGTCTCAGGCTGCAACACGACATGTCAATTATTGTTTAGTTAATCTTTGACTGTATAGAGCATAGTAGTAGACATATGATTCCCACGTAAGTTGTAGTCAGTTTGATAACTAAGATAAACAGTAAACACTAATAATAGTTCTGTTGCTGCAGTCAATTAGGTAGGCCTACTGATTTCTGTCATATACAGCAAGACAAGCTGCTTTTTAACCAAACCAAACAGAAAGGATAAGTAAGCAAACTGACTACCCTATTCATACGTCAATGATAGGCCTTCTCTGATAGATACATTAAGTGAAAATTTAGTTAGGTTAATAAACTATCAGTAATGAAATGTATAACTAAATTTAAATGTTCAACAAGGCCAATACATAATAATTTGTTTTATTCACAAGCACTTTCGGAACCTAGGTTGCCATCGTCAGACTGTGTTTAAACTGGTACAAAAAGTAAATATTTACTTAATAATAAATTAATTTTAAATAAAGTAAAAACGGATAATGTAAAGGATATTGGAAAAATATATAAAAAATAATATTAGAAAAAATAATCTTTTGAATATTGGATATATTACAGTGTTGTTCTTGATGTCGTATTCACTTTAAGTAATTCCGAGTTAATCATTGGGCCGTCTTCAATTTTTAACAAATAATTTTGGTTTGTTTTTTCTATAAAATAAGATTCCTACGCATTAAGATGTTGATGTTTTATAATTTGTTTCAAAAGTTTAAGGTTTCCCAAATTGATTTTTTTGTTTGATTAGTAGTTTCTGTTTAAATTTGCTTACATACATGGTTTGTAGCTTAAGGTTTTGTCAAATTATTTTTAATGACCATTCATCAGCTGTTCATACCCGGCAGTGAGACTGACGTTGTCCGGTCCCTGGTTCCACCACACTGGCAGGTAGGAGCACAGCATGGGCATGATGACGTCGATGATGTGAGGAGCGTCTGCGTAAGTCTTCTCTGACTCCACAAACTGGTCTACTTCCTGCAGGATGCTGTCCAGGGTGGGCATCATGCTCTCCATGCGGGTCAGGATATCTGAATAGGACCACATTTTAGTTCAATTTCTTGGCTTGTAATCGTAAACAATGGCTTTAGGTTTGAAAGAGATAGAGTTTAGCTGTACTAGTTGATCAAATTATTATTTCATGTCCAAAGAAACTTATAACAAAGTCTACCAAACATTGATTCTTGCTTCTAAAAGAGTTGAATTCTAGTTTATTAAAAAAACACACTTATAAACTCATAATGAGAATGACTTATGATGTTGATATGTTGAACTACGGTAAGCTAAGCAACACAAGATGCACAATAAGCTTCGGTTGACGTGCTTGGACCATGAGTCCCTCTTACAATCAAGCAACACAAGTAGACTCCTCATCCCATTGTAAATTTTGAAGCTTGTTTTTCGTGTCTAGTTCATGTACGTCCACGTTGATTGCTGGGGTAGACAAAATTTTGTTTCTATTATTTTAGGGTTATTTTCATGATTTGCGCTTTACTATTTGGTTATACGACTAAGAGACCAGTTAGTTATTGTCTATGATTATATTTTTTTATTCAGTTAAATGAGGTTTAAATGACTGAAATAACAAGAATCAAATTGTAAACAAAACACAACCTCTACAGTTGGACGTACAGAACTAACAATAAAATTAGCTTCAGCTGTTCCATGAGGATGACAAAGGTGGTCCCCAACGTTGCTGTGATAGGAATTTAATGCTCACAGATTTGCTTGCAATCACAAGAGATGATCATAACATCCTGCAACTCTAATTCAGTTTGAAAAATCCATTAAAATTTTAATAATTGATTCCAAATAAACTATAAAGTACAAAGCAGATTCTCTATTGCAATTTGAATTAATATATGCGACTGTCTGCACTTTGATTCAAGATTAGACTCACCTTGGGCTTCTAGTGAGTGATCAGCAATGCGGTTGACCAGAGAGAACTGGTTATGCTTGTTGAGGTGAGGCTCCAAGTAAGCTACAGGGAATGTAGACGAGTAAGCGCCTAGACATGTGCCTAGCTGTGGCCTGTGTCGCTCTATCTCTGTCTTCAGATACTTCCTACAACATGACAGTTGACATTGAATTGTATACTAATGTAGCCATCTGTTACATCATCTGATCATTATTTTATGGCAAGTCTTTGTGTTTTGATTTCCAGTTCTATTTACAGTATTTAAACGTTTTATTATAGTCATAGTTATTATAGGTCACAAAATTTAGGCAGTTTGAGAGGAAGTTTCCCAACCACTTTTTCTGCTTAATATATGTAGCAGCTGATAGACGTTTTGACAAATCTCAGCTGTTGAGCTATGTTTTAATGGTAGGATCAAGACTTGGAGGGGATAGATTTCTTCCCCTAAAACCACCTAAATTTGTGTGCTATGAAGTACAGTTGTGATACCTTGAAGGAGAGATATGAACCCTAATTAAGTATTTACATTGTTATGAACGCAGCAACAGCAAAAATTATATAGACTAGAAATTGACAGTTTGAAATTTAAAAGAACGTAACGTAGTTGTTTCTATTTGTGCCACTTGCAGAATGTGCTAAAAGATTGAGTAGCCTAACAAATTGTCACTTAAATTGGTTATCCTTTCTTTCTAGATAAAAGTAATAAAAGCTACATTTAATAACAGTTCAAAACATGAGGTATACATTCACCTGTCATGAGTAAGAGTTGAGTCAATCCCCAAAGTGTACAGGCTTCCCAGCATCTTATAAGATGCTACTTGAATCTCATCCACTGAAAATAGAAACATACATTTTATTCACACTTTTTATTTATTTTTTACAATACAAATACTGCCAAATGCTATGAAAAAGATGATTGGTAACTGGTAAAAGTGAAAATGCCTATAGCAGTTTAAAAGAACGGTTAACAAAATCAAGGACAAACATTAATATTGACTAAAAATAGTAAGTTTACTAAATCCTCGTAGGTTTACACATTTTGTGCATTTTCACATCTGGCCAAATAATGAAAATGGTTTAAATACTTATAAATGCATTTTGTGCAGTCTAGACATAAATTCCCTCTCTGGCCCTGTCATAAAACTCTAGACATGCAAGTTGTGTCAATCCTGTCATTGTAACACCTGATGACTACAAGGTGAGATGAAACTATTTGTCACAGCAACTAACGGATTACCAATAAAACAGATATTTAAAGCCCTTATAGTATATCTTGGTAATCCGGAGCCAGCCCATCTTAAAAAGAGGTTATTACATGCAGCAAAACTTTTCAAAGCTCACATAATAGATCACTGCCATATTCACAGCCAGCGAGATGGTCAAACATTGCTGTCAGGACAGGCAGGACAACATCGTTGATGTAGAAGAGAGATGTGGACGTCTTCAGGTGAGCTCCTCGTAGATGGCTCTGGCGGCCCTGAAAACATAAGTGATTTTGTGATTAATCATTACTCATAAAGTCTTGAGACTGACTTTATTCAGGATCAAACCGGCAACCTTTTAATTTGCAGGTGAGCCTATGATTACTCAAATATCCTGCTATGTGTATACATATTCTCATAGTACTTAAAACTAAAATTGAACTGAATCCTGTTGATGTGCGTTCATAAGGATTTTACTTATACAGGGTGTTGAAATGGCCGAGCTAAAACAAACACAACAAAGCTGCAACAATAATGTTGTTTACGTAACATTTGCCTGTTTGTTTTCAAGTGAATACTTACATCTCTCAAGTTCAAGATAGTGCCATTCAAATCCTCAGCGGTGTTGTTGAAGAATGTAAGCATAGAAGTTCTGATGAACTCTGGACAGTTCTTGACCAGTGATCTAGAATTACATATCACTTCAGTATCTCAAAAGAAAAACACAGAGATTTAGTTGAAAATAACTCGTTTGAGACAAACTTAACATGTCCTTGCCCTTTATTGCATATAACACCTAAATATAAAATCAGATTTAAAACAAAAAAAATCATCAAATAACTTAAGGTAATAAATGAAGAAAAAAATACACAAACATTGGTTACAAGCAGAAGACTTACAATCAGAATTCATGTCCAACATTTAGCAGGAAAACATTTTAAAGATGTCACAGATTTTAGTATAAAAAATCATATACGTTAAATACCTTATTTGACAGTTATTCAGAAGCCCCTAGCTGATAATAATAACTTAAGAATATTTCCTACACTTACTTTGCATCAATAGCCTTGACCAGAACTTGTAGGCAACGGACAGTGATACGAACATCTGCTCCAAATGCTGCCAATCGTGAGCGTAACAGGTTAGCAAGTTTGCAGAACAAACTGTAAAAGATTAGATTTGAATACTTTATAGTTTTAGAATATATTAATTTTCAATAAAACTAAAGCTGTTAAATTCTGTAAAACGAACATATTACCAAAATCAGATTGAATTAATTAAAAATAACTAGGGCCTATTTAAGAACATACCTGGCAACCATTTCTTTTTCCTTGAGAGATGCTGCTCCTACATTGTTGGAAGCTGTTGCTACTGCAATGAAGTAGTTTCTGTGAGTGCTGAAGTATTTCTCTACAAGGGGAAGCACAACCTAGAATAGTAAGTTATATAGGTCAAAAACAAATCTCTCGAAACAATCTTAATGTCATATGACGTTATTGTATTAGAATATACAAACGCAAAAGAAAAACGGGCTCTGCTCTACTAGATGTAAAGCATTTATACAATGTTATAGTAATGTCATATTATGAGTTTGGGATAAAAAAACACGTAAAATTTAGAATGAATATATAATAATTATTAAATCCCTTAAATATTAAATCATTACTTTTACTTTTCAAAACTGATCTGTTAGTACTTTTTTCCATCCTTTATTTTTAAAACAATCTTTTTTAAATATTTATAACCTAATTAGGTCTGGAACTATAACTTTGGAGTTAATATTCAAAGTAGTTGTGAAATGTCATTTATTATAATTCCACTATTAAATAGTTTTAAAGTCCATGCTCCTAGAGAGGTGCAGTTCTCCAATCTTTTATGGTCAATAGTCATCATCATCATCACCACCATCACCATCACAATCATCATAACCATCATCACCATCACCACCACCCCCACCATCATCATCATCATCATCATCATCATCTCACCACCATCACCATCATCAACACCATCACAATCGTTATCATCATCATTACCACCATCATCATCATCACCACCACCATCATCATCATCATCACCACCACCACCATCATCATCATCTTTATTTCATAAAATGTACAGATTGGTAGGGCCTACATGAAATAGTGTCAACAGAGTGTTCTTAACTAAATTTCCAACTCATCGAATGCAAATTAAAGTATCAGAAAACAAACATAGAACAATCAATGGAGATAATGTTTTTGTCTTAAAGCGATTTTCAAATAAAAAAATTCTTGGATGAAGTAAAAGGCTGATTCAATCAAAAATCGTTTAATGATTTTTAAAACTTATTTGGATTCTTTTCTGATTTTAAAGTTTCTGGAAGGTGGTGTAAAAATTTGTTTTCTAAGTTGGGGTTTATTAAATCCTAAATCAGTCAATCCTTTATTTTCATGTAGCATAAAATTCAGCAAAGCTGATGTAACAGGTGAAATTGTCATGTGTAGTACTAACAACAACACACACACTTTACAAAACAACTTAACAATACAACACTTAAAACTTAACTTGACTTAAACTAAATATTCTTGGTGACCGATCTGAACTTGTTTAACAACCCTCCAGCTTAAGAGTCTTGTTCACCCCTGCGAAAACAATAAAAACATGTCTTGGTCGTCCCTCCCGATAGAATGTGTAAAGATATATGTTAAAACTTTTTCCCTTACAGATTAATGTTGGTTCTAGGGCATTCATACATGATATATCCAAGAAAATCTATAGTGTAAGTACAACAAATCTTAAAGTAATGCAAATTGAGTCACTTTAAACACTGATAAAACTAATTATTTTTCATTTTCAATTTTTTGAGGTATAAGAGCTCTAATAAAACTATTCTACTACATTGATACCAAATTTCAAGAAAATCGGTTGAAAAACGGCATCCGAAACGGGAGACGAAATTAACATGTTTTATCGGAGGCTACTGCGCTACTAGCCTTTTACAAAACTTGGCTCAGGTGGCAGATGAATCACCGACGTGTCGATTTAGTAGGTAGTCTTGTGTTTACGATGTTTTCAGAATGGCACACATAATGACCCTGTGCTACCCGCCCGTCCTCAACACTTTTCCCCCCAAGGCCTTATCCCCAAATCGCAACTACACCGGGGGTGATGAAGACTCTTAACACATTTCCAGCATAAATAAAAACTTACTTGTTAGACAGCTCTTGTTACTCAGCCACAAAGTTGTAACATTGTACCACAACTGCCCCACTTACTTTGGAGAAGAACTTGATGTCCCTAGTACAAGTCTTGAAGCTCGACCTCCTGCTGAACGTCGTGGAAGGCTTGAGAAGCTTCATGTTGATGGAAGCTCTGTCCATGTATTGTATCAGCTTCTCCAGTAGACTGTAGGCAAACCTCAACTCACCAGTAGACTGCTGGGCCATCTGCTCTTGCTCACTGGGACCTCCACGGCTGGGCCTGAAAAATGTTAACGATTAAACTCTCAGATTATGTAAATTTGTTATTAGGAGTAGGAAAATATTATATTTACAGGTATAAGAAAAGTCTTTGGGAAATGGACCCATGGAGTCAATGGTGATTGAAGTTGTAGGTAGATGTGGTAAAGAAATGAGGGAAGAGAGGAGTAAGATAGAGGAGTAAGGGGTAGAGTAAGAGAAACAGCAAGGGATGGACACAGATGAAAATGTCTACTTAATGGTTACACCCAGAACTTTTTTTCCTTTTGTGCCAACAAGTTTAGATTTAAAAGTAATGTAAGACCAAATCAATATCTGATTTGATGGATTTGAAAAAAAAAAAAAACATAACACTAATGTACACATTTCTACTCACTTGTGGAGTTTATAGCCTTGATACTGAAGATATTTGAGGAACTCTTGGGACCTCTCACGATCCTTCTTCTTTTCCTTGTCGGTCAACAGGTCGTAAGGAACTAACTGTGGATGGATCCCTCCACCTAACAAAGCATGCATAGGTTTGAGAAATATTAACTGCAATAGATAAATGTTACAAGCAAAAATCTGTCACTTAATTCTTGCAAAACAAAAATTGAAAATATTTTGAACAGGTTTCGTAGGAAATTTTGATTGTAAAGATTGTATAATCACTCTAAACTCTAGTATGGTCTGACTAAATCGACAATAGCAATACAAAGTCAAGAAATAACGGCTAGTTTAGCTTAGAAAAAGTCCAGGTAGACAATCCACGAATTGTGGATATTTATAGGCATGCACTGTGAATGCGATACTCCCCAGTGTGGATTAACGTCCGCACGGGTGAGTACTACGACTATCCGCAGTACTATCCTGATAATTAGACCAATTCGTAATTACCAAGGCAAAAATGTAGTTCGGATTCCACTATAAACTGTACGTCCCTTAGTTGACATTAGCTGTATGGGCTATTAATTAACAGCTGTGACTAAGGAATGTCGACCTTAGTCACTAACAAGACTACAAGATCGCGCCACTCATCCTACACTCATCTCCATTCATACTTGGCTTAAAATACCTACTTTGTATCTAGTCACCATTTCATAGAACAGTATCTATAATATTAAAACGAAACAGTGTTTTTTTTATTTCACGATTCTGAATCAACCACTCGACGGATTTTCATGATTTTTGTGTTGAAAGAAAGATAATTTTGAGAACTAGGGAATTGGAAGCCATAATTTTAGTTTAGGGTCCCAGTTTTTTAGAAATTAAGTTTTAATTTTAAAAAAGTCTAGCAGCCGACGCTAAGATTCTAAACTAGCTTTTTGCATAAAATAATTTGCTTAACATAACAGCTGTAAAGGTTCAGCTTTTGTGTCACAAATTCAGCGTTTGGATAAAAATGTAAAGACATACTTAGGGTTGACGTATTTATACTATGTGTAATGCTAATCATTGATACGTTCAATTCTTCTGTAAGAGGATGACAGATTAATTTAATATACATAGTAAAATACTAGGATGTTCAAGTTATTTTTTAAAGCAATCTTTGTAATCTTCGATTTGTTTTAGAGCAATATAATTTGTTTTAACTAACAGCTGGTTAGTTATAAAAATGCCCTATAGAACTACGAGGTTAATTACTCTGATTTTGTCATTGATTATAGGAAATAAGTAAGATTAGTAGACCACCGAGATAAGTAACACCATCGATGTGTACAAGTCGAGGCTCTGTACACGAGTTAAATAAAAAAGATATGCAAATTATTTTACTGCTCAACTTTTTTGGAAAGGGTAGGAAAATCACAAATTTTACATGTTTTAATTCATCTTGGCAGCTTTTTGTTTACAATCAATGTTTTTGAATGCTTGAACTTTGTTTGGATTAGGCCCGGAAATATTGATGTCATAAAGATGGAGATCAAGAATCCTCAGGAATACGATTTTAAATTACCACCACAACCTCAGACGGGTGTTATCCAAAGATATACAGATGAATGACATAGATTGAACACAACGTCATCATTGACCTAGGATACTGCAATTAGACTGACTAACCATCCTTTTATGAAATCTAAAAAAGTTGTTTGGCGTGTGTTTAGTTGTGGTTACGTTTGGAGGCGCTGAATATTTTATAGTTTAAATAAATGAATATGGGGAATTACGATGTACATTGATTCAATGAGGGTGGTTTAGTTATCAAGGATATTGGAACTGATAACGGAATGGATAATAAATATAGACAATTAATTACGTCACTAGCTTTACTAGCGTTTTTACTTTATTCCTTCAACATGTGACCAGTTCTTTAGTTCAAATGAATATTATTTTAGACTCAGCTGTTTACAAAACAAACTAATATTGTTGTTGTATTTACTTTTCTTTGTTTACACTTATTTATTTAGCAATTAATGCTGTGAAATTGACATAAAGATGTGTGTGAACGATTCATTTAATTATGTCAGGACACCAACATTATAATTATGTGTACTGTGAATTTTATTGGATGTTTTCGTTTTATTTTAGGGAGTTTCAATTCAGACCTACTGGAAATTGTGTATAGTATATGAGTAATTGTATTGTAGTGATATTGATTAAGGAAGAGGTAGGTATGCGATGGAAGGTGATATCATTGACTAGGCCTATACACTTCTCAATTGATAATTACTTTTTCTACTGTAGGCTGCAATAAAATTTGTCTTTATACGTGTAAACTAGCTGTTCTGAATTATAGGCCTACACCGTTTTAACTGACTACTCCCGTACGTAGGACGGGCTAACACCTCGTATCTAGTCACCATTTCATAGAACAGTATAATAGTTAATACCAAAGATAAAAATAACACAACATAATTTATCCCCCCAGGAAGTATCTTTTGTTTGTACTTGGTCTACCTTGACTTATAAGATTTCCTAGCTGCTATTAATTTATCCTAAAAATCACACACCTGTCTTAGAGCCTTCCCTTCTATCATTTCTGTAACCATATACCAATGCTGAGTTTGCAAGCTACAACTCAATGGATTTTCCCAGAAGAAGGATTGCTACAATGTATTTGACATCTTTTTCAGTATTTTTACCCTTTGAACGACTTGGTCTTCTCTCGAAGGCCAAGTTTCAGTAGCCTACTTTGATCGTGGAAACCTAACTTTTTGATTTTCCTTTGTATTTTTTTAAACAACCTGTTTTCCACATGTTTTACACATTCATTTCTTTTCTCAACATAGTATCATACCACAAGTGATGAGTTCCTCCTTCTTCTTCTTGGCCCAGATGTCATGTGAGTTCTCAGCCAATCTCTCGGCCATGTTCTGCATTTCTCTGCTCAGAGTCAGGTTTGCCATGTCTATGGGGTTGGGATGGTAGTTGAACGGAGAAGCGTCAGCTCCCTGGACACACAACGTTTGGTTTCATAACTGTATGGCCGAGCAAATATTCTATAATTTAGGATGAAAAAATTCATAATATGTGAAGAGCAATCATTGCCTACATAAGACAACTTTTTATTTGGCTCTCTTACACAATAGTGGATAGCCAAATATAAACCCATAAGATGCTGAGTGGGGGGGTTTAGCAATTTGCACAGGAAGATTAAGAAAAAAACAGTAATAAGTAATGGGTCTAGCTAGCAAACTGGATATTCAGATGAATGCTAAACGCTTTAAATATATAGAGAAATATATTAAAAATATTGCTCAGTAAAAACCTGTAACCACAAATTTTAATTACCGTAAATTATTGACCAATCAGTAGTCTTAAAAAAAATTAAAAATATTCAATAATGAAAGTTACCAATAAAAAACTTCATAGTATGTATAAAACTACAGATCAATGGCAGGAAATAATCTAAATAGTAAAGAATGTATGCATAGAGATCCTTAGGATTATACTTTGTTATCATGATGCAGAAGAGTCCATTAACTAACTAACTTTGCGATCATACTTAAATAAGCAAAAATTCTGAAGTAAAAATATAGACACTCTATTAAGCAATAAATTTTGAGAAAATAAGTTATTGGTATAAATAACTATTTTCTATGACTAAGACTGATTAACAACCAACACCTAAATAACTGTTTCATTTTGTCAGCACTTGATTAATACTACTTCTAGCTAGAAAAACATATTAACTACATGTTTTAAAATTATTATGTATATTTTAACAATGTATATTTTCAGATTATCAAGACAGATGTCTAAGAAAAATTACAAATTACAATCATTAACTTTTAGATATCAGGGTAGAGATCCCATCACTCTGTACTACGATTGTTTATGTATGGTAATATGAACAATGCACAGATTACAATAATTCAATTTAGCTTAGTTAAAATTGGTGTACACAACAACAATATGGCAGCAGAACTGTCTGTCAGGATCAATTCAACTGATTTAATTGTTTACTTTCAAACTGGTTACAACTTGAACAAGGAAATATAATGGCTATAGTTGTATTTGCAGTCAAAGATAAATTGGAAGATATATTTACAAAAGAATGGCATTTTAGTGAAATGTAGTCCAATACACACAGTGATAATGTACATATTAATATTCATAAACAGAACTAAGAACTCTTAATCAAGGAGTTATTATTGCAACTGAACAGTATATAAAGCCATACGTACACATTTCAAAATGTGAAAAATGGGAAGAATGTTTCTGGGTTCTTAGCCCAGACTATTATAAAAAATTTAAAGGCATACATAGACACACATGACTTCACTTTATTTCTTATATCTACAATTAATGGTAGCATTGTAGGAGTTAGCTTTACAAGTGTTTACAGTTAAATGTTATAGCTATAGGTATATTTAGTGTATTAACATTATCATACAAATATTTTTTAATGACAGAATAAGAAGACGGTAAATTGGATTAGTAATTTTTTTATTATTTACATTGATATTTCAATTTTGATTAAGTTTTACTTAAGATAACAGATCAATTCCACTTTTAAGGATTTCAAGGTTAACATAAAAACAAATTTTCACAATTTAATTTTAATGATTGAATTCAGACTTATGTTTCAAAATCACCTAAATGCAAGTTTTCATAAACCACAGAGAATTTGTTACTCTCTAAATTAAATCAACTTAACCTAATTTGGTAGTATACAATAAATTCAAAGATGAAGAATTATTTTATTGCATAATTTATTATCATCTATCTGGTATTTATAACTACATAAAGAAACAATTACTTACTTTTTATAATTTTAGAATCATTGATAAGACATTATAAGAGAAATGTAGAGTTGTTATTTTAATTTTTGTAAAATTATGAAATCTTTATTTTCAGTAACTAAAAGTTTCATCTTATTTTTTTACCTGAAATGTATTATAGTATATTCTATTAATTTATATAGTCTTTAATCATTTTACAAATAAATTATGCTAATGATTAAAAAAAATGCAATTGAAACTTATCTGATTTTATGTTTTGAAATAAAATTATATAGGTAGACCTAGCTATAACAAATACAAAATATCCAATTTATTCAGCACTTATGAATCTACTACTAAATTACTCGATCCTTACATTATCGATACCTGTAGTTGTTAATGTCGACCAACACATGCCCTGTCCAATGTGGCACGGTGGCCGACGCGTCAAATCATGCCGCATACCGAGCAACCCTCGGCCTATTTGAATTACTTACTAGCAAAGCCAATGACGTAAAACCCGCAGCTAAACTTACAACGTTAGGCTTGGATGGACGGCGAATGGAACCGCGGTTGTTGGAAGGCACGTCGATCTCGGAGTGTTCGACGGTCCAGCCGATAGCCAGTAGCGCCTTGAGAGACTCTCGAACTGGTTCTTTGTATCTCTCCTTCTCCTATAACATGAAAGAATAAAAGAATATATGGATGTGTTGCTAGCCAATGGATGTGTTGTTAGCGTCAGTGTGGGAGGGGCAAGCTCAATTCCCGGCACATCCAAAAAGCTTTAATGCGTTTAGACCACTTTCCCTTAAAAGAAAAGCATTTAGTCTAACTTTGAATTACTAAATTAAAATGCCACTGGTGTAAAAAAATGTATACCTTATTGTCTTCAACCTATTACCTCTGGATTGTAAAGTCATGGCTGAGGAAAAACTGAATCGTAAACTGTTTTGGGAAAGAATAGTAGTTGATTAAGGGGTTTTCGTTGAAAAGGAATTTTTTTTCCTCATTTAGCCAAGCGCAGGGCTACAAGGGTAAACTGTACTGATACAGGTACCAGAACATGAATGCATAATATGCTGCCATAGTCTTCTAGTCCCTACTGCTACCAACTGAGCCTGAGTCGTCAAGTTGCCTAGCTTACATGAGAAATTTAATCAAAAATTAAGTTAAGTTAAAATATTGTTGTAAAGACAAATAAGAAGAAAAACAATTGTATTTGTAATAGATAAGTTACCAACGTGATCTTATTACTCCATAAAAACAAATATTTTGAGCCTTCATTATTTATTTTTTGAGTGTCATTTTGTTTGTGTCAGAGGGAAATGAAATCAGTATATTGTAGGCCTAAGCCTTTTTGAAAAAGAGTTCTGATTTTTAGACAGTCCAAACATATATATGTTTGTGGAGTGGAGTGGGACTTATCACATGTGAGGTGGAAAACTCACATAGTCATTCAGCATGTGGTAAGGCTTGAGACGAGGATGTGTCCTCTGAGAATCGGACCAAGAGTCTCCGTAGTTCCAGCCATTCTCAAATTTCCTGCTCGCCCAGGCATCGTGGTAATGCTCCGAAAACTTCTGAACAATCTGGTTTAGATCGTTGTTTAACACCACACTGAAACATAACAGATGTTATACTACAAATAACTTGTACTCAATGTTTTTTCCTTGGGACTGAGATAAAATCAAACCTTCTGGTTGTCCAATATAAAATTTAGGACAATCTTTATAACTAATTAGTTATTAAGATTTCTTGATTTCTCATATTTTTTTTATTTTTCGTAATTTGTTGTAGACTTTTTTTATGAAGCAAAAAAGAGTTTTTTATTATTTTTTTTGCTGGTTTTGAATCTTGATTTTTGAATTATTTTAGGTTTATTGAGGAAGGGGATTAAATAGAAAAAATATAAAATAATTTTCTTTCCTTCTTTTGGTCGATTAAGTTTTTGCTTTAGAATAATTATGAAACAAACCTCCACCCTTAACTTTAATCAAGAGAGATTCTAATATACTACTCAACATAAGTTAAATTTTTGAAACGTTTTCACCCATACCAGGGTACGCCTATTCCTACCAGGATGCTTAGTTTAAGGCAAAGTATATCAGCCAGTTCCTTAGCCAGGACCATTTATTTAAAAGCCCAGTGAGCAAGTACGCTGAGTTTGATGATTATTAGGCAAGCTAGACTTACACAGTAGTATCAATGGGCTCTGGGTTGTAAGGTCCGTCAGTAGACTCCGCGGCAGTAGTCTTGGCCCCACCGTAATACTCCTCGTCATAGTTCTTAGACAACGAGTAGTCGGGCGGCAGAGCACAACCAATGGCAGTCAGGCAGGGCAGAGCTTTGCCGAACAACTCGGGGTCATAGTCCTGTAAAAAGCAACATCGGGAGGTCAATTTTGTCTAAGTTTTTTACAATATTTTTTTGTTTTGTCACTATTATGACATAATCACTTTGGTTTATTTATGAATAGGGCTGATCTAGGTTATCTCCACTAGTAACATATTGCACATTTACTCTTTCCTTTTAAAACCAATATAACTGTTAATGTCTGAAATAGAGGTTTCACAGGGAAACTAATTGAATTTTCTTTATGTGTCAGTGATCTTGAATTATACAAATGAACTATCATAAGCATTATTAGATCCTGAGTTAAATATGCAGCATTTTGAAACATTTTGTCACAATTCTTTGGGAATTAAAACAAAGAAAATCAACTGAACATTGTTTTACCCAACCATAACTATAAAACTAAGCAAGTAAATATAAGGTTTCCTAATTTAAGTTTTGGGTTTGGTTTTAAAATTGAAAATTGTCTTTACCATCTCTAATTTGTTACAATTTGTATGATAATACTTACCATTTTAGACAAAGAGTCAAAGATGTTGCTGAAGAGCATCATAGTGAGCCGCTTCTCCTCGTCACTGGAAGCTCCGTAGAGACCTTGGCCTCCCGTAGAGCCGTAGTACTTGGCACACCGGTCATAGTGGAGGGTCAGCAACTAGGAGTACAGTGGGATTTGGATTATTCAACCGACAAATAACTCGGACCATCAAAAAATTCAAATCAGACATATTTACTAATAAAGGCCTCGAACTGAAGTAGATTCTACTACCATTCTACAACTTCCTTCTGAATAAGCTTCCTTGTAAGGTCAAAATATCAAATTAATTGATTTTGTATTGTGGGCTTGTTGTGTGTTTCAATATAAAACATAGACGGAAGACCCAAATCTGGAAAACATGGCAAAACACCCAAACAGCTTTTCTTCCAACTAATCACCTGATTGACAGAAGTGTAACAAGATGAATTGCTACAGAGGTGTAGTTTAGTTTACTGTGTTACCAAGCTAAATGGGTAATTTCCAGCTAAGTATCCAAGGATTCCAATAGGGACATGTATGGAGGTTTCTGTTTAAAATTACGTATAATATTGCTAGTCATCAAAGTTTTACATAAATTAGGTAACAGTTTTAATTACCCTGAGAGCGACGGTTGTGTATTCTGACAACTTGGACACATCTACAGTCAGCTTCCTCAACAGCTTCAACAACATGCTAGGCTGCATTTGGCTGAAAAAGACAGTTTCCTATCATAAATATCATTTAACTCTTCTAATATTTTTTTAGAAGTTTTTTTTTTTTTTTAAAAGAGGTTGGCGGCCTCTTTTAACCTTGCATTTGCCCGTCCACATAGACTAAGCGCCCGTGCGTGGATCGTTTACAGCAAAGCAAGGAGTGAGCCGGTACAGTACAAAGGTGAACTGTACTGATAAAATGTTATCGGCAGTGACCAGGATCCGAACCGCTACCGACTGAGCCACCGACTCACTAAAGTAACCAATAAGTAGCCAATAAGGGTTCAGAAACACAACAACTTAACATTATACGCAAAAGATAGATTGCTTCAATGTGACTGACAGAATTTCTAATTAAGAAAGGTTTGAGTTGGCTTCTGTATGTTATATTTGGCCTACCAACACTTTTTTAAGGTAAGCTAACTGCTATCTTCCTTTTTATACAATTCAATATTCAAACTATTTGTTATCCAATTCGACCGTGAATATCTAAACCAATGAAATTGAATACCGTGACTTGGTATCTAGTCCATCTAACATTGTCAAGATTGATTTAGGTCAGATATTGAATACTCTACTTTAAAAATAATAACTAACAATTGTCTAGATATCAAACTATACAGAAAGGTTGGCGTACCTAGTCAGTGCCACCAGAAAGTCAGACACCGCCTCTCGCTGACCCTTGGTAAGCATGCGGTTCTTGGACAGCCTGTACACGGTGTGTAGAGTGGCGTCCAACAGGTTGGCGTAGTTGTCTGCCTCGTTGTAGAACTTGGAGTGAGAGATGAGCAAAGGCAGTACAGAGTTTCCGATGTATCTGTTCATGGACAAGGCCATGTCTGACTCTAGCCCGTCATTCTGTAACATCGGTTGAAGCAGTTACCTAGGACGCTATGCTCTAGCCAACACTTCAGCAAGGTCCAGAGGTTTGCGGAATCATCTCTTAGTACTCTTAGTAATGCTTTTAAAGATTGAGGCGCTTTGAACTCAAGACCTAGAGAACCAAAGACCCAGGCTCTGTTAGACCAGCTCATTTTGTGCATTAGTTACTACAACCTTCTAGTGGTGAAGATAAAATCTAATCAAATAATTACAAATTTAAAAAATGAATGCTCAAAAATCAAGTCTTGAATCTTGAATCCAGGGTATTGACGATGAATTCTAATCTTTTCACTAAATTCAAAATTTGGCTTTAATATATCACTACTTAATAGTAAAACTAGGTGGACCTCTCTGATACTCCCTCCCAAGGAATTATCTATGTTTCAGCCATACCATTGCTAAATATTGGGAAAAGTAAAGATATTTCAGAGGAATACTTACTCGGTCAAGCATGGTAGCAGCACGGAGATCTGGCAAGAAAGCTTCCTCTAGAATTTTGAAGAACAATTCTTGAGTTTCGATGCCATAAACCCGTTCCAAAAACAGCACGATGCTTTGCTTATGACCAGGCACCAGGCCTGAAGGCATGTCACTCTGCAAATATGATAATGTTATAAGACTGAACATTTTTAGGGATTTAAAAAAGAATTGAACTGAAACTGTTATTTATTAACACACATATTCAAACTTAACTAACACAACAAAAGTAAAAGGTAACAGCCAGTTGACGTTTCAGTAGACTCTCGCTCATCCGGATCTTCCTTGTCCGGACTCCCGCTAGTCCGAATCGGCAATCGTGATTTTTTTTTTGCAGCACAGTACAGTAGAAGTCTGATTATTCGAACGGGCTGAGACTACCACGGATGGTAAAAAACTCGGATAACACGGTGGTAAAAATTATAGGTTATAATTAGACAAAAATTGTATTGAAACTGGAGAATATGGTTTATTATTACAGTACATAATAAGTGATTTATGATTAAATAAAAAGATATTTCTCTACCAACTCATACCAACAATTGATTTATTACCGGTGGAACTGAATTTGTCTGGCTATCAATACTGTGGACGTGGAACAAAATTGAAAAAAAAAACCGGCTATATCCAGTACTGGATTTGCCTCGGTCAACCCAGCAATTCAGATCGGAACTCAGATAGTCACATTTTGCGTCTTCAGGCGTTCTTTACAAAATCTGTAGCAATAATCATACAGTACAGTCGCTGATTGTAATTTATTACAATGAGTTTTAACTTGTTTTAGACTCTCCTGATTGTATTAACCCGTGTTTTGACAAAACCGCTTGCTGTAACGGCAAAATTGACGAATATTTGCTCGAATTTTGATACTCTGGATATTTTGTAAACCGCACCGGACGTCCACCACATTAGTCCAGACGAGGGAGAGTTTACTGTAATAGGTACCTAAAAATTCTAAAGAATACAAGAGGGACAATCTATGTCTATCTTAAATTAATTATTCTATCTTGATCTTTGTATAAATTTTGTATGATGAAATAAAGTTAATCCAGTATTCTATTTAACATTGAAATGATCAAGCAGGGCCATAACAGCTTTGGCAGGCCCGAGGCCCTGGTAAAGATATTATGCCGGCCCCCCCTCCCCTTCAATTATTTTTTTGCCGGGCCACGGTAAAATTGTCCGGAAAAACCAGTCTCAGTACGGCCCTGTGATCGAGAGTAGTCTGAGAGCCTCAGTATATAAATTGAAGAAAAATGAATTTATTTTGTTTTAGAACTTAATAAAATAAAACAGTATCCAAGCATGACCCATAGTTTTGTTATGACATTGTGTCAGCTTACAACCCCCTTACAGCCCCTTGGCAAAGTAAAGGCCAAAACTAAAATATAAAGTATAAAGGTTATATATAGTATATATAGTATAAAGGTTTTGAAAAAAATATTAGTATGATTTTCCATTGGGGTGGGCCAAGCCGAGAATTAGGATAATAATTTAGAAGTTTAATTTATTTAACCACCTAATATAATAACAGTATTGCATGAAAATAATTAACATCTCCTGTAATCAATATTTACTAGATACCTTTGGTCTCTCTTCCCCGGCTGCAGGATTCTGCAGAGTGAACCTGAGGCTCAAAACTCCTTGCAGATCTTCCAAAGGCACCAGAGATCTCAGAATGGCACGTGCTCTGAGAGACTCATTCTTACCCTGGGAAAAAACATATTTTGTAAAATAAAGTTAAAACAAAAAGCACAAACATATTTTTGAAGAGGTTAACAGTCTGTCTACAAGAGCACTTAAATTTTGTAATCGTGACGTATTAAGCAATGCAAGGGCTGAACTTTACTTTACGTCCTACACTCATTCCAATGAAAATATCGATCGATATATTGATTATTTGATAAGTTATATCGTTTGGTTGGTTAGGTAAGGTTAACCTAGCCTAACCAACCAAACGATATATCAAATGAAACAATCGAATAATCATTATTTTCATTCGAATGAGTGTAGGACGTAAAGTAAAGTGCAGCCAACATAATTTTAAGTGGCGGCACCAGGATGCAAACCCACGACTACCTTAGATTCAAAGCTCGTCTCTTCATGGTTTTTCTTTTGTTATTTTCCACCTACAGTAGAACCTCTTTAATCCGAACCCCCCTGTAATCCGAACATCCACTAATCCGAACCCCTCATTGCTGTACTCTCTATATACAGTACTGCAGTTCTTTATTGTATACTGTATTTAATTTACAGTACTGTTTATTCACCATGTTTACTACTGTATTAAATAAACACTGTATTTTACTTTATAAAACATTTTTTCACTTTCCCAAAATAATGTTGATCAATTTTAGCCATGTTTTAGCTATTGTTATGTAAAAACAACAATATGTTCTGTAATCCGAACTATTCAATAGTCCGAACTACCCCTGGTCCCAATTAGTTCGGATTAAAGAGGTTCTGCTGTATTGCCGATTTTATATATGGTACAAATCTTGTTATGCTTTAAGTACTGTCTTACTTAAGGAGGAGATCAGAATCCGGAACCGACATCAAAATGTTATATTTTAACTTTATTAATTGTAATGTAAAATGTCTTACTATAATTGAATACATTTCATAACCTATGAGAGTTGTTAGTATCACCTGAGCAATGACGGAGGAATCGGGAGCGCACCGGCCCAGCAAGTCGACCAGAGTACAGTAGAAAGCCAGAATGGCAGCTCCTGTGTCTATGTAGTCTTCATCATCATCAGACTCAGGCAGTGGGTGTTCAAACTGCAGCGGCATTGCTGAACCTTCCGCCTCGTCCTTCAACTTGCGTCGGTCAGCGATACGCTCAGACATCTACCATCAACATGAGTTTCAGTTTAGTAACTGTGATCAGTATGATCTGCACAATAAGCTTTGGTTGACGCTGAGTCTATGATCTGTACACCTTTTATTTTATTGTTTAAGACGTATGTAGGGGCCTATATTAAATCGTAACAGTTTAAAAAAATCAAAAAAAAATTTTTTTTAATTTGATTTATTTTCAGTGCTTAGGGATGTTTGTTGTTACCAATTAGTAATCCTAAGTCATGATAGCATTTTGCCTTAATAAACCTAAAAGTAGGACACGAACAATATTTTAACGTAATGAGTAGTAATGAGAGTTCATATGCCATATATTCCAAATAGCAGTGAGCAAATGGCAGTCTCAGTGACACTAGTAAAGTAATCATAAAAACATCAGAACCTGCAAAAGGCTCATTAACTTTTACTTTTTCCCATATTTATTTTGCTTTATTTTCTCCTACACATCATATTCTTCTATAGAAGTACAGTAGCAGATAGCACGACATGAAGAGAAAGAACGTGAACAAGTGGTAAAAAAAGAGGTTTCAAAAAGGTCAAAAACCAAATAAACAGAGGAAGTGGAAGGAAATAAAAAGGTTTGGGTTTTAAAAAAATTATAAATTTAGACTAAATGTATGCTTAGTGAAATTGAGCAGGTTTCAAATGCAATGGGGTACCATGTAGTTGGAATATTAATATTACCTTGTTGGCATCCATGATAGCCCTGAGTAAGCCTTCACCCTCTCCCCGTAGAGCTGGTCCTAGACACTCGGGTCGTCGGATCAACAGACGAATCACAAGGTTGGCGTTTTCCTCTACACTCTCACCTACCACAGAAATAAACATAGCAATTAAATAACATCATCTTAACACCAAATCAGTTGGTTAGACTCCTGTTATAAATACAATTTGTAATCTGTTGTAAATGGTGTCTGACGTACTGTGACTCCAGCGGTCTTGTTAGCATTTATGTATTTTTTTAATTGCAAAGCCTGGTTTTTAAAATAAATTATGTAGAATGTTTGGTAATTTTGTTAAATTCATGGGGATTTTATACAGTCCCAAAATACTTAATTTGATAGTCTTTAATATTTCATTAGAGGGGAGCAAGATGGTCTAATGTTAGAGAGTGGGACTTTGTGCCCTGAAGTCATGGGTTCAAATCCTATCATTTATGAATTTTATCTAAATGATAAAGCCACAACCTCAAGGACTAGTCTGAAGTGATGTAAAGAACAATCCCGGACTGGATCCTAATAAAAAATATGTTTCTTTAATAAACAACGGCCACATTTAATTAAATTTAAATGCATTTGCAAAAATCAATCTTGATAATCCGACACCCTCCTAGCCTGTTGGGTTATCAAAGGAACAACTGCATGTTCTACAGCTCAGAATTTTTCCTTAAATGGCGGCTCACTCCACAATCTAACTCCATACTCAAGATAAAAATGAAACAAAGGCTTAGAAAAATAAGCAGTTTTACAATTTAAAGGGTTAAATTTGACTTAAACACAATTGATCCACCGTCAAAAATTTAATGGACAAAAATCTTGCATGTTTACCGTTAACCCAGACGCAGAAGCGCAGGAAGTCCAAGTATCTCTCTCCTTCTACCGGGTCCCAACCCAAGTCTGGGTAGCCCTTCTCCACCAACTCCGTGTTAGACTGGAGTCCACAACGAGACAGGTAGATGGCGATCTTCTCCAAGTAATGCTCCCTGAAATACACCATCGTAAACTTTCTCTGCCGTAGTTTTTGTAAGGATAGCTTTAAAAAAATACAGGTTACAAAGTTAATAGTTAGAATAAGTTAACCTTTAAATTTGGCACAAACATAAAGTTGGCATATTTGACATAAACCACACATACTGTTGGTGGCTCGATTAAACTATAATAGTTTTATTCTTAGACTTTAACGTGGGAATGGGATGTCTAGTCAAAGCCATGAAATTATACTGCGACTTAAAAGGGAGACCTGAAGTATTAAATTAGTAAAGTAATTCTGGAGGAGACTTAAAACTTGAAAGTAGGAAGACATATGCATTACCTGAGAGCCAGAGCGAGTTCCGTGTTTTCCATGACAGACGAGTAAGCCACATCCAGAGGAGTACTGCCCCTCAGTGATGGTCTGGCTAACAGGATGTTACTGTTCTCCAACAGGAAGGCCAGGTGGTCAAACATTGCCTTCTGGTTCTGACGAGATGTGCGGCAGAAGTAGCAGAGGAAACGACAACACGCCACTACCATCTCGTGAGAGGTATCCTACACGAACAACACATAAATTCTTGTTTGGTAATATTGTGACAGAGGAATTCCTTCAAGCAACTCTAAAAGTGGAAGATTTGAAAAAAATCTAATATCAAAACTATTTAAAATCTGGAAAAGTTTTGGCTTTAAGGTTTTATTGGCAAGCTTTAATAATTAAAACTTAAAAGTTTCAATATTTTTCCTATGGTTATCGTTGTTTGTGTAAAAATCTCAATAGTGTATCTTGTAAAAATGTGAAGATTTTATGGATTTTCTCTTTTGTTTTCTATATTGTTTTTCTCTCTAAATCATTCAAGTTAAAGGATGTTTAGCTGATGTAGTCAAGTTTATTCTTTTTACCTCGAGGAGAATAAAAAAACTGATGTAGCCCCATTGCATGTATTGAAAACAGTCGTATTTGCTGTTGTATGACAGAAAAATTCTTTTTAACTTGCCCACACTATCAAATGTCAGAGTAATTTCTGCACAGTACCTTCTCCTTGACAGGTGCCTCCCCTTCCTGTCCAGTCCCAGCTTGGGGAGTATCTGACTGAGCCTGAGCTCTGCGACCCAAGGTATTCATCATCACTGCCATCACGTTCTCATGGACACGCAACACTCTAATCAGGTCAGGGTGCTGGAAGAATGTGTGGTTGTTCACTAGTTTCCTGTAAAATGACCAATTGAATTTAACTCATTGGTACATATTGTGACGCTTAATGCCACTATTTTATATAGTGCCACACAACAAAATCGCTGGCCTTTCTGATCAGCTTGCTTTTTTTCTGAGAATCGAGATTTCCTCCGTCTTGTCTCTCGCCGCCTGTCGTTGGATTAGCTGCCAATCTCCATTTTCTCATCCCACCATGCCCTTGTTAAATCAGGATAAGTCCTTAAATATTAAGTAGTGTAAAGATTAAGATGACAGGCTAGATTAACAATTTAAGGGGAGCCGGCAGGCTTTTGCCCCATTCGCAGAAATGTAAATTTCAATAATTATGATTACCTCGCTTAACGAGGTAATCATTCCTAGACATGCAATAGTCACCACGTTGAAAATTTAAGTATTAAATCATTCAGGAATCGCCTTAGGAATCCAAATTTGTTCAATAAGGAGTTAGGGAACGCAATAGACCTATTTTATCATCATCTAAATGTTTACAATATTTAGCAGTTTAGTTTGGAAGGTTAGCTATAGTTCTGTTTTCTAGTTAAATTATAAGTAATCAAAGCTGGCTTGGCCTGCTTCTGGTCTCGGTAAAGATTTCCGCCCTCTGGTTCCCCAACCACGTTTCCTATTAAATTGTCATTTTAATATGGTAGTAGAGGATAGCACGTTCTTAATTGCAACATGCTAGGGTCCTCCAGGCCCTAGCACCACAGACAGGCAATTTCCTACATATTTCACTCAATTACAATTAATACATCACATCACCACAGAATGCATCACCTAGTTCCCGCCCCAGTTGCCACCAAAAGGCTACATATGGTAGCAGAGCGTGGTTACGAGCCACGGACCTCTGGGTTAAAGGCCCAGCACGCTTCCAAAAGGCTACAATATGCAGTTGCGTGGCTAGTCTTATGGTCAGATAGATCTACTACCTAACAAATACCAATAACATAGCTAATAACTTTCAGGTAATATGACAATCCTGTGTCAAGAAGGTTAGGAGCCCATATTCAATGGCAAACAAAGATTTCTATTCTATTCTATTCTTTCTATTCTATTCCATTCTATTCTATTAGATCACGAATTTGAGCTTGTTGAAAAAGCTATGTTATCATGCCTTGCGTTGGGTAAAATAATAAACATCGACAATATCAAACAGCCTTTACCAGACATCTTGCACAAAATGATATAGATTATGCTCCTTGTCAGTTGTTGCTCTCTTCAACAATCAGGCCATTTGCAGTAAATAGATTAGCATATTTTAAATAACAACTAAACTTTATTGAATCAATTTGTGGGATCAGAATATTCTCCAAGTATAAAAGAATGAAATATATTTCTGTTTAAAGTAAAGTAAAAACAGCAAATGATTTGTTAAGACTAATAAAGTACTTTATGTAATAATAACAAGTATCATTTTAATTAAAGAATTTTCCGCAATAACCTAGAAAGTAAAATTACAATCACAGTTGGCCGCTAACCGTTGACAAGCTAGACTAGCCATCTGTAGAGCGAAAACAATACTAGGGGCATTACCAGCTTGCTTCGCTTTTTGTAAGTCATCGTCATTATGATGTTTTGATGTAGATATAATTGTGCCAAGTTATAACTCAGGTCAAACTCAAACAAAAATAATTTCATGCATTTTAATATAGAAAGATCAACTTTATTGTTTTTTTTTCTATTGTAGTGTGTTGGTTTAGCATAATTTTGATATTACTGTATTGAAAATCATATTTCATATTAAAGTTTTTCAAGAAGATTGAAGATGTGTTGAGCATGTTTTATTCTTCTTTAATAACACTTCTCATACCGATGTTTGCATGGAAATTCTATTTGATAGTTTTTCATTTGTTATGAATTGTTAAAGCATATATTTTACAAATATTTGACTTCCTAATGTAGTAGTACTGTAGCCCTAAGCGACCCCCTTGTTATCCGAGATGCTAGGTCCGGATCAGGAGTGTACTCACCACAGTCGTTCCCTCATCAGTCCCTGCTCTTCCTCACTCATCTGTACGGGCAGCAGAGCTCGTATCTGACTGAGACCGACCCACATGAGCGCTGCGTCCGCACGAGTCTTGGTGTTGATTACGTAAGTCTTCTCCAACGCACGCACTAGCTCACCCACACAATCGTACTGTCTCACCAACAAACTGTGTACAACCAAGAGACAGTTGGTTAACTGTAACTGTCTTAGGATTCTCACTTCTAGGGTAAGATTAAAAATTATTTGAGAAAGCGACAAATTTTGGGAAAAGTTAATCAACAGTCCATAGTAAAAAAGTGTTTAATCTAAATTGGACACGTTGCAGGTATGCTATAAAACTTTAGACTGATGTATTATAATACTGTCACAAACAGATTTTCAGCGTTACTGACTTTTGCTTCCAAGATATTAGTCGTATGACTTATAGCTAACAAATTAAGAAACAAATTTCATAATTTGAAGATAACAGATCATTGAATTTAAAAATTCTCTCTAAAAAAAAATAAAATAAAAAAATAAAAAAAAAATAAAAAAAAAATAAAATAAAATAAAATAAATAGCTAAGTGAACAAATTTTTAGGTATCTTTACCATTGACCCTACAATATACACAAATGGTTTTTAACACTGACCTAAACATCTCTCTCACAAGCTTTGAAGTCTCAATTTGAGATTCTTCAGCCCACTTCACAATTGTTGAAATCAGAATCTTCCTGAATACCTCTGTAGAACAAAAATAACTGATTAGTGGTTAGTAATGAGTAATGAGTATTATATGTAGAAAGATAAAATGTTAATAGTGGAAAATATCTTTAATAACTAAAGTAGCTTAAAATACTGCAGGGAATCTACAGAAATTGAAAAGAATAAAATAGTCGTTATACTCGTAAGTGAGATCTTTAAAAATTGGAACGTATATTACAATTTTTAGTAATCCATTTGGACTCTTCCATCCATGCTGACTTGATCCCATGAATATTGTACAGCAATGTTAAATAGTTATAGCTAAAATAGTAATTGCTCATGTTATGGTAAACTCATTTAGAATAGTACTAAAATTTTTACATTTATGATGTTTTCAATAACTCAAAGGCATCAAAATTAGCAAAAAAAAAAAATTACCTTCTGGAGTCTTTTTCTCTGGTTCTTCCTCTTCTTTGGGAGGCTGCTCGAGTTCCTTGACAGCATTTATAAAGTTATACAAACGTGTCAGAGGCCCAGGCTTAGCAGTATCGTCAGCTGAAGTTTCCTGCAAAATATGAGGTTACTAGTGTTACAAAAAATTTGCTTTCTTTTACGACCAAAAACAGCTATATGAGAAAACATAATCAATTAGTTTCAATACAGTACAATTGGATGATAATCAGAAAGTCATTATTTCCCATTATGTAGGTATCTTTATGTATGGTATATGGTATATCTTTAGGAATAATGATACATTTAAATTTTCAAAATCATCCCGTGAAAAGATTTATCTACTTTGTTTTCATTCATTGTGTATCCCGATTTATTTTGTTTGTTGCGAGACTGGTGTAGTAATTTCAGAATCAGAATCAATCAGTTTTGGATAAGGCTAACATTGTTAAGTACTTCTGTTCAACGACCAAACAACAACAACATAACAGCTGAATACCTCAGCAGGTGGTTCTTGCAGAGCCACCAGAGACACATGTTTCATAAGTCTCTCGTGGAATCCATTGAGACTCTCTCTCAGCTCATTGCCACAAGGGCAGTTCTCAGTGTCGTCCTCCTCCAGGTTCTTGAACCCGAGGATCGCGTTCATCTGTTAACAAGAACAAGTACTGTACTGTAAAACGTAATATGCCAAAAAACTACCTTTCTATGGGATAAATTCCATAAACACAATCGAGCCCCAAATGTCTCATAGGATACCGCATGGACAAAAGGGAGGGCGCTGAACTTTCCCTTGGATAAATAAATGAATGAATGGGATCATAAGTCCAATAATTAGGATTTCATTGACTATAGAATGTTGTCCTGACAAATAAGTGCTATATTAAATGCTACTTCCTACCTAATTTTGTAGAATTTTCTGGTGTAACTAATACAAATTTGATGGAGGGAGACCAAACCCAAATCTCGTTAAGTAAAACTCTAAAGACCAAATTTTTAATTTCCCACAAAAAAAAAAAAAAAACACACAACACCACAGAGCTTAACCTAAAGACACCCAGTGTCACCAGTGTTCAGCCAGCCCTCCAATGGTGGCCTCAACCTGCTACTTTGTGCAGAGCCTGCTGACCACAAATCAACAACTCAGCTGCATATCCTACCCTTCATTAGAGTGCCCTTTATGTTTATGAGTTGTTTATGTAATTAAGGTCATTATGAATAACTAACGGTAATTTTAGAGAAAATATATGTTTAAATTTGTATACCTGCTCTCTTGGAGGACATCGGAATTCCCTTGTCTTCTTAGCAGCAATGGCTGATGGTAGGTCTGACTGCTTGATGTCAACATATCTTCTCAACTGATCCTGTATCAAGAATAGGCCTTGTTGGTAATCCAGATTCTGATAAATACAATTAAAAACTATGGGAAAATGTGTTAATAATACTGCTAGCTAGATAATTGGTGGAGCAAGAATGATTGTTAATAAGATCATGCTAAAAAAAAAGAATCTTCCACTTTTTTAAACAAATCCAAAGAGTTAAATTTTTTAGTTTTCAACACAAAAATTTAGCTTGTTTCCTGTAAATTGGTAGATTTCACGCGACTCAAAATAGAAGATGTTTTAAAAATAGTATGACCACAAAACAATTATTGTATAGAGCTTTATTCAATTTCAGATTTTTTTCAAAGATTTGGTATGACAGAACAGTGATATTAGTATGCCATGGCTATTTTTATCAATTGTATCCTACAGTTTTTTTCCTGGAAAATGCACTTCAAGTAAAATTGTACAGAAAAATTGATTAAGAAGCTCCTTCATGTGATAACAAGTATTTGTATTACTACATGAGACATGAATTATATTGTCAATATTGTCATGTTACAAATTTATTGTGAAACCTCAGTCGTTGTATTATGATATTCTGTGATGACTCACCGCTTGTAGGTCTCCTACAAAGTCGTAGCTGAAGGCAATGATAGACTCCACCCTGTGTCTGAGCTGAGTGTCACACAGATGGTGCAGCAAGTAGCACATCTGCAGCTTGGCTCCCTCGGCCATCTTCATGTAGAACAGACCCTTGCGATGCTCGTCCTTGCCCTCTGTCAAACAATACAGACATGTCACTAAATATCTCTCTGAAGGCAATGATAGACTCCACCCTGTGTCTGAGCTGAGTGTCACACAGATGGTGCAGCAAGTAGCACATCTGCAGCTTGGCTCCCTCGGCCATCTTCATGTAGAACAGACCCTTGCGGTGCTCGTCCTTACCCTCTGTCAAACGATACAGACATGTCACTAAATATCTCTCTGAAGGCAATGATGGACTCCACCCTGTGTCCGAGCTGAGTGTCACACAGATGGTGCAGCAAGTAACACATCTGCAGCTTGGCTCCCTCGGCCATCTTCATGTAGAACAGACCCTTGCGATGCTCGTCCTTACCCTCTGTCAAACAATACAGCCATGTCACTAAATATCTCTCTGAAGGCAATGATAGACTCCACCCTGTGTCTGAGCTGAGTGTCACACAGATGGTGCAGCAAGTAACACATCTGCAGCTTGGCTCCCTCGGCCATCTTCATGTAGAACAGACCCTTGGGATGCTCGTCCTTACCCTCTGCCGAACGATACAGACATGTCACTAAATATCTCTCTGAAGGCAATGATAGACTCCACCCTGTGTCTGAGCTGAGTGTCACACAGATGGTGCAGCAAGTAACACATCTGCAGCTTGGCTCCCTCGGCCATCTTCATGTAGAACAGACCCTTGCGATGCTCGTCCTTACCCTCTGTCAAACAATACAGACATGTCACTAAATATCTCTCTGAAGGCAATGATGGACTCCACCCTGTGTCTGAGCTGAGTGTCACACAGATGGTGCAGCAAGTAACACATCTGCAGCTTGGCTCCCGCGGCCATCTTCATGTAGAACAGACCCTTGCGATGCTCGTCCTTACCCTCTGTCAAACAATACAGACATGTCACTAAATATCTCTCTGAAGGCAATGATAGACTCCACCCTGTGTCTGAGCTGAGTGTCACACAGATGGTGCAGCAAGTAACACATCTGCAGCTTGGCTCCCTCGGCCATCTTCATGTAGAACAGACCCTTGCGGTGCTCGTCCTTACCCTCTGTCAAACGATACAGCCGTGTCAATATCTCATTGAAGGTAAAATCATGCATTGCGAACAAAATCCTCTGACGTCAATTGTGTTTGAAAGACCTGTTTTAGAACTAATGGACTCTTCATTTAAGTTACTACTAGGATAAGAAGTTTATTTGTTTGTTACAAATTCGAAGCATCCTTCTGAATTCACATTTCCATACCAATCCCCAGTGATAGCAAAAACTAAAAAAAATCCAACTTTGAACTTTGTTGTCATACTTCCACCACCACAAGCAAGGAAATTACCACCTTCCTCTAACACTTTAATTCGTGCTCGTGAGCCTGTTCTGTATTACTATTTGTCGTTATTTTATTTTCACACAACAAGACTTTATAAGAATATCTTCAAAATATATTTACCTTTTTCAAAAGTAGGATCCCAAGTTTCAGGGTCAAACATGATCAACAGTTTGATGACGTCATCGTCTGTCAGAATACCAACCAAGAGAAGTCTGTCCACAAGTTTGAGAAGAGGCCTGAAAAGTGTAAAAAAAAATTGAAGTGAATGCAATCCAGACATTTTGTCTTTGATCTACGGACTATAAGAGGCAAATGGAAGTAGTTCAAGGTCAACTTTCTCACTCTAGAACCAAGACAAGAAGGAATTAACAAAATCATACACATTTAACTTTAACCTTTAATAAATGATCACAAACTTATACCAATGGCCGCTTTTCTCTTAATATAAGCTCAACAGATTTCTTCCTCCCAGCATAGATTTTTTTACTTTGAAATTTGCACACTACCTATCGCCATTCAACACAATCAAAACAAAAACAATCAACACAAAATGTAAAAACCAGTATTTTGGCTGGTGTCCTGACTTCCTTGCAAGCAATTTGTTTGTTGAGTATTCTAACAGGCAGGGACAACCCGTTTGAAATTTATCCAAACTAAAAACTGCAGAAAGTCTAGCTGGCTACAAAACTGATTAAGACATCCCATCATAATAAGTTATATTTTAAATCAAAGGGTTTGCTCATATTTGAAAGAGAACCGTCAGAGGCTCAACTCATCTCACAACTTAACATCACTATTGTATACTTACAAGAAGAGGTTCTCGTTGGAGCCTCCAACAGGGTCTCTGTTGTGGACCTGGTTGATCTGTACAGCCTGGTCCAACGCGGCCATTACAAAGTCTCTCACCACACCTAGGGGGAAGTGGGGACTGTAGAGGCTACGAATGTTGTCAACCGACTCTCTGCAACAACCAGACACTGTTCACATACTAGGATGCTAGGCTATTACAAACTACTTCAAGATAGGTCTAGAGGTTGCGCCATTATCACATTCACAGGCATTACCCATTGGCGATTCAAGCCCTGTTCTCTACCATAAAAGACCATCTCGTTCCCCACAGTCACAAAGGTAACATATCTACATAGGACTTTTACAAACCACAGTCATATTATACAATGAGCTGGCCTTTCAGTCTGGCTTTGAAAATATGGGATGCGATAGAAGAAATCAGTGATTTAAAATTAGCGTACTCTGTCAGTGGCTTACTTTAACTTGATAATTTTGTTATAAAAAACTGGCTATAACTTTGAGGATGGAATTTTCAGCTCTATTTATAGTCAAAGATAATACTAACGCAATGTCTGTCATCTTCATTTGAGGCTGGACGGACTCTGTTTTCAAAGATCTCAAACTGTGACCCATCTCTGGATCTGAATAAAGCTCCTTGATCTCTGGTCCAATTGGTATAATGTACTCATTCTTACAAGTCTCCCTGAAATAAGAAAGTTCATTTAGAATTTAAAAAAATTCAAAAGAGACTAGAGCTAGATTAAACTCTTATCCAGCTTTATCTTATAAATCTTTACCGCCAGTTCCAAACTCACATGGTAGTTGCGTGTGACTCCAGATGCAGTGAGATTAGAAGGTCGTAGAAGCCCCGTCTGAGTGGTCCGGACATGTACTCTGATTGGATGGCGTACAACAGCTGTTTCTGGTCTACATGGTGACAGAGAGCATGGGCCGCACGGTAGTTGCTCTGGTAGCAAAGGGCGGAGTAAAGCGTCAGTGTGTGTGCGTGGAACCTACCAACAAAAAGGTTAACAAGATTCATTGAGGGTTATTTCTATCTCAATGTTTATCAGTTCCCTCATTTCTTTTAATGACTTTTTGTTATGAAGAATTTTTTGCATATATGTGCAATTTATCTTTTGAAAATTAAAAAATTAGATTTCAGGAACCACGATTTGATTGTAAAGAGTATGTTATGAAAGTAAGTGCATTCACAAAACTCAATTTAACATTGTTTTGACCAACAGGAACATAATAATACTCGATTTAAAGTGGAATTTTAAAAGAATCCACCCGTTCCACCATCATTTAAACAACAGTCCACCTTTTATTTGGGATGAGCCCCAACCAAGTTTTGTCACAGGGATGACCTTCTTGTGAGTTGTACTCCAGTTATCCCCAAAAAAGGACTAGAACCCTCAATCTCCAATACAGTACATCTTAGAGCAATTCTTAAGGCGCACAGGCAGATACCAAACAATTTTACCTAGTTCCCAAAAATAAATGTTGTCAAAACAAAAGATAACATAACAATAATTTAAACAAAAGATTAATAAACAAATTTTAGAGTGACACTTACGACAGTAGCTTCTCCATCTCGATCAACTCCAGGATGTCAATGCATCTGTCCTCCTCGGGAACATGCAAGGCCAGCATTGATACAGGATCCTCACACAACATGGACCAGCCACGGATGTCTGACAACTTGAGAGCATGCACCTGCAGGGAGACATTGGGCACTCTAGCCCACTGGTGTGGCTTGAGACACTGCACCTTCAGTCTAGGTGGGAACTGTAGACAGAGGTAACTTAGTACACTGTTACTTACAACTACTAGCGTGGTTTGTTTAGAAATGAAGAATTAGAAAAATAATTTCCAATTACATCGCAAATCTCTAAATAATAAAATTGAAAAGGTTATTTTATTACTCAATCACTTCACTAAGGCAGAGGTGGCTTTGTGCACATATTTCAAGCTGAATTCAGGGTGAGAGTAGAATGAAAAGTGATTATCTGTTTGGATATGTAACTAACTAAGATCAAAATATACTGATTAACATACACTGATAACTTAGCACAGTCAGTTAACTAAAAGTTAAAATATTATCATGAATCTTTGTTGCCCTTTACTCCGGTTTACAGTATAAAAGTTGTAAAGTGTACTGAATCGGAATCACTCACCTGCGGAATGACGTGCCTGTCAGAGTTCTGCAGGACTGCAGCAGACAATGGCAGAGTTGTGGATGTCCTGCCGAGCTCTATCTGCAGGATCTCCTTACTGGTGGCCTCAACAAACACCGCAGGGAACAGCTTGGAGTCTGGCTCCAGCTGAAAAAATCACAGTCAATTGGATTGGCTGGGAGATAAAGATGGCTTTAGCTAGGAATCGAATCCTAGAAAGTTGAGTCCCAAATATTTAGATTAGATTAAATTTATATGACACTAAAATACAAAGGTAAATATTTTGAGGTGGAGGATGAGTGTCTAATGAATGATGACAGTTTTTTTACAAACTACGATGCTGGTTCTTTAGTTAGTTAAAAATCCTTCCTGTTTATTTAAAAAGCCAAGTAAGGACAGGTAGGTCCAGTTTCATTCCATTAAAAAGTTCCTCATTTTCTTAGGACCAGACCTTTAGATAACCAAGCGAGCACTATCCAGTTTTGAATGCAAATTCAGATTTTGCAAAACAGGCTGAAATATAGTTTTTTGTTAAAATTGATTTCAATACTATCTACGTTGTTTTGTGTAGTATGTAGTACAAATTGATACAACTTGAATAAATTTTCTAAACTGTATACACCAGAATCCAAGCAACATCATGATCACCTTCTGCAATATCTAACACAACCATGAGTAGTATTTGTGATTAATTGAGACTGCTTATTTGCACAATATTCCACTAATACCGTCCCAAAATAATCCCTACCTGTTTAAACCACGCCAGAAAAAACAGAATTATAAATTTTTGAAGCGTCCACACCAAAGTGGAAGAGGACAAGCTTTGATTGTGAAGATACTAAGATGGAAGAGGATAATTAGCTTCTGTGAGTCTGGAGCTGCCAAATTTATGTTATTGTTGATGATAATGATAATGGTTATGTTGTTGTTGTTGATGATGATGATGAATATTACCATTGACTATAAATCCTTAAAAGACAATGCATCTAGTACTAAAAAGCGTACCCAGCAAAATATCCTAGCGGAGATTAGCAGAACTAGTTCAGTACCTCTATGCGGTGGCGTTCCTAGCGGCAATGGCTGGAAACTCGTGTTGTAAGTGCTGCGCGCGCACGCGTGCATCCCCGCTCCGCTGCCGACACTCCAGCCAGGTCGCGGTCCTCTTTGATCTCCCTACCGTCCGACTCACCGGCGCCGCCGCATGGTCACAGAATATATGGCATGGTTCGCCTCCATAGGCCCTGCGCGGTGATCGATCCCTTCACAATATTCTCTAGGCAAACGCGTGGTCGTTTTTATATATCATATTAATTATATATAAATTAATGTATTTATTATATGCATTATTATTATCACGTACACAGATTTATGCTATATTCGAACCTTCGTAAAAATAGATCCAGCTGTCATTACTGCTATAAATATGGCCGTTACAAATGCTGGTAGATTGGTCATGTACAGCAACAAAAAGCTGTAATAAACATTGAGAACTGTCAAAGTAGGATTGTTTTGAGTTATGTTTATGTTTTAATAAGAAATATGTGATTTTGTGCATGTAGAAATTTGTGTAGAAATGTATGGGGTAGAAATTGGTTTTTCCCATTTTGACTAAAAAAACATATGATTTAGCAATTTGTTTCCAAACCATTTTGTAGAGCTTAAAAACCCAAATAATTTTGTCTATTGAAGTGTTATTATTCATCTAATGGTTACGGAGAAATAGTTATTTGTGCAACTAGTGAGCAAAGGGAGCAATTGACTCACTCGAGGAAATACTTAGGCCTAATGAGGAATGGTTTCCCGAGTGAGGCAATTTCACTTTGCACTCGAGTTGTAGGCCTACATTACATTTTTCCTACAGTTACCATAAAACAAATACATTGGTAAAGAAACGTGACATATTTTAACACAGAAGTGAACTTTTAATATGACATTTAAAAACATAAACTTGGAAGATAAAACCACAACATTATACAACAGATTATACAACAATACAACAGCTGTTTATGAACATTAATTAAATTGATAAAATACATACACTTACATTTCTTACTTAACTGCAGTATTTAAACTTTACAATAAAAAAAAACTTTTTTACCCTCCCTGTTGCAGCAGACCTAAGTTATCGTTAAACTAATTATATTTGAATAGGTAATAAATATGTTATATTTGTAAGGTGACATTTTAGTGTAAATCCAATCAGTCAATTGGAAATTCGTTTAGTCTGCAGGTTTGCTGCTTTGGGGGTGTTTCTATGGTTTAAACGCAAAGAACTAGTAACTGCAATACGCATTTGATACGTATACGCCTATCCCGTACGAAGGACCTTTGCAATACCTCTATATATTTTAATATCTTTATATATTTTAACAGTGCAGTGACTAAAAAGGTGCGTTTTATAATATATATCGTTTGGGCGTTGACTGTATATAGTTGACAAGTTAACGGTATGGGCAACGTCGGCTTCTGCCAACAGTGGGGCCAGTGGGGGTTGGGTTGGGGGAAGCTAGACCAAGGACACTTCGCCCGCCCCGCAGTGCCACTGACTGTGAGCGCAATCCAGTACTCCAGTAGTTCTTTAGTTCTTTGTTCTTTACATCACTTCGGTTTGTTTGCTGAGTTGAGACTGTCGAAAGTTAGTTGATTGTTGCTTTGTTCGTTTATGGTTAGCTGCAGAAGTGAGTGGCGCCAGGTGAAATTTTCTTTGTAAGAGACAGTGCATTGTATTTTTGAAATAATAATAATAATAATTTTGAAAAATAAATACATTTGATTTTTAGCAGCAAACGTCTTGATTATGTCAGAAAATGGAACATTTGCCGCTCTTACATATTTAGCACAAATTGTGAACTACTTTATGATTAACACTCGACGAGTTATTTTGAATAAATAGTCATACCAGACGACAACCAATTGTTGTGTTCTGTAAGGGCTGATTTGTTTTATGGTTACTAACAGCCAACAAGAGCACCATTGTTAATAAAAATTTAAACCCGAATAAAGTGTGCAGTAGTGAGGTTGAGGAAGTGTTTTAACTACTTTTAACCAGTGTGAAAAGTAACTTTAAATTACAGGCCTACCTTAGGGCTATGCCTCATAGATCTATACTGTAAAGCAATTCCTTTCATCGTTTGATATAAAATATGGACTAACACGATCGGGTGATATTTAATTGCGAAGCATTCGTTTTGGCTTTGAAACTGTCAGATATTGTTTTTGAGAAGGTTTATAGGTATTCCTAAACAGTTATAGTTTTGCCATCATATCTGGAAAAATGCACACTAAATATGCAAACCAAACTCCTGTTCTGAATATAAGGGGTCTTTTATAGTATTCGTGGGTTTTAACTTACTACTAGATTCCCGTACGTAGAACGGGCAAACAGCTAGTGTTGACCTGAAAAAGTTAAGATGATTGACAACTGATTGATGATTGATAGATGATTAATAAACTCTGAAATGTTAAAAGCCTATTGGACGAAGGGCTTTCACGGGTTATCATCTAAACCCACAAAAGGCACATCTAAATAATTGGAGCTTTAAAATTGATACCCAAAATGCCTAGGAAAATAAATATTTAGGGGTCAATGTGCTGAATACAAACATCCAACAAATTCTTTTAATAATATAAATTGCAATGGTATAATATATTTGGGAATTTACCGCTAAGCTAAAATCCATTCTGTAAAAAATAATTTTAACTATATTTCAATTTTTTTATATCCCTGGATGCAGATTGAAAATTAAAGTAGTTCTGGGTAAATGGGTAGTAGGGGTATGGTGTTGGTATATGTGTGTGTAAGTGTGAAAAAATGTGTGTGTAGGTATGACAAATTTAATTAAACCATAGGAATTGTGTAGGTAACAATGCTCGGTTGCGGTCATAATATAATCGCATCGTTGGGGTACGATGCAGTATCAGTGGAACTGGAAGTACGGTGAGAGGACAGAGAGTGAAGGGACTGTGTGGTGTACGTGTAGGTACGTGCGCGTGTGCGCTGTAGCGATTAGCGAACCGGCAGCACGGCGTACTCTGTCTAGTGTCTGTACTGCGAGTGCGCCGAGTGCGGGCCGGGCCGCCGGGCGCCGGGCGCCGGGCGGGAGTGCGCTGCCAGCACTCTCTGGCAGAGAAGGAATAAAACAATTGACGCACGCGCTGTCTTTCGGAGGTGCAGACCAACTAACTGAACCCACGGACCTGGCTCAGCTCCGGCCATTACAATGGGCCCGTATGTATGCGTTGTCTTTTAAGGATTTATAGTCAATGATATTACCTTGTACTTGTGGCTTGTCTCTTTCCCCTCACAGGTGAAGGTGATGAAGCCAGTGGCCGCATCTACGAAGCAGCCGACAAACATTCCCTGTGACGCACCCTTGCCTGTCGCATCTTGCGTCACCTCGTTGTACAACTCATCAGCCCTCACCATGTAGCAACTCTGTCGGTTCACACTGTTGACAGATCATAATTAGTTACATTATCATTATGATTCTTTAGTTTGAGACAATAATGACCTATGTGTATTGCTGAAAATGAATGCAGGATGTGAGTAGAATGGAGTAAAATGATCTGTGTAAGACTAATGATTGGAAACCAATTAGAAAGTAACACTGTGCACAGCTTTAAGCTATTAAGGTTGAGGGGACACAATGTAGCAAATGTTAACCCGTAAAAAGTGAAAGGTGGGTGTAAAAAAATAGTGATATACCTTTAGTTGATTACTGACTAAGAAGAGTGGTTTCCTTAGCTAGGACCATTTATACAATAAAATTGAGCAGGGTTTAGTTTCAAACCAATGCAGCCCCTCCTCCTTCAAGGTACATAATTCCTATACATTTTCCTGCAAATCTCATTGTCATTTATATTCCATGTGTCTAATACCCTAACCTTGTTACAACTCAAGATTCTCACCTATCCACAACTCTGCCGTAGTCGTCCATGATGTGTACCGTAGACTTGCGTACCCTGCTCTGGTTAAAGTCCTTGCTATGAAGGTGATACTGCGTAGTGACCCAGCCTACATACACGTGTGTCGGGTCCTGACCAGGGAATATGCGCACTCCGTAGAAATACTGGCCAAAAACAATCATTCATTATTAAATAAGTAAATAAAAAAACATTAATATGAAATACCCTCGGTACAGCAAAACCTGCAGACTAAGCGAATATCCACTTTCCTGATTGGATTATCACTAAGGTATTTTCCTTAACGTGCTAGATTTTCTCCCTATTTGAATAGCATTAGGTTGAATGAGTAATTAGGTTTGCTGATAACCAGGAAGGTAAAAAAAGTGTGTTTTTTAGTGAAATTTTAATAGCTGATTGTGAAATTAACACATTTGTCTAATTTGATCAAAACATATTCATAATCAAGCAAAATACAAAATTTTAAATTTGATGGGAATTTGAAATATATCAGGGTTGCCACCATAGTGGGATGACAAAATTCATGCAGAATTCATGGTTTTCATTGGCAGTTTGAAAAAATTCATAGTCAATGCGCTCACACAGGTTGTGGAAAAAAAACCAATCTATTTTATGTAGCGCACTGTTCAGCAAAATCGTCTGAGAGTGGTGGGGTTAGGCTAGTTGAAAAGCCTACACCATAGATGAAGTGATGCCATTATCTGTGGTCATGCAGTGGTCACCTGAGCGTCGTGCGTTTGTTATCACAGTCAAATTTAAAAAGTTACTATTCAGTCATTGCAACTCAGCGGCAGTTCGGTGCATTTTTTAAATTGGGGCGACGTTGATTCCGTCAAGTAGCACAATCATGTGGTGGACAACCAACTTTAGAACAATGGCATCTGCGTTTAAAAAGAAGCTGACAAGCCGTCCAAAGTCAGATCGGATGTCAGACAACTAACATTCGATAGAATACGTGCTGATGTGGTAAACAGTCCTCGTATGCCCGCTTGAAAACAAACATCTACTTTAAACATGTCTGACCGCTCGGTTACACTAATTTTGAGGTTCGATCTTAATTCTTATCCCTACAGATTAATGTCTATTAATCTGTTCAATTTTGTTGATTAACCATACAGACAATCTCACCGGAACCTCTTCATGTCGACCTAATTCAAAGAATGCATGGAAATGCCGCCGAGTTGAAATGACTGAATAATTACTTTTTAAAACGGCTCGATAACAAACACGTGTTGCTCAGGTGACCACTGCTTTATGAATACATATAATGGCAACGTATAGCTTTCTAACGAGCCTACCCCCACCACCCTCAGACGACCTGTCGACGAACAATGTGCTGCGAAAAATAGATTTCTTTTGTCGCATTCTGTATAATTTTAACACAGTTGAGTTTTGCTGATTTTATTGTTTTATTATGTGGCCAGTTTCAATTCCGTGTATGGTCTAAAACTTCTGTTTTTGTGGTTTAAGTCCCCATACCCCTTTAAACATACACGGGGGTAGCCCACCTAATGATTTTTTCAAACCATATACAGTCCTCGGGAAGGGTCAGCTGACATCAGCATCTAACCTACAAGAATTTGAATGAACTAAGCAATTGTTTCTGAACGTGGAAAATTCCCAGATGGTATTCTCTCTTGGTGTTCGTTTTTCTGAACTGTTTTTAAATATGAAATATTTTATATTTGGCAAATTTTATGGTACTGGTAGAATAATTTTTCCTGATTTTGAAAATTCATGGTCCAATAGAGGAATTCATGCATAATCCATGCCTTTTTTAATAGTCACAAGAATTCATGCATAATTCAAGCTTTTCAAGGTTTTCATGGCTGGTGGCAACCCTGTATATATATTTATATATTTTAATCTTCTCCATAACCTTTAAGCATACAAAAACACATCAATGAACTTCATTATCTTAAGCTCTAAAAAATGGTCTGGAGACAAATGTTTAAATGTTATGTTTTGAGGGGCGGGAATTTGAAAAACCTCAATTACCGTACTCCGTACACCATAAAGCCCTGTTTTCATGGTCCAATCATGCTGGTTCGGGAGCTCATGTAGGTTTACAGTTTACATGCTTGTACCGATTTCATCAAAATAACGGACACATGTATAAACAAAAACATTTTCCTTCTCTCCCTCCCAACAAAATAAAAACTATATTATATTCAAAGTACTTGTCACAGCAAATGAATCTATGTAGATTGCCAGTAGGATAAGAGTGCCATAATAAGATGAAGAATGCTTTGTAAATTTTGCCAAATACCTTTATTTAATGGCTTGGTATCAGTAAACCACTCAACAATAATATTACTTTACCTCATTTATCAGCTTGAGACACTCGGCATCGTAAATCTCGTTGCCCACAGTTTCCACACCTGCAGGTGGCGCCACAGACATGGTCTTGGGAGCGTTCCTGTCTGGGATCTGGGGAGGCACTATCTTCAGATCAGACTGCAAATGTGAATAAATATACAATCAATCGACAATCACTACACTGTTGTAATTTGTGTTAAAGGTAAGAAAATATGTTATGAATATGTGTATGAATAAAAAAGTTTGGAAAATAAATAATTTACAAAAAATGTATTTCACTGTCCAAAATAAAATTAGTTGTTTAATAGATAAACATTTGAATTGTCTCTAAAAAATATGCTAGGTATAAAAAGTAAATGCATTATGTTTACCTTTTATTAGTTACTAGAGATATCTCAGAAGACTTTAAACCGGTGCATCTGCTAGTTAAAAATCAAACAAATAAAAAACTAACACGTGGATAAAAAAACAAAATCCCAATACCTGGACACATGCATGAAAAATCATTTAGAGAAAGTCAAATACCACTAACAAACAGTTCATAACAATTACAATGATGTTACAATATTATTTCTAGTACACAGATCATACTAAAATTCACCATTGTATTCCAAACTGTCACTGAAATTCTTCTTAAACACGCAACATTCTGGACTGACATTAACACCACGAACAACGCTCTACAGATCCCAATAAATAACACGACAGTTCTGAGTTACCTTAAGCCTCAATTGAGAATTAAGACAGGAGCTTGCGATGAAATATCATGGCAGACTTCTAGCATAAAACCTATGCTTTGACACTTAAAGTTAGTATGGCTTGGCTAACAAAGAAGTGCTGGATGGAAAAATCACCAAACAATAATGATAATTAGTTATGTAGTCATTAGTCAATTACTCAGAAAACTCACAACAACTCATTCTCTAGTCTTTTCTATTAACTTAGAGGAATCTGTGGTAGTTTAAACGAAATTTCAAGGAATGAATGAGACTGTAAATATTGTATATATAATTTCCACCCCCAATGGTATAGTAAACTCCCTTCATTTCAGATATATTTAGTTTGGACTTCAGATGGTTCAAATAACTAAATCCTATAGTTTAGAACAATTGAACATATAGTAATTAACTCGCCTTTGGCTCGCTGGGGGCTCAGCCCCAAGGCCCCCTGCCCCCCCCCCCACCCCCACCAAAAACATCACCACTCTTTCATTTGTTTATCTCAGCAAAAGCCGTGATCGCGGCCAAATCCAAAAGATCTCGTGGACGTTTTTCATCGCCCGCCCCCACCCACGGTCCTAGGCATTCATCATCGTTTTCCGTGGTCGTGGCAACATCTTGTACATCATCCGCGGTCTTGGAAAATGGCACCTTGGTCTGACCAAGAGGGAGTCAACAGTACTTCAATTGAAAGGGACTAGAACCTTTACAGAAAAAGCCTTAACATATAGAACATCTTCACAGAATATGAGACAACAATAGATTAGTGACAGCAGGCGAATGCACTTACTGAAGACACTTTTATCTGTGGATTATTTCTCACAGAGAGGTTGGTGGGTCGGGTGAGTCCGGGTGATCTGTCCCTGGGTGGTTCGGGTGTTCGACCCTTCTTTAGTCTCTCATCGGCACTGGCGTCTCGCTTGCGAGAGAAGAACCTATTTAAGAAAATGTTTTTAGATTTTTTAGACAGATGTCCACTTTGACTGAATTTGTTGACTTTATGGGTTGAATTACTGCTATTCTGATGATTGTTTTGGTTTTGGTAAAATCTAAGATCTCGAATATTGAATTCGAATTCTAGAACATTTAAGTCTAGAAGCTTGAATCTAAGTAAAGTTTGTATAAAATAAATACAGAATATAAGTGACATTCGATTCTCAAAAATAATTACTTTGAGTGTATCCTAAAACCTATAATTATTTGGCGAAGAAACAAAGTGTAGTGATTAGAGGTGTAAGAGGCTGAGATTTTTTTAGCCAATTTTTTCGAACTGAGCATTTACTATATAATGAAATTGACGTAACGCTCTATAGTAAATTACTCAGTCAAACATCTTTTGAAATTATAGGCTAATTAGGTCCTGTTCTGGGTTTCTCTGATCAAATTTTAAATTTCAATCTCTTGTTGAGGTTACTTGGTTTTGGCTCGACACCTCACTAATCTGTCTTTAAAGAGTGCATGCTATTGATTGAATTTTCTGTTATCTTCAGCAGACAAATTATTTCAAGAACTGGTTTGTGTAGATAATAGTTGTAAATGGACATCTGGTTATTTTACTCTTATGTGTGTTTTACTGTTTATGTTTGTATGTTATCAGCCTTTGGAGATTAAAGGGTTAAATTAAATATAGACTGACAAAGGAAGGATCCCCGATGTGCCGCTAGAGCGTGCTCAGTGTTTGTCGATTCACAGTCTGCAAATGACATGCTAACAACGTACCAGACCCACTTTTCAAAATGAGTTAAGTGTAAAATTCTGAAATCCCATAATTTAATGGAAAAGCCCATTTTTTCTAAAATCGCCAGAAATTTTTAAAACACGGAAAAATAATGGAACAAACTCCTACCCCCCTGGATACTGGGGAATTCTCCAGAAGTTGGCAACCCTGGCTCCGACAACCAACCTGTCATGGCATCGCTCGCCAGCGATTGACGCTGCAGCGGTGTGTGCCAAGACTACACGGCACTCCTAGCGGTGGGGTAAAGACCAGAATATATGCTAACAGTCTATATTTAATTATCTTGTCTATGATACAGCTTAATAGTTGTTTTCAATGATAAATATGATATAAATACTTATTGTAATCCTCCAACAAACCTGAATGGTGACCGGCCTCGCTTTTTCTTGTCGTCTTTATCCTGACCGTTCAACAGTTGACCTTCAGCGTTGTAGCGGTTCAGATCCAGCTCACTTGTGGATCTATTCATTTTTCCTGCAAGAAAAAAAAATAGTTTTCTATTCAGTAGGGATGGACGAGATTGGATTTTTAGTTTGAGACGAGATTTTTTATTTCTCATAAAATTTCGAGACGAGATCGAGACGGGATTTCCCTTCTCATACACAACGGGAAATGCACGTTCAAAATTTTTACCTGATTTTGTAACATTGTTAGATGACTGTTTAAATACAAAAATAATTATAATAGGCAAGAATATTTACAATCTTTTATTAAAAAACATCAGCATAACATTTTTTTATTAATCACGCCTAACTTATTAAAAATGCCTACGATTAGGAAACATAGTGATATCAGTTAGGATAGAGTTCAACTTATCCTAAAATAAAATAAATCATAAAATGAAGCAATATTAATTTTTATAAAATATTTACTTGTTTTGACTTTTTATAGTAATAAAACATTCCTCACACTGCTTACACTTAACAAAACTTCTCTAATGTTATTAAAGTAATATTTACATTAAAAGAATTAATTAAATAAGAACGCCTTCGCAAAGGAAACGCAACTACAACACGCTCCTGTATTGCGGGTATTGCATTGACTTTCTGCAGGCGTTTTTAATTTTTTTTTAATTTTTTTTTTATTCTCGTCTCGATTAAAATCTCGGTCAAAAAGAAATCTCGTCTCGTGTAACGAGATTTAAAATTTCCCGAAAATTTCCCGAAATTTCGAGACTTGACCATCCCTACTATTCAGTTATAAAGGTATGTTAACTGCCCACATTACACAAACAGCATTGAAGCAATCACCGATCCCTCATAAATACATTTCCTGTAGCTTAGTTAGCTTAGAAAAACAAGAATAAAATAATATTGTAAAACTTAACCAGAACCCCTTTTCTCAAGAAAGTATCATTAGCCTTTCCCCAAATGATTAAGGAAGTAAGGACTCTTGTGAGTTATGAGAATACAGTTATGAGTTACATCTTACCATGCTCAAGAGTGCCGTTCATCGGAGGCATGTCCTCATTGCGAGACAAGGATCCCTTTCTCGGAGGTCTGTTTGGTTGTTTCTCTCGCTTGCGTCTTGTCGAGGGAGTCGCATCCCTCATCATCATCTCATCTGCTTCTACTGCGTCTTCAGAGTAGTCTCTGTGCAAGCCTGGGTAAACAGGACAAAAGAGGGTCAACAGAATCTATGGAGGATCAATAAATTCTCTTGGAAGATCAACATACGATCAAGGGGTAATATATAATCTTAGATGATAAACAATAATGATGGAGGAGTAGCTGATAAGATAGATGAGCTATATATGATAGAGAAGAATTAATAGTTAATCCTAGAAGATATGACCATACAGGATCACTGCAGTATGTCTGCAGTTATAGAAATTACCTCCTCCTATTACATTGTTCTATAAGGTAGGCTTCTAGGTATCATTCAAAAATTGTGAATTGAAAATCGTCCAAGAATATGAGACTAGTGAGAAAAAACTAGATTTTTCTTGAAATAAATTATGACTTTGAGTTCATAATTTAAATTAAAGTACTATAACGTTTTGATTGAAATTACGATAAACAAATTAAATGAAATTGATTTAAATGTCTTGATACCTCAGTTGAAGTAAGATATGACAACTTTACCATTGCGTCACCTTTACTGATGTAAATTTGGACTAAACTCTAAGTAAAATGGCTATTAGAGTTTTATTTGAGTTAGTGGTAAGTGGTGGTATTTTACCTTTGATATCACTCATGGAGAAGCCAGACTTGATGATCTGATCAATGTGAGCTGGGGTGGACTGATCAGCCTCCACCAACAGTCTGTGCTGTCTTATCTTGATCTCCTGCCATCTCCGTACCTTCTCACTCTCCCTGTAGAAAAACCACAGAGCTGACATTTTTTTTAGAAAAATTAGTTTCATGGGCATTTAGGTTGACTTGCTGATTCCCGACTTCTGAGGTAATTCACAAGACTGCATTGATAAATTTTTGCACGATAAGGACATTATTTAATTATTTTTTAAGGTTCAATACTTTACAAAATATAAAAAAAAAACTGTGCATAGAATGTCTTACCTCTTGGGAAATACAAAAGGAATCCAAATCATAAAATAGCTTACAAGTTCAATAAAAAACAAATATAGCTTTTGTGAAGAGATTTCTCCAATACAGTGATAGTATCCTCGTCTGAGAGACCTATATTTTACTTAACAGTTGGACCAACAGTTTAATATGAGTTATGAACCAAAGTGTCATGTCTAGAATCGTGGTCTTCTGGTAACGACCGTGTCAAATTCAACGAATCCCTACTCTCACTCCCTGGCGACCTCAATATAAAGCACCATCTTCAGAGCATCTTGACTCTGTACGGATGACAAATCAAGTCGTCATCTCACAAGTCAACAAATCACTTTATTAGCCATCTGTGTGGAGTCAAGTCACCCTGAAGATGGTGCTCTATATTGAGGCCGTCGGAGAGTGAGATTAGTGATTTGTTGAATTTGACACGGTCGTTACCAGAAGACCATGATTCTAGAATAAGTGACTGTGGAAGCCTATACAGGAATGTCAAGACATTATTGCTATTGCTGATTGCCAAGGTTAGAACACAAAACTCTAGGGCAGTAGTACCATACGTAAACCTTTAGGTTACTAAATAAGTATGGGAAATATAATACTTCAACAATAACTAATAATCATTAAACTAACTTTACACATAAAAATATTTTCTAACCAGAACACAACAGCACAAAGTGTAACAAGTTAGATTCCTCAAACCAGACTCACTCAATGAAAGACGAATGGCAGATGACCGGCAGACAGAGCCGTAGGAACTCCCAGTTGGCTTTCTCCATTGTCTCGAAGGTGTTATGGCTGATCTTGAGACAAGGGGGAGTATCCGAGCCGGCTGGGATCCGAGTGACATCTATCCGAGTATCCACGTAGTCATCCGTGTTCTCGAATATAGGCTGGTCCTTGGTATACCAGTAAGTGACAGGACGGTTCATGTTGCTGGAAACAAACATATATTTTTATTTAAGAGGTTGGCAGATATAACCTTTTGATTCACCCGACTATCTAGATTTTAATACCTAAACCAAATTTATCAAGAAAGGGGTGAGCTGGTACAGTACAAGATGAACTATAGCGGTGATTTTAAATCCGTACACGCTTCTTATACAACCAATTGATTACAATTGAAGTTTACAAAAGCATAATTTACTTCTTAAGCAATATAAAAGATTTTTACTTCCTAGGGAGAAAATGAGCTACTTTAGACCCGCAATGCATGTATTGAAAATAGCTGTTTTTGCTGCAGTATGACGAAAAAGATATTAAATTAACTTAACTCAAACTTAATCAACTTAACTTAATCAAATTAAATTAACTCTTCAACACAGCTGACTGAAGTACTGTATACTCAAGAGAATTTGATAAAGTTAGCTTTAAGTTACACAGATAAGTTTTACTTGTAATGTTAGGTGCATATCTTTTTTTAATATGGTAGCTTTAACGTACCACCTTATTCTTTTGCATCTTCTCCCCATTGTAAAGCATCGTTATAGCGACAATTTAGTAGTTTTTGATTACAATGTTTACTTAATAATTTTTTTTCATGTAGATTGTAGATAATATTTAGCCAACCATTTTTACCAACAATGGCAATAATATATAAAAATACGGTAGGGCCTATGTTATGAGAACAAAATGTGAAAAAATTGTTTTCAACTTACACACAAAATGGTTCATAACCTTCTTGGAGACCACACGTGGTAAAGTATTTGAGTGTGTTGACATCTTGGCCAAAAGTCAATTTGGCCTTTTGTCCCACTCCAAGGGTAAAAGCAGGAACGAACCCATCGCCCTGAACATCCGCAAAGGTAGTCTCGCCTCCGAGAGCATCCATAAGAAGTTCACCATTCAGTGAAAAGCCTGTGAGTAGTTAGAAAACAAATCAACATTATTAGTACGGTCGAAATGTTTTAACATAGAAGTAGAATTTATTTCAATGTTAGGCAGTTGCGGGAATTCCCGTCATCAACACTCAACATGGCCTAAGCAAACACAATGCATGTTTAATATTTAAATAAATAGAAATATTAATGTTAAAATATAATAACCTACAATCACAATTTGATTTTCATGTATTCAAGAATACTGTGGATTAGAAGAAGCAATGTTCAAATGTTATCGTATACCTTCCAAATCAGCCATGTGATTACTTTTCACACAGAAGGATTACACCATTTTACATGATTGTAAAAAAAAAATTGCCAAACTTATAATTTAGGCACATAATAAACATTACTGAATTTTAAAGAATTTGTAAGTAAAACAAAATTAGCAAAGTATATTATTCAAAATAGGACTCAACTCTTAAAATGTGTGTGAATGGATAAAAAAAATTAAATTGTTACTGCTCAGTACAACTTTGAATTCTTCAGCTGGAAAATAATCCAACTAATCTACTAGAAAACATCTTTAAAATGTTTAGTATTATTATGAAGGTCCTTGCTTAAAAAAAATGGAAAGAATAGAGACTGACTATTGAAGAATATTATAACAAATTCAAATAAAAAATAAAAAGCTTGTCAAGAAGTCTAATTAAAAGGCAAAAAACCACACTGGAAGATATTCACAAATATGTACTGTACATTAATATTAGGACAGTGATAGTAAGGCTAAGAATTAAGAAATACAAAAGTCATACATTTCAGTCATACATATGAGCTTACTTATGTAGAAATATTGCCTTCAGCAAGCTTTTCAGCCTGTTGTGAAAACTGAATGATTTGGGGCCGTAAATATATAGTTAATATTAAAATTGACTCTACATATTCCGTAGGTACATAGGTACCTTAAAATTGTCTTCAGCTGATTTTTAAGAACAACAAATCTTTAATGAAGTATGCTTAAAAGATGGTTGGACCATAGAAAGTGTAATCATGTGTGAAAAAAATGTATACGTTTTAATAAAACTGTATAAAATTTCATATTTTGGGACATAACAACTAAATACAACCTCTAGTAAGCGTTGTTATTGTGAAAAATACTAGTTTAATGGTGCAAGATGGCTTAAAATCAATAACATTTTAAGAGCTAATTTAGGACCCAAAAAGCAAGCAAACAAATATTAGTAAAGTTCAACATACTGTACTTGCATTAAATTATCCAGATCATGAGGAGCATGTTGTTAGGCCTCTACCAATATAATTTGCTGGGAATTCTCTTAGAGCTAATACAAATTAAATAATATTACAGTATAAAAATTATACCCCTATTAATTACAAGTACTAATTTATAAAAAGTTTGATTATCAATAAAACTAATTTTAATTCCATAATATCTTGAGTTTAAGAAAAAACAGATTTCAGATTATAATGTAGCCTTGTTAATCTTTACTGATATGAAAATCTCTAAAAAAAAAATCACACAGTATTTTTATGTATACTTGAAACAATGGCATATGTATTATCATTCCCAAAATTTAATCTTCCGTTTAATCCAGCAAATTAAATGCCTGCATTGTACATAAATTTAATTGAATACCTCACTGAAGTTCACAGAGTGAAGTTCTTGGACGTAAAAAATATTGTTTATCATTATTACATTGTTGCAACTTTGTTTCTGAAATTTATTTCCCGGTTTCACCCATGCTATCAAGATCAACCTTTAAATTGACATTTTAAATCAACAGCGTTGACCTGTTTTGAGGAAAACTTGAAGCTAAGAAATAGTCTGTAATCAAATTAAATTCTCCTGCAACTTGCGAGGCTATATGTTGAGTTTTTTATAAGTTTCAGTTTCAACTAAATTTTTCAAAATGTAGAAAATGAGCGTATAGCATGATTCCGTCCGGACTACATATGCATACCCTTTTTTGCAACACCTCATTTACCCTCTTCACCATTTCAAACAGACGTCAAAATGGTTTATTCCGGAAACAAAGCAGCAACATGTCAGACCCAAAGTGTTATTGTTAGTGACTCACTGATAGTATGATCCATCATGTCTAGGAACACCCCCACCACATCTCCTACAATCCACTGGCGGCCAAACGACTCAGCTGTTCCGAGATAACACTTCTCTTCCTTGTAAACCAAAGAACCACTGACAAACCATCACAAACACATGCACCTTTGGAAACTGGAGAGCTAAAAGGACGGAGGGTAAAATTGTACACCACCTGGACATTCCAAAGTGTTCTGTAAATGTATGTCTGTGGTCTAAGGAATGTATCAATGTACCCCTATTAAAGTCTATCGCCAGTTGACAAAATTGAATGAAAAAAAAGTATGAACATGGTAGATGGGGGAGTTTGGTTCACGGTTCACGGTTACAATGGTTCATCGGTTTCATTTGAGGCGATGGCAGCTGGCTGATCACGGATTGAATGAACGAAAGATTGCCAAAATGATAGAGGACAGTGGCGTAAATAACACCCCTGTACACTCTGCAGTGCGGGGGGCGCTAGCTAAGGTCACGCTCACCGCAATCGCGGAAAAAGATGATGTTGTTTCCGTGACCGCGGGAGATGATGATGTCTTCAAGATCGTGGAAGATGTACAAGATTTTGTCAGGATCGCGAAAAATAGTTTTCATGACCGCAGGAGATAATGATGATGTCCAAACAATCCCTGAATGTGTTTAAGATTTTGCGGCGAGCATGGAAAACGATGACCATGTTTCCATGACCGGGAGAGAGGAAAAATAAAGGACCGCAAGAGAGTTGGATTTTGGCTTTTTTAACAACGATTTTTATTACTATGGGATTTTAATGTTTTTTTATTTCTGTAAGAGATTTGGGTAATCGGTGATTCGGATAATTGGAGTTCTACTGTACTGAACTTTTACTCTTAAACCTGATTCACTTATTACACTTATATTTTAAAGGGTCTGATTGGTTCTGTTTTGTTAGCCTACAGACAAGTTTTCAAGCTCAAACTTATTAAAACATATTTGAGGAATGCAATGACAAACTCAGGCTGAGCTCTCTAGCCCTACTAAGCATTGAAAGAGAATGGGATCGTGCTCTGGACTTAGGCAAGGTAGCAACTAACTTTTTCCAACAGAAGAAAAGAAGATTATTTAAATTACCATAACTCGTTTTATAACACTGAATTTTATATTACTGAAAAAAATCAAAATCCTGAAATATGTAGTTTTTTAGACTATTACAATGAGATAAACTATAAAGAACAGATGTGGTGATTTTGTGGTGGGGGGGGGGGGGGGGGGGGTTGCCACTCAATGTACTTACACCACTCAAATTCAAATTCTAAATAATCTTTATTTGTTAGTAGTATACAATACATACATAAATAGTGTCAAATATACAGGTATTGAAAAATGAAAAACAAATGTATCTTAGAATTGACATTACCTCCTACAACTCATCGAAAGAATATATAGCTTTGCTGATGAGGTACTGCTTTAATTTAATTTTTAATTTTTTGGTTGACACCTCATCTGTTATGCTTTTTGGAATTTTGTTATCAAAGTGTAGAATTTTGTAGAATTTTGTTATCACTCGTAGTGGACTTACATAAAACTACTAAGGATAAATGGTATGGTACTTGATACATACTGCAGTAAACAAACTGGTCGGCAAGCAAAGTTTTCTCAATTTCATTCATTATCTCGAAGGGAACATATCTATGTGTAAGGTCATCTGCGCACCTTCTAAGTCCTAAGCCTTTTGCCCCTTTTATTTTACAAGTATACACTTTTTCCATACACATCTGTCAACTGGTAACAGATTTTAAAATGGGTTGTCTCCCTTCCCACAGAAAAAAAAACACAGGAAGCTAAACAAAGTGGTTTACACATTCATTGACATTCTTAAAATTAGAAACACACAAGGAAACTTGTTTGAAGACGGTTGATATCCAGGCAGATGTACAGTATCAGAATATCTAAGTGATCTAGGAATGATATTGAGGATAGGTAAATGAATTAAAGCGAATTTACCAACTATTTAACATATTTATGATTATTCTTATAATTTAGTTCTACTTTACAATATAATAAACAACCTACACAACAACCTTTAGTTGTACAATATAATAAACTACCTATAGCAACATCACTGAGGAAAATAAAGTTTCATATTTACAAAATGAGTAAACAATAGAAAACCAGTAAATATTACTACTATAACCAATACTTCTTATCTCGGGGACTAAATTTTATTTACAGGTATTTGTGTACAGGTCTACAAAACCTTTTTACTGTACAACTGTTGTAGGCCTATGCTATTTACTGTACAACTGTATGACTAACTATATCACAAAAGGAAAACTAATGTTTTATATACAGTGGTTGCCATCTACTGTTGTCTGTGTTTGATGTCCTTTTGTGTGCCAACATTTCATATTTTGAATTATTTTAAATGTGTGATAAAATTTACAAAAACTTAAATTTATTTAAAAAAAGTTGTAGAAATGTTCACTGTCTAAAAATTTGTGTCTTGTGAATTTACCACACCACAGTCGGATCCGCAATGCATTCAGTCACAATGCATCAAAAACAAAACACAAAAAACCAGGGGCACAACAACGTGGCATGCTGGTACTGTACTCACTGATTGTTTTATCAAACAAGTCTAGAAAACAGCCGACAATATCCCCTACTTTGTATCTCGTACCGAATGACTCGTGACCTCCGAAATGGATTTTCAAAGCCTAACCAACAAGTCATCACATCCACTACTATCTTGTTAAAACAATCACATTGTACCATATTTCCTATAGTACATATTGGAAAAAATGAAAATGAAATAAAAATACATTATATTGAATGAAAATTGAAGTGGCTGGTTAAGGAGTTATTTTTGGAAAGGAATAGACTTCAAATATAGCTTACCCAGGTTACAGTCAAGGGGCTGATCACAATTCAGTAATAAGAGGGCAAACGATAGGACAAAATATCCATGTTGTGTTGTATGAATTTTTACTGTGGGTCTTTTAGCCCCAATACTCTAACTTTCTCAAGTAAGCTAGCTGAGCACTATCCCTTACAAAACCCATTGTAGGATGTTAGTAGCTGGAAATGTAGTGTTTAGTAGTATATAAAAGACAATTTTTAATAATAAGTAAGAGTTTTGGATATACACATTTACGCTTAAATCTACCATATATAATAGGTTACGTACCTTGGTCCGTCTTCAGTCTTATTTTAGTCAATGGATGACTAGTTTCGGGTACGAAGACCCATTGTCAAATCCTTTTTGAGATGATGTTTTGAAAAAGGATTTGACAATGGGTCTTTGTACCCGAAACTAGTCATCCATTGACTAAATAAGACTGAAGACGGACCAAGGTACGTAACCTATTATATATTCGAATATCAGTCTTGGTGGCAAAGATGTTTAAATCTACCACCTAAAATTTGTTTGACTTTTTGACTACCTACGGTTACATAAATTTATATTTTGGAAATTTTGAGAATGAATTTTTATAAAGAGTGTGGGTAGTTTCAATTTCTTCAAACCTAAAAATGGAGGAAAGTTGTCCTCTTATGGAGGCTGGCATGAAAATTGCACTTAATGGAGGGGAGTCTCCAATACCATTATTTGAAAATATGTTTTTATAAACTAATGAGCTTTTCGAATGAGAGTTTTTTTTATTATTGGCAAAACTGACACCAACAAAATGATTTATCTGTAAAAGTTAAAAGTAAAAAATAAAATTATTATACAACATGAAAACTAGCAATTGATTTGGTACAGCTGTAGTTTTTTAAAGTTTTTAACCCTTTTTTTATTATATACAGAAAAAATAATCATATTACCGATGACAGGATTGTTATTTAAAATTAATTTTCCTTTTAAACACATTTTAATTAAATTTATTGATCTTAGATTGGATAGTTTTGTATATTTACATGGCTAAATTAGTCAATAGTCAGTCCATCTTTGTAATTAGATAAGTATGACGTCAACTTTACAAGTAATCTGTCTGGTCTATTGTTGAAATAAATCTTTGAATCTTTAAACTTATAGATAATAAATAATCAAAAATAAAATTGAATTTCCTTATTCACAACTGTAAAGTTTTTTTTCAATGAATCACATCACACCTAATATATATGGCCTAAAACAGTATAAACATATCCAATTTCGATTTATGTATTAAATTAATACAAATTAGGATGAAAAAAAGTCACCAAATGGTTACAAAATCACATAATGGTTATGAAACTAGTTTGTCCAAAAGGTTAAAAAGTGTAAAAATAAATTTAAATATGTATCAAAATTTACTAAAAATGTTAAGTAACAAATAAAAAAATTAAAACTTTAAAATAATACGTATAATGATAGGCACAACACTTAAACAATTGGGGAGGTTTGTACAATTAAATATAGAATATCACACCTATGTTTGTATCACTTAAACAACAAATTACCAACGTATAATCAATGACAGTTTCACCATGGGTAGCATACAGAGACAGACGCAACAATTTTGACAAGGCAGTAAAATTACACAATAAATAAAATTTCAAACTGACATTTAAACAGATATTTTACTGATACGTTAAAAAAATGATGAAATACTAAGAACTAAAGGAATGTTGCATTCTTCTGGTGGATATAGATTATCAACATGCACATTTGACTTTATTTACAAAACAAGATGTAGGCAGCTATTTAACGTTGAATTAGCTCGTTCGCACGGACCTCAAAAGATTGTGCCTTGAACAAATAAAGCAAAGCGAGGAGGGGTGAGCTGTTACAGTGCAAGAATGGACTGCACTGGTGGCAACGGGAAGTGAACCCAAGTGGACCCTGCTGAGCCACCAGCTCACAAAAAAACTACTTATTTTACACTGGAAAGAATCAACGCTAATAACGCTAATGATATGTTCATTATAGGGATTATTTCAAGATTGTTGTACTACTTGTTGAATTTTAAATTTCGTAGTATGTTTGATTTTGTGATTTGTTTGGAATATGCAATACTCGACAATATATTTCTCATAAATTTGAAAAAAAAATTAGATGAAAAACCAAAATTTCTTTAAAATTCCACCTGATGTGAATACAGCTCTAAGCCTATAATAATAAACATATTTTTAACAATTAGGTGAAAAGATTTTGAAATACTTACATTGAAGCCGTCAAAAGCCCATGAGTACTCATCACTACCTATCTGATTGCCGGGAGGACAGTCGGCCCTGGCCCAGCCTACTTTCATTGGGCCTGCTGTAAGAATCTCAAACTCAAAGTACCTGCAAACAGTTAACAAGTGACACACTATACAATAATAGTGATCAAACAAAGATCAAGAGTGCCTTCAGCAAATCCAGCATCCAACATGTTGCAATAGCAGTTTTTATGTGTGCATCATCAATCATATACTTTTACCTGGTATTCAATAACACCTTGTATGTAACTTATATTAAGTTAAAAACTAAACAAAAACAATTAGCCTACACTACCAAGCTATCAAACAAATCTAGCCAAACCTAATGCAAGATTGATTAGCTTATAAATTGCTATAGAAGATCACATACCACTTTCCGTTGGTAACTGCGTAGTTTTTCTCCACTCGATACGTTCGAAAACTCTGCTGACGTAATCTCTGCCCTTCAGCCAACATGGCTGAAAAATATTTATGATATTGTTAAAGTTGTTTTTATTGAATCATAAACTAAACACAGTTATAAATAAATCAGAATAAAAATAACTTGCAAAAAAACCTGCAGTCCAAGCAAATGTCCATTTGCCCCAACTGATTTTTATATTTTATATTTTTATAACAAAACTATTTTTGGTCGCAAATTAAAAATTCTATTCTGTCCATCCCTAAAAAAAAAAAAAAACGTCATGAGATGCCATGGATTAGTACCCACATACCAAATTTGGTCAAATTCAAACCACTCATGTAGTCTGTAGCTTTGTACACATATCCACACACACACTGTGGTAGAGCTTAGTGCAAGAGGTCCTCGTGGACAGACTCAGGTTAAAGTTGATTCTTTGTGACTTTCACCTCAAATCAGGCATTTAGTTTGTTGAACCAATTTGGATGTTTACGTCCATCAAATGAAAGAAGAACACAGTTAAAATAGGCATAACTAAGCCACTGAATGATGGATAAAGTTGAAATGACCTAGGTTACCTTCATGTTGTTCTCCTGTAGGAGGATCCAGGTTGTATCCATAGACTAGGAGTGTCCTCACCGTCTCACTGGCCGTGTCCCTACCATCACAGTTGCATGGTTAATCATACTTCAACCAAATCAAAATAATGTACAATCAAACTCAAACTGTTGACTGTTCACATTTTTTGGGTAGGTGTTTGTCATTTATCTCCATATATTTCATATTTCTAATATAGATATGTAGGAATAATACATTCTAAAATTAACATGTCGTAAACATGTCTATGTTATTATAAAGAGAGGTTTCCTACTAATAATTTAGGTTCTTAAATTAACAATTAACCTGAACTGAACAAGTTACAACTAATTTATAAAGGTTATGATAATTAACTTGGTTCAAGAATAATTGTTAGAACACACTGTCATATTGACTTACATTATTGTTATAAGTAAGTGAAGTTAAATCATTCAGAATGGTTGCCGTTACAAGGGTTACGCAAATGCTTTAACTGTTTGTTTGTGAGAAAGATGTATTAGACAAAATGGGTATAATTTTGAAACTTATAGACAAGTCTGCATAATGTGGGATATGACATTTTTGGAAAACAATTTATCAGCATCTTACCTGTTGGCTTTTTTAATCGCTTCATCTACTTTGCTATAAGGCACCAAATGGGGACTTCTCAGCATATCTGGGTCCTACAACAAAATAAAACAAAGTTTAAAAAATAAACATCAGTTTCAAACCTTCTGTACCTATACAACAAAATAACAGTTTATGAAAGAATTATTTTGTTGACAGGAAGGCAGCTAGGAATGGCCAATTCCAAGAGATTTGAATGTCAAATTTTGATTCTGAATATCTAGAAAACATTTTGTAAAATAAAATGTAAAATCAATTATTACTCCTGTTTGACCTTATTTTGAAAAAAATCCTAATCCAAATTTAACCTTATGTTTGTAAAAGATGGAGAGTTTTTGTATCTTTGTCAGTTTTTAGCAGAAGTGTTTATGTTAGAATCATTAGGCTCTAAAGAGTAATGTTTAGTCAGAAAATATCCCAATGATCAGTGGGATGTCTATTTGCAGTATCTAAAGTCAATGGTGCATAGGCTTTAATTGGTTTTTCATTTTGTTTTTGTAGTATATTATGCTCAACATTATTAATCCGATAGTTCTTTCCTTTTGTTCTGTATCTGGAATGTGCTTGTACACATTACTTGTAAAAGACGTAATGTTACAACTTTTTTGTTACCTTTTTTTTTGGCAAAAACTGTCATGGCGACCAAAAAACCTTTAAGTCCCATGTTAAATATCTAAAAGTTTAAATTCACGCAGGTAAAAGCCCTGTAGTCCAATTTGTACCATTTAAGGTTTAAACCTTTCCATGGTTGGTTACTATGAATAGTGCTAAATTTCGTACAGATTGCTTCAGCCTTTCAGGAGGAGTATTTGGAAAACATAAGCAGGGTAAGAACTTTTCTTGCTCTGCTAAAAAAATTGCAATTTTGTTAAAATTTACAGATTTTTAGGTCCTTAACATCTTTATTCATCCTCCATTTAATTTACAACACAGATTGAATGAACACACAAGTTACAAGTTGTAATGTGGTGCAAGCAAAGAGATGTTGCTGGATATGAGATGACATATAATCTGTTCCAGCTTCTAGATATAGGCTAAATAACACAATTTTAAGACAAAATAACTAGTTATTGTCATTGTGTATCCAAGCAAAACTATAATCATAGCTTAAATTACCTCATTAAGGCCATATGTCCAGTTTTGCTGAATCCTTTCTTTTGCCCAAAGATTGTGAGTATTCTCTGCTAGCTGGTCTACTAGCTCCTCCATCTGGACAAAAACACTTCATCATTATCATTTAACACATTTGCAAGGTATTAATTAATTAACAGTTACATCAAAACTCAACTGAGCAACATTAACAAGAATAAGAATTATTCGAGAAGTAAGTCTTCATTTACTTAAAAAGTCTTTTCAGAATGTCGACACAGTTTTCCGAAAAGAGTCACTTTGGGCTTAGTGATGCAATATCGTAGTAATCTATAAACATCACATGGCTGGTTGGCTAAACTACACCCGTAGCAATGACTAGGCAATACCTTAGGGCTCAGGTTAATCGCGGACAGGTCTAGTGGGGCTGGTTTGTAGCCGTTGCTCTGCAAGAAGGGTTCATTGGGCAGTCTGATGTTCTTGATCCTGGAAGGTGGTTTGTCCATGGATATGTGGTATCCAAGAGCAAGAATGGTCCTAAAACATAGAAACTTATTATCACGGTGTACTCTGATACCCAATGTGTGTAAAATGTACAGGGGCTAGATGTGAGCTTAGAATTTGCACATAACAGTTGATAGTAAAATAAAATTAGATAACAGAAAAAATCTCAACTAAGTTTTAAATCGAATCTGAAAATTTGAACAAAAAAAGCTTTACAAAGATAGGCAAACAAAATTTCCTGATCCACAAAATTTATATCCCAGGTAAAAATTAAGATATTTACAAGTAACACAAATTGGAGAGAAAATAAAATGTAATGGTTTTTCAAGAACATCAGGGACCCCAACTGAAATATTATTTGATTTAGGCTAATTTGACTAACTTCAATGTCTGCACAGCCAGCTGAGTGTCGTATCGTTTCTCCGCAGGTGGCAGACGCTCAAACTGTATCAGACAAGGGTGTATATGGCGTATGTCGTCCCTGCGCTCCCCGTACATCCAGCCGGCTTCTATCTTGTTCATTGCCCACATCTCATGAATGTTCTCTGCCAGCCGGTCTCGAATGTTCTCTATGTACACTGGTAGATTGATCTGCAATCAGGGTTAGTACAGTTTAGAAGACAAAAGAAGTAACATGTGGAAGAGCAACAATTTCAACCATTTCCAGGGGCAAGTAAAATTTATTATGAGTATTTTTACCTTTTTTGGTAGCCTAAGGTGTCCAAAATCCTTATCTCCTGCGAGACGCGTTTCGCATTAATTACAATGCATCTTCAGTCGCTGTCATTGTCAGGTTTCAACATTGCCCACAGAAGTGGTTGTCACGATTTACAAAACATATAACACAGTTCACGAAACACATATTTATATACAGTTTTACAACCATGGTCACACACGTACTGTACATCAAGCGAGCGGGAGACGACACGCGATACCGCACAAGGTTGTAGGCCTACTGGTCATTCCTCCCTTATCTTGTCTTAATCAGCTGTTGTGTTATCCGTGGTAACCTCTTCCCCCTCTAGTCTACTGTACAGACGATAGGTAACTTTATCAGAAAAGTCTTCTTTAACATTTAACAAGCTATGTTTACCCATTGAAGTGACCTTTTTGAAAATAAAATACTCCTCCCATATTTTCGACCTTTGAGCGTTATCACAGGCTTTTAGCACATTTAGCGATTTATCAAAACTTATATTGTGGGAAGGATGTTCTTTCAGGTGTTGGGCAACTTTGGACGTGGGATTTTTTTGGTTTCGGGCGTTATGCTCCTTAAAACGTTGTTTGAAAGATCTATTAGTTTGTCCAATATATTCTTTATCTTTTAGGCTACCAAAAAAGGTAAAAATACTCATAAGAAATAGGTGTCTAGGCTAATACAGGGTGTCTAGTTTATTTCCATTATAAAATTCAAGACTAATTCCAGACTTTTCAAGACTAATTCCAGATTTTTCAAGACTAGTTTTTTCAACAATTAGTGGGCGTTGATACCAAAATGTATCGATTCTCGATTCTTGATACTGATACCAATTTTTATAGCTTAACCAAATTTTCTGAATAATACTACACCAACCCCTGTCTTTGTCATAAAGTAGTATTATGATAATGTGGTGTTTTCAAGTAAAGAAATAATGCAGCAATAAAAAATTCTAACTAGCAAATTTGTTTTTTTTTTCATGAAATCTTCCATGTATCGTACGTTTAGACATCATCATTGACTGCAGCGGTTACAAAAACGTGATCGTCGTCGTCCGCGATCACGGCAAAATCATGAACATTTCCCGCGACCTTGTAGACATCAATGACATCATCGTCGTCTCCCGCTGTCTCAGAAACGTCATCGTCATCGTCCGCGATCGCGGCAAAATCATGAACATTTCCCGCGGCCGTGTAGACATCATCGTCGTCTCCCGCGGTCATGGAAACGTCATCGTCGTCTCCCGCGGTCACGGAAACGTCATCGTCATCTCCCGCGGTCACGGAAACGTCATCGTCGTCGTCCGCGATCGCGACAAACTCATGAACATTTCCCGCGGCCGAGCATATATCATAGTCGTCTCCCGCGGTCACGGAATCGTCATCGTCGTCTCCCGCGGTCACGGAAACGTCATCGTTATCTCCCGCGGTCACGGAAATGTCATCGTCATCTCCCGCGATCGCTACAAAATCATGAACATTTCCCGCGGCCGAGCAGATATCATCGTCGTCTACCGCGGTCACGGAATCGTCTTCGTCGTCTCCCGCGGTCACGGAAACGTCATCGTCGTCTCCCGCGGTCACGGAAACGTCATCGTTATCTCCCGCGGTCACGGAAACGTCATTGTCATCTCCCGCGGTCACGGAAACGTCATCGTCGTCGTCCGCGATCGCGACAAACTCATGAACATTTCCCGCGGCCGAGCAGATATCATCGTCGTCTCCAGCGGTCACGGAAACGTCATCGTCGTCTCCCGCGGTCACAGAAACGTCATCGTTATCTCCCCCGGTCACGGAAACGTCATTGTCATCTCCCGCGGTCACGGAAACGTCATCGTCGTCGTCCGCGATCGCGACAAACTCATGAACATTTCTCGCGGCCGTGTAGACATCATCGTCGTCTCCCGCGGTCACGGAAACGTCATCGTTATCTCCCGCGGTCACAGAAACGTCATCGTCGTCGTCCGCGATCGTGACAAAATCATAAACATTTCCCGCGGCTGTTTAGACATCACCGTCATCTCCAGCGGTCACGGAAATGTTATCGTCATCGTCCGCGATCACGGCAAAATCATGAACATTTCCCGCGGCCGAGCAGATATCATCGTCGTCTTCCGCGGTCACGGAAACGTCATCGTTGTCGTCCGCGATCGCGGCAAAATCATGAACATTTCCCGAGGCCGTGTAGACATTATCGTCGTCTCCCGCGGTCACGGAAACGTCATCGTCGTCGTCCGCGATCGTGACAAAATCATGAACATTTCCCGCGGCCGAGCAGAAATCATCGTCGTCTCCAGCGGTCACGGAAACGTCATCGTCGTCTCCCGCGGTCACGGAAACATCATCGTCATCTCCCGCGGTCACGGAAACGTCATCGTCATCTCCCGCGGTCACGGAAACGTCATCGTCGTCGTCAACTATTGCGGCAAAATCGTGAACATTTCCCGAGGCCGTGTAGACATCATCATTGGCTTTTGCAGTCACGTAAACGCAAGACGACGATCGCGGCAAAATCACGAAAATTCCCGACTTTGAAATCAAATTTAAGACTAAATCCCGACTTTCAAGACCATTTTGAAATTCAAGACTAATTCCCGACTTTCCCGATTTTCCCGACTACTAGACACCCTGCTAATATCTACAAATAAAATTTATTGTTAGACCCTTCAAAAATGATACAGGATAACTCTTAAGTGTCCAAACTGTAACCATCCACATCACTAATTATTTGGATAAAAAACAAATAAACGACCAGTAAGTTAGGTTTAATGCAGTTCGATATAATTGTTCGGAGTCAAATGACGGGATGTGAGTAATTTTATGCCTAGTGTTACTATCCACCAGTAAAAAACTATTGTCTTGAGTTATCACGATCAGGGCCGTCCCTAGGGTTGGCGGCGCCCGGACAAACGTGGTCGTGGCGCCCCCTCCCCCACAGCAGTAATTAAGCATATTAATACAACATTTAATACATTAAATGCATTTGCATGGTTGCATTCGCATATTTTAATACTATGTTAATTGTTAATACAAATAGTCGCTGCGCGGCGCCCCCTCAGCCACAGCGCCCCCTCAGCCACGGCACCCGGGGCAGCTTGCCCAGCTTCCCCCCCCCCCTTCGGACGGCCCTGGTCATGATACAGTTAAGGTCTGGTCACATTGATCCTGATAGTTACTAGTTCTAATGTAAGCACACATCATCAATCACAGAGTTCATTTGCAAAAAAAATAATCAACACTAATGACAATTGACAGTAAAAAAATAATTTTTGTTTATATTTTAAAATACTTTTTGGAGTTAAAATATTTTAACTGACCATGGAAGTGTCGACAGGTGTAGGCACAAAAGCCGTGTCATCTTCTACATGCCAAGGGCCGGCCAGCACCACCTTGCTGAGGTTGCCGAAGTAGAAGCAAGGGTCGATGGAGAGTACTTGCTGAGGCAGCAAACACTCAACCAGAGGTGAGAACTCATCAGGAGGGACGTACTTGAGTCTGCCATGGTCACCTCCCAGGAGGAAGCGGCAGCTGAGGCAAATAAACAACATGAATTAAGCTACATGAATGAATGAACATGAATGAAGCTTTGACATGAATTATTGAAAATAGTTTCTTAAAAAAAATTACAGTAAACGCTTGCAAACCTGTCAAATTTAGGACTTCAGCAGTCTGGATTACCGAGCACATTTTTTGCCTTTACTGAAGTAGACATCCCCTCTGTAAGGTCAGGCTTATGCTGTAGCCGTTTGTTTATTAAAAACTAACAGAGCCAAATGAACCACTCCCACAGTGTGCTAAATTGAATTTTTTTTATAATAATAATAATGTATTTTCTTTATTGCTTTAGGATAGTGTTACAATAGCAAACACCAGTCAAATATAAAAGATACAAAATAAAACATACAATAAGCACTAAGAAATTTAGCTTTGGTTAACTAAGATAGCAGATGTGACATCTACAAGAATCAATGACTTCTGTAACTTCCTAGTAAAATCAATACCATCAATGACTTCAGTGATTCCCTAAAAGAAACCATAACTCTTTAGTGACCTGTGTAACTCAAAAGTAATATCAGTTTGACTTGGTTAAAAGTTGGTGTGTTTGACAGTGTCTGTTTTAATAAGTTTTTGGGGACGTTGTTTTAACCGGAAAAACCACTATCCGGACTAGCCTCGGTCCTGAGGAGTCCGGATAAGAGGGAGTCTACTGTAACACCATCTAGTGAGCACAGGGCATCACTTTACATCCAGTGTGCTTTGAGGTCGTATTACATATGACTGCTGCTAGTTGGATTGACAGTCCAACAGGCAAAATAGTGAAACCTTATGTTTGGAAATATGGCCTAATCAGACAACAGAACAGTTAAGTTAATATTACGGATTTAACCTACCTGAGTTTGGAAGAGCAACTGATACAAGGAAAGAACATCCCATCCAGATTAAAATCCCGGAAGCAACCTTTGATGGGGACTCCGTTGAACGTAAAAGTTACTATAGGAACTGTCAAATCTAACGCCACTCCGATCACATCAGACTTCTTTATGAACGGCTCCACTGCGTTTGGAACAACCATCGTCTTACGTCCACCTGAAAACCACCGGTAATGTGTTAATCCCAAAGTGTTGGAGATTAAGCTACGATTTGAGGTGCACCCTCGTAATGACCTAAGTTGTTTTGTAAACCAACTCAGTAACCTTGATTAACCGTCACTCTCTGTTATCTGCCACCTAACTACAATACTTACCCATGTCTAAGAGCAAATTTAATAATTTAATGTATAAAACGGTTTGAAACACTGTCACTGCTGACAAATTAACAATCATCACAAATTTAAATAAATATGCTCACCTGACCACAAATTCGCTCCATCAAAACCAAAGGAATACAGATCGTCTCCAACTCCATTTCCACCCCACTTTTCACCACCTCCCGGATACGGAATGTACCTAAAATAATGTCAATAAAAAACTAGTTAGTTATTTCTTACTCGGAGGAGGCAAAAAGAGGAAATTAAACCAACAAAAAGATGACCTATATTTTGAATATCTCACACAAATAGATCATTTTTATTACAAAAGCAAATTTAGTCTTTTGAATTTAAAAAAAATATTGACATCATAAAACAGCTAAAATTAAAGATCAGTCAGTTCCAGTAATAAAGTTAATTTCACAATCTAACTTACAAACTGTAAAAGCAAATAACTTACCCGGCAGTATTAGCCCAGCCTATGCGCAAGTGAGGCATCATGTGTGTGGTTTGTTCTATGTGGTCCAAGGTCACTTCAAAATACCACTTCTGGTACATCGCCGACCCTTCCACCCGGCCTACGAAGATGTTCGGTCTCACACTAAAACATACAGATCAAATAATCTTTGACATGAATATTAAATTGATAAATAAATATAGTTTTGATTAAATACAGTGTGTGAAAAACTACAGCACTTTCCATTTTTGCAGTTAACTTTTAACTATGAAAATCTCACTTTATTTTACACTAACCACCACCACCTTCAACTCCAGGCCGTGGCGTTTGAAGTGGCAACACTGTCAGTAGTGCTGTTAAACAATGAATGAAACACAATTAAATGAGAGAGCGCCACCTGTCTGCCATGTGAGCATATGGCCCATATGGGACATCTGGCGCTAAACAACACTAGTTGCGACATTGCCAATTCTACCAAGCCGCGGCCTGGAGTTAAAGGTGGCCGTACACTAGCATGTTATTCATATTCAGCTTAAAATTCCTTGGTGTCTTAAAGTAATGATAATAGCTCAGTGTGTTAGTGTCTTTGAGACAGTTTTGAGATCAACCGCATGCACTGTCTAATCACTTCAGTCACCCCAGTGCCTTGTCCATGAATCATATACTGTAATGTTACTTCACTGTACATAGGCAGTAGAGATGTTTACCTGGCTACATGGTCCACTAGCTGAGTCTGCAGCAGGAGGTTCTTGCCTGGCAACAGGAAGTCACAGATGTTGTTCTGAGAGCTCCTCACTGCCACTCCGTTACCAACACACAGTGAGCACAACACATCTAGTACCTTGGGGTCCCTACCATGCTTCTCTAGCAGTGAGATAATCAGTTTACCTGGCTACATGGTCCACTAGCTGAGTCTGCAGCAGGAGGTTCTTGCCTGGCAACAGGAAGTCACAGATGTTGTTCTGAGAGCTCCTCACTGCCACTCCGTTACCAACACACAGTGAGCACAACACATCTAGTACCTTGGGGTCTCTACCATGCTTCTCTAGCAGTGAGATAATCAGTTTACCTGGCTACATGGTCCACTAGCTGAGTCTGCAGCAGGAGGTTCTTGCCTGGCAACAGGAAGTCACAGATGTTGTTCTGAGAGCTTCTCACTGCCACTCCGTTACCAACACACAGTGAGCACAACACATCTAGTACCTTGGGGTCCCTACCATGCTTCTCTAGCAGGGAGATGATCACCTTGATATGCTCATCCTACGGCAGATAAATACATTCACTAGTTTCTTTACATGGTGTTCACACTGTGTAGAGAGCGCAGAATATAATAATGTGTTTGTTTGAATATAATGTAGAAAACAGTTACACACGTGTTCACTTTTATGGTCCCTTAGTGGTTTTACTCTCTTGCGTTTGCGAACTTGCGTTCAACAAGCTTTGTTAGCTGGATGAGATTGACTACTTAAATGAAGTAAATGAGTGTAAATATAAAATTTCTTCCAAGTAGCTTCAGTACTTTTTGTCTCCACCCGGGACAAACAAACACACTGAGAAACGTATAAAAACAAAATATTCTTTACAATAAAGTTGGGTGCAACATATGCATGGGTAAGTTTGTACGGATTTTAAAGGTGTACTTTCAAAAGGTCACTAGTATTAAATAAACAATAACTGTTGTTTGAAACTTACAGCTTAACAGAAATTGTCCATACAATGACAATTGTAAACAGTATGATCTTCTCAAAGACAGTTTTTATAGAACATTAACCTCCATTATGTTATGTACAGTGGATGTAGTTTCTCAGACTAACAGTTGGGTTTCTCTTGAACTCACCCTCATCATATTCAAGGCCTCAGGAGAGTCTATGAGGACACAGTGAAGTACGTCCAGCATACCAGTACCTTCACTGGACGCTTGGGACCCGAGACGACTGAACAACCAGTTCAATCTGTTGGAATTGGCAAACTGAGCACAGTTGGTGTGGTTACCCTTGATAATAGCAGCTGGAAAAATAACATTTAAATTAGTTCACTGTGGTTACATTCGAGGGTCATATCGTTTAAGTAACTTTTACCACCAAGAGTATTCAAACACATTTCTTTTGGGAAAACGATTAAGTTAGCTCATCCAACAGGTTTCAAAAGGTAAGGATACAAAACTCTTGTAAAAAAAGTAAAGTCAAACCTAGTACAAACAGAGGGTAGGCGAGCACATTGCAGAAGCCTACACGAGATGGTGCCTAATGCGAGACAAAGCCAACAAGACTTTTTTTTCTTAATTTGTTGTTTTGAGAATGTAATTTATGTATGTAATTTACTATTGCTGTTGAACATACCGACTTTTTAACCAGGCCAAACTGCAAGGACAACATATACAACATAAAGCATTTTTCCATTTTTGTCAAGAGCAATCGAGAGGCTGGTCCAACATTAGTATACAGTTCTCTGTGAGGTTTTTATTTTTGGTATTTTTGAACTCTAGGCAAACCCAGGCAGCGTACTAATCTTAGCATTTTTGTAGGTAGCTCACTTTTGGGATCAGATTTCAGATCCTGAAACGCCAAGAATACTTGTTTCTGACTAACCATTTGATTTGAGGTACAACTCACCCAGCAGCTGGTAGAGGTAGCCAGAGATGACTTCCCAGCTCTGTCCAGACTCATCTCCTGCCAGTGCTACCAAGAAGCCTTGTGAGGTGATCACGTTGATCTTGTCAATGGCCTCCAGGATAAGGTTCAGAATACCCTCCTCTTGGAACAGGTCCTGTCGGTTGCGCAGAGCACGCAGTCGGTTCTGCTTCTCTTCGTGTTCTGTAAGTATAGAGAAAAGTTTGCAAAAATGTCTGTAACTAGCAATATGTAACAGAAATATTAACTAGCTGTCTATTAAACCGAAGAGTTGTGACCCCAGATAACAATGGTAGGAAATAATCGCCAAGGTAGAAAATCACTGCAAAGTGCTAGATTATGATGGAGTGATCGATTTGCTCAAAGAGCTGACAGTTTTAAATGTAATCCCGAATAAGAAACAATTTCAAGGCCAATAATCTAATGACAGTTTTTAGTTTAGTTAAATTTTACAAAAACTCCAGATCCAAGCCACAGTACGTCTGTCTCAATGTAGGCCTATCTTGAAGATATAAAATTTCCATAATGAATAACAAAATTGTTAAAGGCTTGCTTCACAAAGAAGATAGCAGTAAGTTTAAACGTGTTATTTTCATAGTTGGTTGTATGGTAAAGTAACATATTGAATGAATGAATGAATGAATGAATGAATGAATGAATGAATGAAACAATGCTTTATTTACATGATCTAAGTACAAGTTTTACAATATTTCCATAGTATAACCAGTTCATGATTCACACAGCAGACTCGCATTTTTCCAACTTGGTCTTATAAGACCGTCAGCCGGGTTGGCAAACACATTGTAAATGCAAAATGCAAAAATGCTTATATACATTCAATATACATGATTTTTTTTTGTTTTTTTTTTTTTAATTCTATACATTTATACATATATTTGTAACTTATAAATTTCTTAAAACAAGAGAGTGCTCAGAGCTTGAAAAAGGTTAATAATTAAATTCTTGAATAATTTCCCACCTGTACCGCCAAGCTTGCTGTAGGAATCGGGCAAGCCGCACCCAATCAGCACCGTTCAACAAGGATAAGAATGTATCCCGGGACAAAACCTCTAAACCGAACCAAAAAATTCTAAAATGACGCAGTATCGGGCACTTGGCAACGAAGTGGTAAACATCCTCTACCTCCCCCAAATTGCATAACGAACAGTTATGATTTTGATTTTGTATCCATGGTTTATAATTTAAATATAATAATTCACCTCTACACTTGAAAATCCATTTAATTGTATTAAAATCTAACTTTGAAAAAATGTAACCATTATCTTTCAAATCCAAACTAAGTGATTTATAAATAGCATGATATAAATCACTTAGTTTATTAATTAAAGTAACATATTTTACCAACCATTTACTGTGTTTTTTGATACTGTACTGGCAAAGTTACATACCCATATCATCAGCAGGCTGGGCGAAATAGTTGATCAAATCTTCCAAACACATAACCATTTCATTGAGATTCACAGTTGCGCAGAATAGTGAATGTCTTCTGTTCATTTGGAGAGTTTCGAGGCCTCTAGAATTGTAAACAAACAGCAATTATAGTTAGTTATAGACATAAATAAGTTTACAAATGCAATACTAGAACTGAGCATAAGTAATTAAAACCTCACTTTTTGGTGGGGGAATAGCAAGATTAATCAATTTTCATTGGTAAAAGTACATATCGTTCTATATAACATACTGACTGATGTTAATGAACAAACAGTTTTAAAACCTGAGGTGAACGTACTAATTAATTAGCTACTTATGACTGTTTGTATGAACACACTGGCACTTTGGAAATTACCTAATAAACTTTGTAAAGAGAGAAGAACATTTCCTAATAACTCTAGCAGTTCTGGACTCTTCTTCTTGACTGCGGCTAAAGTCCAAACCGTCGTCCATTTTCCCTTCCTCATGTAGTACTGCCTGTTTCTCTTCCACCTTACCAACTCCTTTCTTTTTTGTTTCATATGACTGAAAAAAGAGGAACTTTGTTATAAATCATTCAAAATTTGATCGAAAACCTTATAAGATTAAATATTCTGAACATTTAGGACTTTTTTTACTCTTTGAGCATTTGTGCATGCATTAGTATAGTTTACACCAGCTAAGAGGTTGTTACTAGACACACTAAAAGGTGTATTAATATCAAAATGTGTAAAGAATGAGTGTTTAATGATTTCAAAGATAGCTTTGTTACTGACTAAGATCAGCTGGTATATATCCACGATTTATCAAAAGCCTAATGATCAAAGACACCTGTGTAAATGTTTAGAACCATCAACAAGCTACCAAACTTTCTCAGGATTGAGCGGGACACTTTTTGACTGCAAGGTGAAAGACACCCCCTGGTGTGTCGGTATCTAATCTAATTTATACGTCCACCCAACATACCTTGTACGTAAGCCAAAGACCAGTCTCAGAATGCTGCACCAACACTGTACTGTCACCATACTTGATGATGGGGGCTCCTATCACCTCCAGGTCCTTGTCTTCTAGCACCACCTTCTGGTCGTCCTTCTCCTGACGCAGGCAGAACGTAGACAGCGCCGTCGTCGCCTCATCTCTGAACACACACAACGTCATGACTTTGGTAACTGTGAGTAGACTTTTTAGTGTAAATTATTGACCTGATTTGAGTTTTTTCATGTTGTCTTAATGTCTCTTATTTCAGGGTAAATTTTGAAAAGACCTTTACTCCTCGGAATCAACCTACCCAAATTAAATAACCAGCACAACTCGCAAAAAGTGATTTTAAACAAATTATGGACGTTATTTTTTGCAATTTAAAGAAATTACATAACTCGTGCTTTCATCATTCTATACATTGTCTATTGAACTGTATTGTTCTTGATGACAGTAAAATGTAGTGACTCTAGAAGTGTGTATGTCAACTTGAGCAGTTTAATTTTTTTTTTTTTTTTTTAACAATACTTTTACTTGTCTTCTCAATAATATTGACATATTATGTCTTTGAACACTTTTCGATAAATCTACACTTATATCATGAAAATTTCACACAAGTTTGGAGATCCAATCAAGAATTATTTTACCACCTTCCACTGTTGTGTATTTAACACCTACCGTGTTACTAGTGTCAGTTCGTTGCTCTCGTTGACGCCCAAGTATCGGCCCGTGGTCAGATGTCGTATCCTCATGGGATGGTACCAGTTGATGAAGCCACCGGCCCACTTGGTCCTAGCCAGCTCCAGCCTCCACAGTGAGCGAGCTTGGCTCATCACACTGCCTCCCTCGTACACCACGATGCTGTGACGGAGAAACAAAAATAAGCAAAATTGTATGTGTTAAACACACACTACCCTGAATAGTTGTTGGGTTTTTAATAAATTGTTTTGACTAACGAAACATCAAATAAGCACCTCGGTAGCACAGCTGTTTCAAGTGTAAAAATAATAACGTTCATGAAAGACTGGAATGATTATTCTTATTTGAGGTATTGAGATATTTGAGCCTAGGTGTGTGTTCATTGGTTCCATAGCAAGTGAGCAGCTAGCAGCTGGTCTTACTCAGTAACAAAGCTTTCTGATATATAACTCTATCTATAGTCTATGTACTCATTTTACATTCATATTTGACTTATACCACTCCATGTGGTGTATCAATCTATATATATAAAAGGCAAAGCCCTCACTGACTCACTGACTCACTCATCACTAATTCTCCCACTTGCCATTTACCTAGGAAGCTGAAATTTGGTACACTGATTCTTTAGGCATTAAATAGGAAAACTAAGCTATTTTTATTCTGATCGGACTCTCGGGCTCCGCCCCAGTGGCTCTGGAGTTTCCCATGTTAACCTTATGAGTACTCATATTTAAATGGAATTAATGAATCTTAACAGCTGTTTCAATTAAACAAGTTGGTTCTGTTCTATGATGTGCAATTAGCATTTAAGTTACAAGGTTACCAACAGGGTGCAGCGCACTATTATTTTTTTAAATTTATGACTACAGACATCTAATTTGCAACCAAAAGGTGAGTGAGCGTAGCGAACGAACTTCAACCTGGAGGCGAGTTAGCGTAGCAAACGAGCTAACCTGAAGACAAGTGAGAGTAGCGAACGAGCTCCAACCTAAAGGTGAGTGAGCGTAGCGAACGAACTTCAACCAGGACGTGATTGAGCCATGCGAATGAGCTCACTTATGAAGTAAAACGGGGCAAAGCCCGCGGGTACAGCTAGTATTTTATAAATTACAAATCTTACTTTTGTCCAGCTGCCTCATTCCACGTAGAAGGTATTGTTAAACACTCGTCTCCTCCATGGAAGAATCTCAGGACGTCTCCACCAAACACATAACCTAAAACAAGCAGTCAGTAAAGCTTTCAATGAGTTTGAGGCCAAGCAAACATTGCAATGAAGGAACAAGATCTTCAAAAAATAACATATTACGAAAGAAAATTATGGTTGGGAGACTTGTAAAAAAAATCCATCCTAAATGGTGTTTACCTAATCCGTCCATTAATAAAGCAGTATGATGAAAACTGAAAACAGTCAGCTATTTGGTAAAGTATGTGAACCAAACAATGTGTTTTGACTGTTTTGAGTTTCGATAAATAGCAAATGGTTACCAAATTAGACTGCAGAACTAGACCTGAAAAGATTGGGAGCAGCTACCCTCTTGAGAGTGAAATGAACAATTTTAAACACTTATTTACAATTGAACTGGCAAAACTACTGGCTGCCATTGAAGAAAATTTGTTTCAGAAATTAATATTTGGTACAGTATGAGTTACAATCAAACTCATTAGAACAACTCAGTAGGAAGTGTAGTTTGCTCTGATGGTGGATTCCTGCAATGAAAACCTCGGCCAGTAGTTTTGGCAGTTCAACAACGACATAATCTTTTGAAGACCTAAACTAACCTATCTAGTTAACAATGTATTTGACACATCGTTGAACTTGGCTCAATACTAACAGAGGAGGGTTGTAAAAAATCTAGTTCACACCATGAATGTGACAGTAGGTACCAACACCAGCTGGTACTCATTAGTACTCGTCTTATGGCAATATATATCATCGCTTAAGTTGTTCACAACCATTACATCTAAAGTATTAAATCTAATCAATGAAATAACTCACCTACATACTTCATCCTGCTAATTCCAGTTCCGTAAGGCTGGACTGACCAGTGAGTTACATGGAAAGAAGCATTTACCACTGATAAGTCATTTTCCTTGGTTGTGTGCTGAAAAACAAATGCATCATTTCAGTTACTCAATAATAGCATTACCTCTCAATAATTGCCAACTCCAAATAATGTAATTGCGATAAACTTTTAATACTTTTCAATGAAATGGCGACCATACAAAGTAGGTATTTTAAGCCAAGTATGAATGGAGATGAGTGTAGGATGAGTGGCGAGATCTTGTTGACTTGTTTTGTTAGTGACTAAGGCCGACTTATTTCTTAGACACAGCTGTTAATTTAATAGCCCATACAGGTAATGGCAACTAAGGGACCTACAGTTTATAGTGGAATCTGAACCACATTTTTGCCTTGGTATATACGAATTGTTCTAACTTTCAGGATAGTATTGCGGATAGTCACCGTAGTACCCACTCGTGCGGACGTTAATCCACACCAGGGAGTATAGCATCCACAGTGCATGCCAATAAATATCCACAACTCGTAACCTCCTGGGGCCCATTTCATAATAAAGTACAAACTAATATTATTAGTAAATCAGCTGATCGCCCAATGCAAATCTAATGGAAATTACAAGTTACAAGTTGTAACTTGTAACTTGTAGTTTATTATGAAATGGGCCCCTGGTAGCAAGATTACAGGACGACGCCAGCCGTACCAGTTATAAGATATAAGATGAGTATAAATATGTATAACAACACAGAAAATAGTTGAGGAGAGAAATGTAAGAAAAGTGCATCTGTTAAAATTAAGTTTTCCCTCTTAGTTTTGATACTTATGTGATGTGTGACTAAAAAAGTTTTCATAATTTAAGCATTGGAGAAAACAGCTATTCATATGATTTATCCCTTCTTACCTAATGCTCAGAAATTTGGAGGGTAAAACATCATTTAAATTGTTGCATGTGTCTCAATACCTACTCCAATCCCAAAACCTTAGTTTCCACAATTCTTACAATATTGAAGTCCACTAAAATCTAGCAATATGTAGCTTAAACGTTTGGTTACAAATCATAAACACTTTTTCATCTATTAGTTGTTGTTTTTTTCTCCTACAAACACATTAAAGTAATTTGTGTAAGAGGACATGGGTTAATGTGACGATTACACATTTTACACTACACCTACCTATACAAAAATTACAAAATTGAAAAAAAGATACCAATTATTTATTATCTAGCGTGTTTGCTAAGTAAGGTTCAATTTAATGACACCTTTTGTAGATTACCTGTGAAATTTTTTAATGGCCATATTATTTAGCTTAGTATAATGAAATGTGCAAAGATCAGTGATTCAGTTTTGTTCAGTAAAACCATAGACAAAAAGAATTAAATATAGACTGTCAGCCATGCAGTGGTTACCATAGATTCTAGCGCACACAGCTGGGAGCGCCGTGTAGTTACGTAGCCCGTAGGCCGTAACTACATGGCGCCCACAGCGGTGTGCGCCAAAACCTATGGTAACCGCAGCACAGCTGACGGTCTATATTTCTTTTTGTCTATGGTAAAACACATTCCTTGGCAGAAATTCGTTGACAGATATTAACTTTTAAAGTTATATCTGGGGAACTAACAGGTGCACCACTACAACTTCAGAATCTAAAACTGGATGAAATTTTTAGACAAAGTATAGCCTAGATGATTATGGAATTGATCATGAAATAAATTGGGAATGAGAATAAAGATGGTAAAACTTGGATATAAGAACTGTTATAGCTTAATCTTTGTTGTATACTTCTCTAATTACCTGAGCATTCCTTTCAAATAATCCTTGTAGTAATAGTAGGCTATCATATAATTATGATATATGTTAGTGGTTAGAACTTGAAAGTAAATGTTGATGCTATGACTATGACTATGAACTGCTTTTTTTAGTTCATAATAAAAATACAATATTTAGAAATGGATGTTTTAAAGCTTCTCTAACTTTACAAACAATTCTAAAAAAAACTAAACAAACTAATTTTAAAACCACATTTACTCTAAACTGGTATGGTAGTTCTGTATTAATAATTAAGTTTAATTGGACCAAATTTTACATTTAGTTATTTATTTATATTTTTTTTCCTTTTGTAAGGAAGTGTTTTGCACCATGAAGGTACAAGTGTAAACTTATTATAGTAGAATAAGTCTTCAATATTAATGAAAATGAATAGACCTATAGCGATGTTTAATCTGTATGAATTAATTTCACCACTATATGAACGAATATTTGATAAGGTTTATTTACAAACGAAAACGAATGATGAAGTGTGTTGTATCATAACATAGTCAAAACAAAATGTTTAACAAAACAAAACTAGCAACAGCTGTTACATAATAAATATTAAATAAGTATAGACCAAAGGCATCACAGATGTGGCTAAGTTGACGCCACAGACCTCTTTGTATCAATTGCCAATGATCCACTACCAGTACTACCATAGGCTACAATATTTAGTTACAAACACTCTAATTTTAAATCTAAAATTCTATTTTCACAAGTTGTGTGAAATTACAAAAATCCTCACCTCTACCTCAAGTTGGCTTTTGGCTTTACCAATCACCTAAAAATTATTCATGTTAAAATTTAAACATTGAAAATTCTCAACTAATATTATTGTTTTATCTAAGTTACCTGTATTATTTAATTCACCTTCTAGAATATGTTAGCATTTTGTGTTCTATAAAAAAAATCATAGATGTATGGTACTAAAACATCCAAAATTAATATTTATAAAAGAGATTACACATGATATTTGATGGGTCTCACTGAAAAAGAATATTTAGGCCTAATTAATTTTATAAATAACTATTTCAAGTCTTTAAAAAAATGTTAAAGCGTACAGGAAACTTCTTATAATTTATTATTAATTTTTTTAAGTGTTACTTACCACAAGATTTAGATTTTATTTTTATAGGCTACTGAGCGATTTTCCTGAGCATATAATTTTTGTGATGATTAGTAGGGTTTGTACGCACAATCCTTTTTTTAATATTTCACTGTTTATAGCCTACTAGGCCTAATCAAAACTAATGTGATAATCATAATGTTCTTAACCGAACATTAAACCTTGTAAGATAGCATCGGTGTTACATGGAGTAGAGCAAAAGAAATAAGAATAATGTATGAAGGAATGTACGAAAGAATAATGTAAGGCCTATGTTATGTCTCAAGGTTCCCTTTTACGGTTAAAAAGGTGTTTCCTAAAGTCAGGCTCTTCCGTTCCACCAAATGCCGAGTTTTAAAGTTTTTACTGAGTAGGCCTACTGAAATTAAGTAGCCTAAATAAGATCATCATGCTAGACAGAAGCTGGTATTTTCTTACTAGATATCTCTCAGTTGCCACGGAGACCAAGATAAGTTCATCACCAGTTCGGACCTTCTCACCCTCGGACCTCTGTTTGGACGCAGGATGTACAGTCCACCAGCAAGCTTCACCTGAACATATCATTGTAATTTATGAACCTCTGAAGATACCGGAGTTACTTATAGGCCTAGCGAGGTAATGTAAAAGTACACTTAAGTTACAGTAGCTGCAAGAACACTGATAACGTTAAACAGGATATTTTATATTACCCTTTTCTAGCCAAGGTTTTGCAATATGTTTTTCCTATTCTATGCTCTAAGGTGCTGAGAAATTACTATTTTTTAAATTTTTATAAGTAATACACTCTTGGCTTGAGAGGATTCACAACATAACTTACTAAAAGAGAAAACAATAACCTAAGTCGGAGACTTGATATTTTAGTCATCCAAGGAGACTTCTTGGAAGGCCAATATAACACTTCAGTCAAATAAGTTAAAACGTTTTGTCTTAGTAAGACGGATTTAGATTAGTTTAGATTAGATACAATTTTAGTTAAGTTATATTAACTTGCGTTTAGATAAGTACAATATTTTACTCAAGTATTAACATGATAGAACCTATTCAGCAAAGATCACAAAAACCTAACTTGCTTCCATGAATCTGCATAAGTGACAGTAATTTTAGGCTAGTTAATGTGATGATAGTTATGCTAGCAGTAGGTACACTATCGCTGAACATATAGGCGAGCACGATAGTGTACCCGATCTGCTAGTGTAGGCGCTCAGGATAGTTCGCCTCGCCATGATTCGTGTTCGCCTGTGCTCCATGCTTTGTCAGTTTTTGGGACAAGTCAAAGGAGACGAGCAAAGTCAAGTGCCAGAAGTTAAAATATGTCAAATCACCAGCAAGCATGTTCAGCGAAAAAGGGCGAGTGCATACTGGGTGAGCTCGTGGTTCACGTTCGGCAGCATTCATCGTTGCAACTCGAGTCAAAAATTCGGCAAGACCTTCGGCTGAACATTTGCTGATAGTGTAGGCTACTGCTAGCATTAAAAACCTTACCTTGAGAATGTTCTTGTAGACCAACATCAAAGGACAACTTATCATTGGATGAACTTGTGGACAGACAAGCCAAGTACTGGAATCATACAAAAAAATTGATTAGCCAATTATCAATGACACAACAATCTCCAGGCAGTGTCAAGTTGCTACAATCATTACTAATGAATTGAAAACGTATTCTAAGTTTATCCAGGCTCGTAGTAAGTTAAGCAAGTGATGCACCCTGGACATAAATTAAAACACCAATAACTTAAGTTAACTTATCTCAGACCTCTACAATTCCTAACCACGAATCATACTTCTACGAGCCTACATAATAAGGCTATGTATACTTAGTTAACACTTACTGGTAAATATGCATATCAACCTAAGTTAGTTAATTATATCATAATAGTTCATAAGTTACATACAAGTGACCAGCTTTTAGTACAAGGCAGGATTACTAGGGTTAATTGTGTAGTTACACAATTAATTAACTCAAGTTAGTGTGTAAAATTACACTTTGCTGCTGCTTTTGTTGTACTGGTTGTACCGTTGTACTATGAATCGTGAATCGTTGTATTCAAAACGTAGCGGTAACCGTAACGTAAACATAAACATAAACAAACAAACAGAAACAAGAAAGAACGAGAAATAAGTGGAAAACTAAAAACAGCTGATCTTCAAACTTCAAATAATCAGCCAGTGTTGCCAATGTTTTCCTTATTTCAAACTTATATTTCAGCTAGGCTTAACTAGTTGTCATGTAGCTTACACACATAAATTTCTTTTGTACAGCAAAACGAATTTAAGAAATAGTTATTGAAATAGTTTCAAATAACAAGAGTGTATTAAACGCGTTAAAAGCAAATAAATATTACAAATTACACGTTATAGGCTACCTATTATTAATACACTTCCATCATAATCTTTATCTATAGATAATTTTGATATCCTTTCTATGTCGATGGTGACATTGACAGACAATACAGTATCGTGGGTACTGTAGAGACACGGCCGCATTTAACTACAGGCCGCGGCCTTCGAAGTGGCACCATCGAAAGTAGGGTTGTAACAGCTGTTTTGTTTGGAGGTGGCTAATGGTAATTTGTGTATTTTTTAATAATACAAAAGTTTGTTTACTGGGCTATGAAAATATTGGCTCCTATTTAATATACAAAAATAAATATACCCCCGCCGCAGCAAACCTGCAGACTAAGCGAATTTCCATTTGACTGACTGGATTTACACTGAAATGTCTACTTAAAAATATAACATTTATTCCCTATTTAAATAGAATTAGTTTAACAAGTAGGCCTACTTAGGTTTGCTGCATCAGGGAGGGTAAAACTGTAATTTTTTGTAAAATGTTAATAGTTAGTAAGAAATAAAAACATTTTCCAAATTTGATCAAAATATGTTTATAAACAAGCAAACTACAACAGTTTACTTATTCTCCATAAGAATAACATGGGAATTTTAAATTTACAATTTTTTGGAATTTTCTCCGTAACCATTAGGCGCATAATAACGCTTCAATATACTAAATTATTTGTTTTTTTAAGCTCTACAAAATGGTTTGGAAAGAAATTGCTAAATTTGATGTTTTTTGGGTCAAAAATGGGAAAAACCTATTTTTACCCCATAAAACCCCCCGTAAACCCCCGTTCCCATGGTCCGATCATGCTGGATCGCGAACTCGTTCGAATAAACGTAGGTTTACACGTTTGTACCAAATTTCATCAAAATCGGATCATTTTTGCTCGAGTTATCGCGCTAACGGACACATTTAAATATATATAAATATATATATATATATATATATATATATATATATATATATGAATTTGAACGGATGGTGTTTTTGGCCTCCAGGGACCTCAAAACGAAAAAAAAAAATCGGTCCCGCGTCCAGGTCTTACCATGAGTACTACGGTAATAGCTTATTCCCTATATGGGAAATTCGCTAATAGACTTTCAATTTAAACATTATTTTGGTTACAAATCGTATATATTACAAATGAACATTGTAATACGATTGTATTACAAATTGTAATTCCTATATATTTAATATTCAATCTTTTAATAAATTTATGTTCATGAATTTAATTTTAAATGAATAATACGCGAATTAATGAGCTGGTGTCACCTGTCTGCCATGTTATCTTATGAGACGTCTAGCGCTAGACAACTGGCCTGGAGTTAAAAGGCGGCCGTGGTACTGTAGAGACTGTTAAAATATATATGAAACTGGCCTCTCTGCTCATGGCGGTAGGGCAAGATATCTTTGAGTTATGCACGTCGTAAATATCATTCGAATTTTATTTAACTGAGCGAATGTATTAATTAATGAAACATTTAAGATTAAGACATTAACTTCAGAGAAATATATAGCACAAACAATTATAAAATGGTTTTATATATCATATTAGATAATTTGAAGACAGCTTCGAGTAACACCCGTATCAGGTAGCCCTACATTGGTTTTATAAGACCTCCACTTTACTTAAGTTTATTTGCAGTTGCACCAACCTTATACTTTTTTGCAGATCTCCATTTTGCTGCGTCCTTTGATAAAATGACATAGACACAAATCAAGGTTGTAATTTCCAAAAATATAATATTCACTAACAAAGCGAATTGGTGGTCATCAAATGTATATTGTTCCCATGTTATTAACTTTGAATGGTACTGTACAGCTATAAAGGACTTTTGAAAACGAGATCCTAAAAACAAATATAAGGTGGGCATTTAACCGTTCTGGTTGTTTATTTCTTCATAATTAAGTTAGTAAAACAATATTTAGGCATATCAGGTTAAAATTAAAATGTATCCAGTTACCTAATACATTCACCATCTGTAACGTACAGTCTTACCTATATTGTGAAATTTAACAGTGATATCACTCAAAATCCAAGATAAAAGTAAACAATAATTTCATTTGAATTAAAATTATACTTGTTTTCTTACCATATCACTGTTTTGATGCCTCAGAAGAATAGCGTTGCCATAAAGCAGAGTTCTATGTCCAGAACCTGTTCCTTTACCCTGTAAAATATCTGATATTACCTCAACAGTAGTAAAACATTTTCTATGAATTTAAGGGTTAACGCAGGCGGAGGTGTCATAGTTTGACACATTTTACCAATTGTAACAGTCATTAAATTGATTTGAACCAACCAACCAATTATTTTTTCTTTTTGCACCAAATGAACTAAACAAACACATTTGCTATTTTTGATTTCCAAAATTTTAAGCTCAGTTTTCGTATACAATTAAATCCTACCTGAGTATTTTTTAGAGCACAAAGATACCGACTAATAACGAAAAAATTACAAATATTTTATTTGGGAGTAATAAGTGTCAATTAACCCTTAGAAAATCTTTAGGGCCTACATGGGTTTTATTCTTTTGTTAGGAGCTATGGGAGGGACGCACATAAAAAATAGCCTAGTTTATTGTTAACTACACTAGCTTTAACTAATCTATAATCAGAACCACTTAGAGAAAAAAACACATTTCAAAAATTCAACGGGACACATTTTAGTGTTTATTCTGGTGGCCACACAGATCTAGTGCCTGTTTTTCAAGGTTTACCTTTCAAAATGTTTAGGTTCTTATAAAAGGGAAGTATTTTTTGTAAAGAGGAAGAAATAACAAATAAAATAAATATAATATGTTAAAGTTAGACAAACGTTAACATCAATATCTGTCAGTTTCATATTAACAAAGAACCACATGTCACAAATATGTTTTCAAACAATAAGCATACACACGGATTATACAAGTCATAAACAGTAGCATAAGAAATAATGCAAAACAAACAAGACTTATAGGCAAAGATAGAACAGAAAGTACAAGGGCTTAAATTGCTGGAAATATCACGTAAATGTTTTGAAACAGAATGCAGGTTATTGGCTTACCCCTGCTCCCTGAAAATAAAAATTCACCTTAATAAAACATTTCACCAATCGTATAGAATATAGGGAGGTAATGATTGGATGATGCAGCAAAGCATGGATTTGTGTCTAGAAGTGTGGTGTGCAATAGTTTTGGGAGGGTTGGTAACAGAGTAAGATTGAATAAATGGAAATAGGGAAATAAGTGTTACCTTAACCGCTTTATGATCTGAAGAAGCTTTGGTACCCGAATACGGGGTCTGCATAAAACATACACATGTAATTCTGTATCAGCTAATACTACAATTGATTGATACTACAACAGCTAATACAAATTGAGAGTTTACTTAAAGTTTATTTTCACGATACACAAAACAGTTAGGGGCATATTTAGACATGTCAGTCAAATCGTAGCTATTCCAGAGATACCCGCATCGTTGAACTTGTGAAAGTAGCCGAATGAATTAACTAATTAACTTGCCTTGAAGATGAATAATTGATACAACACATTTGGAATGGCCAGTATATTCTCAGTTTAGAGACTTGTCCTGATGTCATGAACAACTTCAACAGCTGTGGCTATACTACACCATGAAAACATGTGCAAATGTTAATGGCCACCTATGAACTCCATCCGCCGTTTTCGTACATTGTGTTCAACCTACAACTTAAGCGATGTACTTCAATAGTGGGACCACAGAAATCTAACCAGAGAAATCTCGGCAGGATTAGCAGGAACGTAAACTTGATTCCCCTAAATGGGTCGAATACTTTGACAAGATTAACTGTTCGATAAGGGTGGTCTCAAAATTTCAATTATCTCGAACAGTTGCTACTTTTGAGCTCAATAAAAACCTTCATTTTAAAGACAGTTCCTCTGCAAACAAATTTGGATAACTCATTAGAATGATTGGGTTTTCAATTAATTGTTCAAAATCCCTTTTCCCTTTTTACTATCAACTAGTTGAGCGAAGCTCTTATACTACTCTTCTGTTTTTTCCACATTTTACAAAGACATAGTAACCAACTATGGAAAGGTATAAATCGGAAATGGTACAAATCGGACTAAAGGGATTTTCTCTACGTGGATTTAATTTTTTAGAAATTTAACACGGGCCTTATGGGTTTATTGGTCGCCATGACATTATTTGCAAGATAAAAATACAAAGGTAAGCGAAAGAGTCGTAACATGTTAGTCAACAAATAATCTAAACCAGCAGAACAAAATGGAAGAACAATAGGATTTATATAGTTGAGTTAATTTACTACAAAATGAGAAATCAATAAAGGTTGCCGGAATTAGGCGAATGCACCATTGACTTTAGATACTCCAAATATCCATTCCGTTTATGTGAACCAAAGATACCATTGACTTTGGATGCTGCAACCATCATTCGATGTATAATAGCTCCCGAGTTATTAAACATCGATGACTGCAACTAGACATTCCATTCATGTTAACCAAATATACCATTGGTTTGGATACTGTAAGTAGATTTCTCATTTATGTGAACCAGAGATGTATCACTGACTTTAGATAGATTACTTTAGATAGACTTTAAGTATAGATCTCGATAAACAGATGAAGCATTGACTTTGGGTACTGAAAGTAGACATCCAATTTATGTGAACCAGATGTCCAATTGACTTTGGATACTGTAATGACACATCTCATTTTAGTGAACTAGATTTAGCATTGAGTCAATACAATAGGGCCTATATTCCATTTACGTTAACCAGACGTAGCATTGACTTTGTAAAAGTATTGGATTAATATGCTAGCTCCGCTCAATATATTGCAAGCAGAAAACTACATTGTACACCTAGTGTCTAAAAAAACATTCCGAATTATCGTTAAAGTAAAAAAATGTTATAAACTGTAAACACATGTTCATTAATCACACCATTCTATTGCTCTTTCCTGGTGAGTATATTATTGATAATTTATTGACAATGTTAACATTAACTGTTTTAAGTGACACAAATAACATGGGTTAAGTCACCAGACATTGCGCAAGCGATGTTGATGTAAAAGCAGAAGCATAATGATAGCAAAGTTAAGTTTACGTAAAGATGACATCTGATAATGATAACCATCGCTGAATCTACTTACTAAAGAGTCCCCTCCCTGAAAAAGAAAATTACATCAACAAAAATCTTGAGTTTTGAATTAAAATTTGTTTGTTTGATACGATCCTAATGAAGAGAAGTCAAAAATCCGGATGATCTGGAAAATCTGAATAGTTATAGATATTTGCTTATCACATGAAGTATTACTCTACGGTTAAATAAGTTATCCTCCAGACGGCATTAGTCTTCCAATCGGAAAATAGATAATTTTATGATTATTGTAATCCCTAAAATTGCAAATTAGCATCTAGGCTAGCAGCGAATTGTAGCCATTTCCACCAATATATCTGTATACTCCGCGTAAGACAGTCACATTAAAAACTACAAAAAGGGACATTAGTGTGCTTTTGCACACAAACATAAGAAAACAACATAGACAAGGGATTTGTTGTGACGGAAAAACAACAGTTAAACAACAACAATAGGTAATTTACCTAGAACTTTTCATAAGCTGAAAGGTATTTATGTGATGTGTGTGCACAGAAATGTGACATATGCTTACCCATAGTTAGGAAAACCGTACAAAAAAAACTGTAAGTTATAAAGAAATAAATTTTTATAAAAAAATCTTAAGATTTTAGCTAGTTTAAATTTATTTACAATGATAAGATCTGCTGTTGATTACACAAATCAACCTTTAATAATTCATGTGAAGAAAGAAATACTGGCTAACGTAGTCCCATTATATTATTAGAGACATAGAGATAGGTTGAAGATGACACTGGTGATATTCATATTAGTTAATATTCTGCATAAATGAATACTAAGATTGAAGTAAGATTATTAGACTAGGTTTAAATCAAGTTTGAAATGAGTTTAGAAAGGGTTGTAAACTATTGAGTAAAACAAGAAAAAATTCTTAGATGAGGCAAAGAAAGTTTTTAGAATCATAAAACATATAAAATGATAAAATGAGATTATTGACATAGTGGTTACAAAAATATACATGAGGTTTCTCAAAACCCAAAACTACACGCCATGCCTTTCAAAAACCACTTTGTATAAAAATTCAACACATATCTCTATTATTTGATTAGGTATTAGATATTATTGAATTATTTACAAATATTGAACAATTTATTGTAGAATAAATTTGTATTTACACAAAAAAATCAATTCTGAGTATCAAATGGCTTGGTAAGTTCATTACTGTACTATTCCTATCACCATTAAATTTACTCACTCTTTCAGACAACTGTATATTGTATAATTTAATATACACGGATGAATTAAACTCCTTACCCTTAACCAAATCCGATCGTGGTAAATTCATTGTTGAACAAAGAACCCCCCCCCCTTTCCCCCCCAAAAATACAGATGTCTTTAGAAAGGCATGCTAGGTCTGAAAAAACACAATTAAGTTGAAAAGCAATAACCATCGTCACAAGTGTTATTTATCACAGAAATATTCTTTTTACGTTATTTATAATCACCAATTGCTCAGTTATTTGGAGGTACACTAACAGTAGAACCTTAAGTTTCAATTTTTATCAAACTGATTATTTTATTGAAAAACACTTATTCAAAGATTAAAATTTTAATATTGCTTAACCTAAAAATAAATTTCAAACTACAATAAATTACAATTACTTGCATCAAATTACAGTGGACGTCAATAATATGTTTCAAGTAGCCATATAACCACTTCATAACCAATACAAATTTTGTTTAATTAGTTGCATTGAGACTATTTGGACTGCAAGTAAGAACGAATACCTAGCCATCTTTACTAGAGAATTAATATATACAAAATTATCAAGAATCACCAAAGAATCCTTAGAACAGTTAAGAGAAGTCATAAAAACATACACTCTTAGATGTAAAAGTTTACAATTTTTTAGTACAGAGTGTTGTAAAGTAATATTTACCTCTTCAGATCCTGCTGCAGTAACCAACTCTTGTAGAGCCCTCACTGACAAAGCCTGTTCTATCACGAACACACATGTCGACAAATCTGGGGGAATGTTCTGAAAATGTTAAAATTGTTATCAAAACACAATTTTATCCTCATATTGTATCATGACCTATACACTATTATGTGTTCAACATACTGCTGGAAGTAAAAATGACTTTCAATACATGAGTTAGGGCCTAAAGTAGTTATTTTTATCTCTAGGTCAAAAGAGAATCAGCTGGAGGTGAGAACAGCTTTTCTTTTACTGAAAAATTCATCCGCTGGTTTTGCCAGAGGAAATGGACTCGGTTCAAAACAAATTATTATTATATCATTATTATAATCTTTTGCGTTGATCATTAAATGACACTTTAGGTATATTTCGTTAAAATAAAAACTTTTTATCAACACTAAGACGTATAAAAATGTAAACTTGTAAACTATTTCAGAAATTTGTGAATGCATTCATTTTCAGAAGAATAATACCTAGTGCATCAAGGTAACTATCATAGCTGTTCGTAATGCAAAACTATATGGACAAAATTTTGGGAGATAATTTTTTAAGGTAAAAAATGTAAAATTTGGTTTTTAAGTTTACAATCTTAATAATATGATGAAACCCAAAGTTCATTACATGGACCACAATGTCTTTTCGACACTCGAAAATTTCCCTACGCTAAAGCTTTTGACGAAAAGAGTAACTTTATACTCTAGTAGTGAAATATAATATTGTTTGAATATGTTGTTAATTTATTTTATTTTTAAATATTTTTCATTCACGAACATTCAAAACGTAAGGAGATTTTACACTTGGTTATACAAAGAGTGTTAAAATTAAATTAGGGGGAAAAATGGTTAACAAAACTTGGTCCATGTTTGAAATAGAAGAAAGGTAATACTTTAGAAAAATTATAATTTTTGTACTTATTAAAGTAAAGTAAACTCCGACATTATTTTTAATAATACTCATCATACTACTGAAATTTTAAGTAATATGGTTAAAAATTGTTTTAATAGATACAGTTGGCAGAAATACCATGAATATAAGTCTTTTGAAAAATGTGTTTTTTATTTTATTATTTTAGTTGATTTGATAATATAAAATGCTGTAGGCAATTAAATTAACCTATCATTTTCCATTATAGTAGTTGATAATATTAATTAAATTTTTCATTATCCTGTAAATCACATATGGACTCATAGCACGTAAATAAAAGTTGATTTGATATACAAAATCTATATAAATGAAAGAAGCAGTAAAAGTACAGAAAATTGAACTAGAGTACAAAGTTGGATAGCCTATATATAGTTGGTCACATAACCAAAACAAATAAATACATAAACGTAATATTTTCAGTTTTTTTCTCTAAAAAGCTTGTTTTCTTTTGCCAAATCAATTTAATTACATATACACACAGACGCAGTCATTGGGTATATCTGCTGATTATTTCCCAAAACAAAATCAGAACTATTATTGAAATAAAAATTAACTACTACCGTAGTATGTTGAAGCAGGTTTCAGCATGTTTTCGGGATAAGTTATTGTTTGTTCTTTTTATGAAATATGTAATTCATTACCATTTACATTTCCATACATATGTAACCAACGGAGTAATATATTTAGGTTGGTACACCTGATGTTACCTTATCGGCGATGTTCTCAAGGAAGCAGTGACGATTACCAAACCCCTCAGCCGCAAGGCACACTCTCTCCCCAGTCGCGGTGCACGAGAGACAGACCATGTCTTCCTGTGAACAGAAACACATTCGTATAAAACTAATATAATTATATGCTAAGTTAAATAGAAGGCTATAGGAATCATTACGGTTTCTGAAACATGTAACTGAACACTGAACAGCGTTGTTGATGGTGGAAGAGTCTAGAAAGAACCAAACTATGGTGGATCGTCTTATTCCTGAAGGAACTTACTGCAGACGAGTAGTAAACTAACTAACTTCCTTCTCCTGCAGTCTCTAAACCGCAGTAAGCTCCTACTCTCCTTATGTATTTTTGATCCCAAAGCACTTGTCAGTTTGAAATAAAGAAAATGGGTAACCATGCAATTGTTTTTCCATTGCTAAGGAAAAACTAAAGTATGATGCAATAAACTGGTGAACAATGCATCGTTCAATGATTGGTAGATGAATTATCAACATAAATAACAATGCCAAAAGGCAACCATCAGGGACTACTAACGTGTAGATGAGGATTACACTGGGACATTGAAGTAGCATTGGTGCTGTTGTTGAACAATGCATCGTTCAATGGTTGGTAGATGAATTATCAACATAAATAAGATTTTTTTTATATACATAAAGAATCTAAAATTTAAACTATGTTATTATTCCTTAATCCATAAACAAATACTGTACATGCAAATTAAAAATTATTATAAATCTTATATGTGACTGATTTAGTTGTTCATCTAATGTATATTAAATGTTTTTGGTTATACATTTAGTGTTACAGTAAGTCTAGGAAACAGATAATTACTACACGACGGAGTCACTGGGAAGTTTATTTTGCTTAATTAACCAAAGTTTCCACCCAAGTTTGTCGCACGAACGTAGACAACTTGCATACCCAAGCAGAAAGCTTCCGAAGAATACTACGAAGTTAATTAAAAAAAATATCAGTTCCCACATTGTTATTTTGTAAATTAAATATTATCATTATATATAAATAAATGGAAACAAATAAATATGGAGAAATAATATTTTTGGTCGTAAGACAAGACGCTAGGCACGAGCCCGGACATTACTTTAAGCTAGACCTAGGGACCGCGGCATTATCACATGAATAAAATCCATTGGTTCTTTGGCGGGATTTGAACCCGGGACCTATAATCACTAGACCAGCTTGCTCCCCCATGGAGGAATAGTACGGAAGAGTAATTCACAGAATCAATGGTGATAAAGTAATAATTTGTCGTGATATTTTTTATCTTTTACTAAATAGTTTTATTTCAGATTTAGTTTATACGTGTTTTGCCTATCTGTTGTTGAGGATGGTGTTGCTTTGTTTGTGATGAAACAGCCAACTCATTCCCTCACTACGTGTACTCAGTGTTTGACGCAATGCAGTTTAGTCCCAAGAGCCTAGACCAAAAGGACCCGTATAACCTGGTCACTTACCACAGAATCAGAGTGGTATTGACTTTGAATACAATTCTCACCAACTATCAAATCTGACCTTCATGTTGGTGACGTTAGAGTGCTGGTGTTGATCAAATGTTTTTGTTTTGTCAATGTTAGGCTGTTGATTTGTGCTTTGCTCTTTGGCTGTAACACCACATGGACTTTCAACTGTGACATAAATTAAAACATCAATAATTTGTTTAAAGACAAAAGAAAACTTGTAAAAAACTGTAGGTATCTGCATGGGAAAATGGTATGAAAAAAGAAGAAAAAACTTAATCAAATGTTGAACGTTTAAAATAAGACAGTCGATAGATAGCGACCTTAAGTAGAACTGAGATATCTAGTAAGCCAACTTTGTAACTTTGCAATTAGAAACTTAAGGCTTATCTCTGAGTGTAACTTCCTTTGTAAGTTCCGCTCACTGTTACCGAAGGCCAAAAATAGTACGTGTTTTTTCGTAATAGTGGATGTTTTGGGTATGGTCCATACTTTATAATAAACTTAAGTTTTTCTTAAGTTTTCTGTTATTAATAAGAAAAGTACGTATGTATTCCATCGATCTCTTTTACGATAATGTAAAATAGCTAACATAATTTAGCTGTGTTATATTTTTATTTTAAGTCTTCCTTGTCAGGTCTAAGGATTGTTGTTTAAGTAAAACTATTTTCTAAGACGAAATTTTATTCATGCATACATATCGCAGAGATGTCGAAGACGTATTTCGTTTGTTATATTCAGAAACTACAAAATAGGAATATATAAATAAATATTAACAAATAGCAAAAAGTTACATAACTGAAAATAGCTCTAGTTTAAATATTTATTATGTGATAATTATAACAAGTTCAGACAAATAAAAATAGAAATAGTTAATATAATTTGTATAGCTACTTTTTCAAGTTTCTTACAAACACAACCTATCAGTGTGTTAAACCTGAACATATTTGAAATGAAACTGACAATTATCGACTTTGGGGATGATTAACGAGTCGTTAGGGATGGGAACAGCTGGCAGGGTGGTTGTGATAAACAATGATTTATGACATCAACGATTTTATATTTTAGTATCCGACCTTGATAATAGATAGAGTATTGGATTAATGCAAATCATAATCATTCGCTTATCTCAATCGTTATAAGTTTCATTGGGTTAACTCATAAAATCATCATTAAGCTACGAAATTGTTGTGTTTTACACACACTGTTATTCAGTAAGCACTGTGTGTATGTAATAAGGTAAACATTAATTCTAGATTATTAATTAATTGAGTGCGGTGATCTTTTTAGCTATGTTGTCGACTGTCCACCTATTCTTTGGTCAGGACCCTTTAAATACTCAATAGTAAAGGCCAATTATCGGGTCCGGCAACATTTTGATTACTACGCGAGCACTGCAAGTTCTTATATTAGCTACTTAGATATTTTTTCACAGCTTTTTTAAACCAATAAAATATTAAATTGTTTTCTTTTTACTTTATATTAATTAATTTAATGCTAGGGTTTTGCTAAGTAGTTTTAAGGTTAACCGCAATGATTTTGTTTTCTGGAGATTTTATACCATTTTTAACATCTAATTAATGCTAAACTCATTTATGTGTTTTACAACATGCTATAACATTCAACAATCTTGCATTCAGTGTGACCACAGCGCCAACCACGGCAACACAGCACCAAGGAACTGAAGCACCACAGCACGATGTCACCACGGCAACACAGCACCAAGGAACTGAAGCACCACAGCACCATGTCACCACGGCAACACAGCACCAAGGAACTACAGCACCACAACACCACAGCACCATAGCCCCACAGCACCATGTCGTCTCTTGCGGTATACCCATGGATTCCTATTGTTCTAGATTCTATGGTATAACTAACTAAACTATAAAGATATTTACGCCACACTACATTATTTTGACGAACTTACCACGCAAGGATTTAGTCCAGAAAACAGCTGTTTGCCGCCAGCTTATTCAAATGGGGTTTCATTGCGTACTACTGTGCTGCAATGAGTTTTACCGGACACCAATCAGCTGATTATACTGTATTTAGGTGGCAATGAGTGGTTATAAACAAAAACATAACCTCTCTTAGAGGCTATGACTAGTGATTTTTACTCCTTTAGTTGGTGGAAATATATAAGGATTTGTATGGATTTAGTAGTATGGCGTAAACTATCGTACGTAACTCGTCCAAAATGTGTGTACCGGACTCGTATGGCAATCCCGTACTCGACTTCGTCTCGCACGGGAACGACCACACTCGTCCGGTAAACACTTATTTTCAGGACTAGTAACGTAATATACTATTTATTATCTACCTCATCATCTCTTTCTCTCGTATGTTCTTTACCTATGTGGGAATTAGATGAAAAACCTTTACTATAAGTCTAAAAAGGATTAATTAATAAGGGTGATTGTTAATATCTATAACGTTAAACAAACATTTTTATTACTATTGATAGAATAACAGAACACAACATTTTTAAGCTTAAAATAGGGATTACGATTTTGATAAAAGTTACATGTAACATGGTGAAAACCTTTCCAAAACACTTTCATCTTTAGTTATCCATCATGATTTGTCATCGTTGTGAAACGTAACGTCATCATTTTTCCAGAACCAAATTAACGAATTTTAGCAAAAAAATTCATAACTATTGTTATAATATAAACAAATAATTGTTACTGAATTAGTTTAAAACATTTCCACACAATGAAAAGGCAATATGATACAAATAAAACTTGTTGCAATAGTATGTACACATTTTTTAACATTAAGTACAGGATATTTTTATATCAGTAAAATATATGTTGTGATAAAAAGTGCATTTTATAGATTTAACCGATTTTATTTTAGTTTCGTTGCTGTACTGGGGAAAAAGTACACGAGTTGCGATTGTGTCTATGCAATCTAACACTGAATGATTCCGTATATTGTAACGATTGATGAGGAGCTAGCTGTATTAATATTGATGACCTACACCGGAGTTTGGTTGGATGGCTCCCTTGTGGATTAAACCAGGGTGAAAACACCACTCTGTGTTGTGATGGAAAATCCACCTTAAAAATACTCAACCGCATGAACTACCTACATCGCCCTGTATACATGTAATATTTAAAAATAGCTACTACTCAAATAACTACAAATATTAGTAGACAGTTCAAAGGTAATGTTATAGCTGAATACGATTATCAATGAATATTAATGGTTTTCAAATGGGAAACATGCCACCTTTATTAATTGATTATAACGTAAGAAAAACAATTTAGTTTGGTGTTATGGTTGTGTATTAAAAGCGGTTTAGACAATACGATATGTGCTTAAAACACGTTTTCTCTATGTCATTACACTCAAATAATACATTCATTCGATCTGAAAAAACAAAAAAGATATACGTCTAATAGCACTTGTAATATTACATGTTCATTTAAACTGTTGATTCACAAAACGGTAAATACATATGAAAGTTGGCAAGTGGTGATAGATTTATATTGGACACTCCAATCATCACGACACGTACGATGCTGATCAAGAAGTTATTCCTTCGATGTCACATAATATAATCACAAAACAAACGTACATGATGACTGTAGTAGAATGGCGAA